TGCAGTGATGCGGACGCTGAGCCGATCTGTCGTGGTGAAGAGGGAGCTGAGCCAGAAAACCAGGCTCTCGATTTACCGTTCGATCTATGTCCCAATCCTCACATATGGTCATGAGCTTTGGGTAATGACCGAAAGAACGAGATCGCGGATACAAGCGGCCGAAATGAGTTTCTTCCGTAGGGTGGTCGGGCTCAGCCTTAGAGATAGGGTGAAGAGCTCGGACATTCAGGAGGGACTCGGAGTAGAACCGCTGCTCCTCCGGATCGAAAGGAGCCAGTTGAGGTGGTTTGGGCATCTGGTCAGGATGCCTCCTGGACGCCTCCCCGGGGAGGTGTTTCGGGCATGTCCTGCCGGCAGGAGGCCCCCGGGTCGACTCAGGACACGTTGGAGAGGTTACATCTCCAATCTGGTCTGGGAACGCCTTGGGGTCCTGCCGGAGGAGCTAGTGGAGGTGGCCGGGTAGAGGATGGTCTGGAGCTGCCTAATTGGAATGCTGCCCCCGCGACCCGGTCCCGGATAAGCGGAGGAAGACGACGACGACTATTTTATTTTGATTTCAATTTATTAAAAAATTATCGTTCTGATTCAATCCAAATACAACTGAAAATGGATTATTGACTGAACATCATGACAGAAAGTGTTCTGACACTTTCTGTCATGATGTTCAGTCAATAATCCATTTTCAGTTGTATTTGGATTGAATCAGAACGATAATTTTTTAATAAATTGAAATCAAAATAAAATAGTCGTCGTCGTCTTCCTCCGGTTATCCGGCAACTCATCTAATTATCATCTAATTAAGGACCGTAAGACATTAAGATTGCACATCGAGTATGAAATCCATCTTACGGACCACTGAGTTGTTTAACCAGAAGATCGGAACTTTTTAATGTAGGGATTTGAAACACCTTGTATTAACTGAAAGCTAAGAGAAGAGAGAGAGTCCTTCAAATGTTTAAGATGATTTATTACTAAATATTTTTAAACAATTTAAGCAAGACTAACTCTACTAATGATGGATGTATCTGTTTGAATGAGATGTGAGATGGATGGTGTGTGTGTGTGAGTCGTGTTAATCAGAACTCTCGTATCTGGAGAAGCAACTCTGAGTGGGAGATGATGTTTTGCTCCTAACTATGATCAGAGTTTGACCGGTGTAGTTGCATAAACACATGAGACGCCATATTTGTCGCATCCACACATACCCTCAGTGAGACCTCCGTACAGATCCGGATACCAGGTCCTCGGACCCTCCTCTGGTACTGGAGCCGATGGAACAGCGTCGACAGCACGACAAACCAGTCTTTGGATCGTCTCCGGGTAAAATGCGACAGGTGGTTCACAGCGTCAAAAGGGGACCCTCCTTGGGTCAGTGAGTTCAGCTTTTATTCTGAAAGGAACCTTTGCTTGGTTGGTAAAATGCAACAGATTTTTCCAGCTTGTTGGTTCTCAGCTTCAAAAGGGAAGTCCAGATGGCCGGTTCAGTTACTTCGCTTTTTATGCGGTGAACTCCAGTGAGATCTTGAGAACAGAACTAAGCTGGCGTTGGAACTGGTTTTATCAATCTGGATGTTTTGAATCCTGGTCGAATCAAAGCTGGCAGATTTATAAACACCACAGAGACTCTGCCACGCTTCAGACCAGGAAGGTTCTGACTGGATCAGCAACAGCAATGTGTCTGAGTGGTTTACCTTACGTGTGTCAGTGTGTCTAGTGAACTAGATTACGTCATATTACTTATTAAAACATATTAATCATAGCTGTTATTTCACAGATCGGTCACATTGTATTATTGACTAACACTTGTTTTGATTAGCTTTATTAAAAATAGAGTTCTTTGATTTAATAAAAGAAAAGAATCTCTTCATCTTCTTTCTTCTCTTGCTGCAAAATAAACAGTTTAGAAGCAAATGCATGACCTTGAGGCTGACTCATGCACTCGAACACTGTGTCAGAGGCATCTGTGGAAAGAGGTTAAATCCTTGGTGGAATAGCTCCTTCATCACGTACAATATATATATACACACATATATATATATATATATATATATATAATTATTTTCTCTTTTCGGTGGCTGGCGATGAAACATTTAAAATTGGAGCTTTTGAAATTTAGATTTCTCCTGCAAATAGCTCTTCAAGGTTGCAATAACTGTAAAATATACCACAGATATTGTTGACTCTGAAGGAAAACAGAGTTACCAGAAGCTTCTGCTGCAGTGTAATGCCATCAGTACGGTGGCTCGAGGACATTCACTTTACAGGAGGCGTTGGTGCTGACCGGCCTTGAAAGTCTGTCTGGCTTCTGTCGATGGGTCCGAGTGGGCTCCAGGAACCAGCTCTTCAACTGATTTGTTTTTCATGCAGGTTGCTGATCTGATAAAAGAGCGACACTGACGCTGGAGCAAAGTTTTCAGGATAAAAACTTTGTCAGAGCTGGGAGAGTGTTCATATGTTCTGGATGTAATTTCAGCCTGACCAGAGGGCACCAGAGTCGTTATGAGATTTCTGCTGCAGAAATATCAATCAAACCCAAACAGGAAGTTTTTTAAACACCCGGATACTTTTGGGACAAGCATTCTGTTTATTCTGTTGTTTTCTGTTTAAAGCTAATTTTGTTCAGTCAATTAAATAAATCTGCCAGAAACCGCTTGCAGACGACAGTTCTAATCAGAAAACAAAGACTTTGTTTAATGATCCGTCGTAACTGGTGTAAAGGACCAAAGACGTTTTCATGTCAACAACAAAAATCGTTCTGGTCTGTTTTAAACCAGCAAGCGCAGCAGAGGTGTTTTAACAAGGGCTGCGTTCAATTCCTACATCTGTGCAATCTGGTTGTTCTAATAACCTTTTCTAAATGGAATGCAGCCTTTGCTGAAACACCTGCTTTACCAGATCAGTGAGCTCAGATGTTTGCTATGAAATAGATCTGTTTGGTGGTGGTGGTGTGGGGGGGGGGGGGGGGGGGCTCTCAAATACTGGGGAGAGGATCATTTGGTTCTTTAGGCTACATAAAGGGGAAAACAAACTGTTTATAAATTATAGAAACATATTATAGATTCGTCTGTAGGGATGTGAATCTTACAGCAACTCACGATTCGATTCGATTCCGATTCTCTGGGTGTCGATTCGATTCAGAATCGATTCTCGATTTAAATCAATTCACAATCAATGTTAACAAAGAGTGTCAGCTCCAGGATGAACTACTTTGTTGTACAAGTTAGTTAAAGCTATGGGACATTTTTATTTGACTTTAAACTGGTCATGATCCAAAAATGCTAATTTACAAGGTAAAATAAAGTGATACTAAAACTGTAAACAGAAGACATCTTTTGACCAAAAGGCAACATTTATTTTTTGCTTACCTTGTAAAATATAACAAATCTGTAGTTACCTAACAGTAGCTTTGAAAGTAATACGGTCAAATACTTTTCAAGAATGTGTGGAAACAAGTTACATGAGTAATCCTGAGCCCTCACTTATCAACTTAGAAAATAAAAATGAGAATATCTCAGATTAATGAGTATGGAAAAAATTGCATTCAAGTGCCCTCCTATCAGCAGATTAAAAAATAAATCATCTCAAATTCTGAGACCACAAAAGTAAACGGAGTGCTGACTCTCCTAACAAAGATTAAAAAAAAAAACAGACAAAAGTGCATCTCAAACCTGTAACATGCCAAACATTTGAGTTCTTGGGATCGATTCTGAATCTTTATAAATAAGAGTCCCGATTCAGACTTGAATCGATCTTTTTCAGTACCTCTATTATTCTGCACGATGTTTTATTACTATAGCAAGCCTTTGCAGGTGAATTCTAATAAATGTATTTAATTTTATGTACTGTTTGCATTTGCTTATGCATGTGAGTAGTGCTGCTTTGTTAAAATTCTTGAAAGTTTCTTTATTATTTACATTAATGCGCACATAAAAAAAAGAAATGAGGCCTTTGAAATAAGTAAGTGGATTATCAAACAGGAGCAATAAAGAGCGGAGCTCTTCTGATCAATCTGTTGCAGCCAATCAGACGGTTTACTGTAGGAAGCTCGCTGCCGATGGAGGATGGGTCTTCAGCAGATTGGACTCGGATACCTGGAAAGCCCCAAAGATCATAGGTGCCTGATTATTGTAGCTTCCCCATCTCTGCTTTAGTCAGAGAGATTTGCAGCTCTGGGTTGCAGCAGACCTAGAAAGGTCTCAGAAGAAATTGAAGATGGCAGACAAAGATTGACTGATGAGAACAGACATCATCTGTGGTCCAGAACTGGAGGCAGAACAGCACCAGGAAGGTGTTCAGTAAAAACAACAATGCCAGTTGGATCTCTTGATTTAATTTTCTTACATAATTTGAGCTGGCTGCTTTGTTTGCATGAGCTGTTTTGTTTCAGAGAGATTCAGGCTGAGAATCGCTGATGAGCCATTTAAAGCCGGCAGCATCAACCATCTCCTTCGGAACCATTAGGAATAATATTGAGCATTAGTATGGATACAGCGTGTTGATGGATACACAGATCAGAATACAGGTGTGAGGCTGTCTGCAGAGCTGACTCCTCTCTAATGCATTATTATGCAGGTTTTTCTAGGTTTTTCTGCAGTGGATGAGCCTATCCCTGAAGTGGAGGAGGAATAATGATGTCTAAACATTTAGAATTTCAAATATACCCTAAAGGAAAACGAAACATTTGCTGCAGTTGAAGTTTTCCTGGAGGTCTGGAGCGAGGATCTCTTAAGAGATATGGAGTTGTTTTCGGGGGGTGGGTTACAGGAAAACAGATCAGCTTGTTGAACTGAACTGATGCATCATTAATTTAAAGTCGAATAATAGAATTAAAAAAGGAAACACAACCAGCGGTGCCTGAATATTCATCTGTTTGTGGCACCAGAAGTTATGTAAATATATGTAAACACCTCATTTTCAGCAGGTGGCTGTTTGAGTGGAGAAATTACATCATTGACTTCCAGCGATCTGCCGCTAGGGGTCGCTGTGCGTGAACAGAGATCGATGTGCGTCTGACGTACACGGAAGTGTGTAACAAACCATAATAACAGCAGCTGGCTAGTCGCGATGAAATTAAAAACTACAAGACAAAGTCAGTGGTTTCTAATCAGCTGGATTAAAATAAAACTATGATAAATTTAGTTCTGTTTAGAAGAGTGGACGTATTTGTATTAAAGACCCAAACACAGGTAAGTTGTTAAGATGTTCATTTTAATAGCGTGTGTCAACCTGTGTTAGCCTCGGGGATGCGACACCATCAGTATTTTGTCTTTTGTTTTGCCATTACTGTTAGTTGTAACCAACTGTATTAGTACAATTAGCTTGGTGTTTTAAGTTATTTGCGTTAATTGGGGATATTTTCCCGTACAGCAACATATTAGCATAACAACAGCTTGAGAAATTAACTTTTAGACTCTGGCTTCCAGGAAAGCAAAGTAGTGTCCAGGATTAAAGCCGAATCCTGCAGAAGATCTGCTACTGTCTGGGTAAAGTGTTCACTTGTGTATATTTTACTAAGAAAAGTGAATGAATAAAAGTAGCTTTTTTTCTATAGAGTTTGGCTCGTCCATACACACTGGCGTTCATTTATGTTAAACCATAAAGCCGAATTCTCCAGAAGAATAAACTCATTTGGACTGGGGTTATTGACAGTTATGTTTGGCTAAATGTCTGATAAAACAGAAAATACTTTTTTTTAAGTAGCTTGACTAGTTTTACACGTCCACCCAAACAGAAGCGTGTTTTCAGGGTTTCTTGCTGACCAAAAAAAGAATATACGCCCGTCATAAAAGCTGAATTCAAGAGAAGATCAAGGTCTTTAAGACCAGTCTTCTCGCAGAAATGTCACCCTCTTCTCCACATGTAGGAGTTAATTTTAGCCATTCAACTGTGAGAAAAGTGCATTAAGGCCGAATTCTCCAGAACACCAAGCACTTTTGGGTGAAAGGAGTTCCAAAGTTTGTGGATTTTCCTAAACGATTTGAGTGAAACTAGGAACTGTTTCCTTTTCTGGAGTTTGGGCCAAACTCTGGTGTTTGTCGACAGAGAAGTAACTTTGTGGTTCCTCGTAGAAAAGTCAGCTGACTTAAACTGTTTCTCAAATAAACCGCTTTCACTTCCTCTGAGTAGATTCTTAGGTGGTGATAGAAATAATAGACTATTGTTCAGAACATGAGCTTATTTCTTTTAGTGAACATTTAATCAGTAACAAACGTTTTCTTCTGCTTGTACAGGTTTGATAAAAGTCCCTGATTTGGAGGACTTCTCAGGACGTGTCCGATGTCTTCTGGCTGTCCACCTCAATCACCTGCTGTAGCGAAGTCTGAGGTAGCCGTAGAGGGAGAATGTCCTCTGCTCGCTGCCACCTTTGCCTACTGGGACAACATCCTGGGTCCACGTGTGCGCCACATCTGGACACCAAAGGGTGACCAGCTGATGTTCCTCAACGATGGGGAGATCACCTTCTTGGCCAATCACACTCTCAACGGTGAGATCCTGCGGAGTGCAGAGTGCGGCGCCGTAGACGTGAAGTTCTTTGTACTGGCAGAAAAGGGTGTCATCATCGTGTCGCTGATCTTTGACGGCGAGCTGAAGGGAGATAAGAATACGTGCGCCTTGTCCGTCATTCTTCCTCAGACGGAGCTGGCCTTCTACCTGCCTCTGCACACCATCTGTGTGGAGAGGCTGAAGCACGCAATCCGTAAGGGACGCATCTGGATGCAGAAGGTGGGTTTATGAAATAAAACGGCTCCTTAATTTACAGATTTTGATATTTCCTCACTATTAATGTTGCAGATGCTCTAAAACATCAGTTGGTGATTAAAGTTGGCCAAATTTCAGCACGATCAGGTTAAACAGAGACGCTCTCACTCAGCTGTGTGAGACTGTTCACTGCGATGCACTATTTCTCCAGTTATCACTACTCCATGCTTGTTTACATGCAGGTAGAACTTCCTGTTCTGTGCTCCTCATAAATGGTCTGGGTGCTGCGCTTCCTCACTCTAAGTGTTCCACCTTTATGTTTCTCGGCGTTATTAATTAGCTTGAATAAAGCTGATTATGAACATTTTAAAACCATCAAGAGTGTCTAAACATCACATCTCCCTCTCATAGTCAAAGCTTTGCAAAAATCAAAACTGGCCCCAAAACCAGAGTGTGTGTTTAAAATGTCAGGTTTTACTGGTTATTAGGAGTAGGGTTAGGGTTACGTCACACGTCACGTGAGCTGTTGAGCTCTTATCTGGAATAAGTTATAATACAAACTGTGACAAACACAAATGCAATTTAAGGTCTTTTTAACTTTTAATTTGAAACTAAAGTGATTCTGACCTTAATACACTGCTACTGAATGATCTCTGTGTAGATTAAAATAAAAACAGGTGGATAGATGGTTTCATTAATCTCGTTGTTGTGGTTCCAGTTTGGTTGTTTTTAACGACCCGGACTAATTAACCTTCTCACAGAAGAACCTGTGATTCAAACCGATGTAAAACACCAGCTGAGAGGATCGATTACAAAACCACTTAACATTTTCTCCTAATTACCAGATTAGATTTTGTAATTAAGAGTTTTCTTTGAAGAAAAGAGTCTCATTGAAGGGAAAGAACTCCCGGTGTATTTTCTCTTTGGGGATGGCGACGAGCTTCTAGAGCGAGCTGCTTTTCTGTTTTATCTGTTCAGTTTTCATTTCCTTCACACGATGACTGAGCCACAGAAAAAGACGTTCCAAAGACCAGATATAAAAGTCCAGCTCATCCCTGCTTCCAGACTTCCCCAACTTTGGAATGATCTCCCTTCATCCTTGCCTAGTATTGACAGTCTGGACACTTTTAAAAAATCAGCCTTTGATTCAAAGCTGCTTTCATCTAAATATTTAATTTTCTTATTTCTAACTCAAATCTATAATCATCTTTCTTTAGTTTCATGGTATTCCATAATTGTATAACTTTGTTGTTCTGATGTCTGTTTTGAGCTCATTATGATTTTATGACTTCATGCTTTGTTTTGATCTGTGTAGTAGTGATATAAAAATTTAAATGTACTTACTTAAAACGGCTGACGCCATCTTCTCAGGTCAGAATCCATCTAGAACCAAAGCAGTTTATTAAAACTGGTGTTTTTCTGGGTGGATTATCAGAGACTAGAGAGAACCGGAGTATCATTTAGCTTTTAGAGCTAAAGCTGGGTTAAATGATAACTTCTGATGGAGTCTGAACCAAACTCAAAAGTTAAAAACAACACAAAGTATTTTTAACTGGTGTAAGTTTGATCATCTCACCTGTTGTAGACTACTTTGCTGAACAGCCTTTGTTTAGAGAAATAGTCCCTTCTTCATGACTGATGAGCTAAGCGCAGCCTTCTTAACTCGTTCACTGCCATTGACGACAAAAGTCGTCATTTGCATGTTTTTACTGTGTGGGCGTCGGACGAACCCCCGCACCGTGAGAACAAACATCCCAGCTCTAAAGCCGATCATCATCCACGTGCGTCACATGATCAGGATGCAGAAAATCCATGTGTTAGGAGATCGTTTTGGGCCGCTGCTGTAAAAAAAGTGAGGCGAGAACCAGAAAAGCTTCTGCCGATCACAATTCAACAACGGATTATGAAAGAATGGATAACGCTCAAAATGCTCTGATTCTTTCTGATGTAAGAGGCGAGTCTCCTCTTTGTTTTGGTTGTTTTGGCGACGACATCATCCTAGCGCGCAACGTTCTGTGACTCTTAAAAGAAACAGTAAAAACGGTGAGAAATGCTGGCAGCGAAGGGCTCTACCGATCAGGAAGCGGCTGGCGGTGAATGAGTTAAAAGTAAATCTTGTTTCACTGATAATTTATTTCTTTATTCCAGTAAATGAAGTCCTTTAAAAGCAGAAGATGTGCAAAATACACAGCTGGTGCCATTAAATGGTTAAATATAGACATGAAGCCCTCTACTCCAAGTGTCAGTACCACGTGGTCCCTGAAGGGGGCGCCACACACAAACCACAGGAACTTAGAAATGTCATAAAGAAGAACACGCTTTGCTCGTTGACATTAGAGCTGCATGTTTACTTAAAATTTGTCAGTTTTGACTTAAACTCCACTCAAAGACGACGTAATCCACGAGACCACAACAGAAAACGTCCAAGAAGAAAACCAGACTGACTTTAAGCAGCGAGATACCCAACGAGAGAGGTGAGGACACTTTGTGGTCCAGATGCTGTGTAGCTGTGCCTTTGCTCTGTGACCCGGTCAGACTCTTAAAAAACTAGTGAAAATGCTGAAAACCTCTGGCAGCGAAGGGCTTTTCTGACCAAGAAACGGCTGGCAGTAAATGAGTTAAGAGGGTTCCAGACTTCTAGGTTGTTTTTTTATATATATATTTACACGGAATTCCCTGGTTGTTTACATGGAATTCCCTGGTTGTTTACATGGAATTCCCTGGTTGTTGGAGTGGAGCCAAAGCTAGATTAAGTGGCAAAAGAGAGAGATAGACAAACAGAGAGACCGAGACCCAGTTCTGGGGCGTTTCCACTAGTAACAGGTACCAGGGTGTACCGATCCAGGCCAAAAACATTACAGCAGAGGATTGTTGGTCACCGATTGGCCAGGGGGAAGTCGCTGGTTGCTCCAGAGTCTTCCACCTCGCTGGCCGCGGCCTTTTCTGGGCCTCTTCTTTTCAGAATCCGACAAAAAGCCACCGACCGAGCAGAAGGTTCCACATTGCCACCTTGTCCTACTCTACTTGCCCCTCCTCTTATGATGACCCCGCCCTCTAAAGCTGATTGGAGCCCCTCTGAGGAGTGAGAAAGGGCCGAGAGCGATAGAGCGAGGGAGAGAGAGTAAATCCAATAAAACTCTTGAGTCAGTTTGTTGCATCTGATGAAGAAAAGCTTTTTAATACCCAAACTGGAACCAGCAGATGTTCCTGCTAGTCTCCAGACCTGCTGGATCTCTGATTCTCTCCTTTAACTTCAGGGCTACAACATCATCTCTGTGCTGAGCCTGGAGATCGTTCCCATCATGGAGCTGTTGGCCTCCATGAAATCTCATAGCGTGCCTGAAGATATAGATGTAAGCAACACACACACAATGTTTTTAGGAGGTTTTACTCTGAAGCTTTCTGCTTCTACAAGAACAAAGGGATCCGTCTGCTGAATTAATTTAACTTAAGTTTTCTTTTAAATCAGCGCTTTTGTCTTTGTCGTAGACGCGTTCTAACATGGCCTCGTTTGTTTCGATCCTGCTGAGCAGATAAAAGACACGGTGCTAAATGATGATGACATCGGGGACAGCTGCCACGAGGATTTCCTCCACAAGTAAGCAATCCGCTTCCGACAAATGGAGACAGATGATGAACAGCGGCCATTTAACAGCCGTCGGGCTTCCAATGATGTGTGATGGATCGGGATCAGATGAAGTTAGCTACAGAGAAGGGATGAAGGCTAAATCACAGCCTGTAACGGTCCAAATGGCTCCCAACTCAACAGGATTTGTTAGCTCAGCTTCTCCTGATGATGATAAAGAATCCGGAAGAACCGGATCAGAACTCTGGCTTTAACTTACTTTATTTGGAACAATCGAGTGTTTTGGTTTTATTGGAGGATATTCCACCAAAGCCATTAACTAGCTGTTACTGCCTCTGTAGTAATTAGCCTGTGGAGGAGTTTTGTCTGAATTCAACCATGTTGGAGGGTTTTCCAGCTGGAATGGTCCAGTCAAAGGTCAGATGTTCTTCTGCGTCTTCTGATAGAGCAGAATTCATGGTTCAGTCAGTTACAGCAGGTGGTCCAGGACCTGAAGCTGCAGAGCAGCCCCAGACCATCAGACCACCTCCACCATGCCTGACTGTTTTAGTGTTAAGTCTGACTCCAGATGGAATGGGACACACATATTTACTAGGGATGTAAGAAAATATCGATATGGCAATATATCGTGATCTTTTCCCAGCAATATTATATCGATATTCAAAAGCCGTGTATCGGAAATATCGATATGGCAATATATCGTGATATTTTTTCCTGCGATTATTACATTGATATCCAAAAGCCGTGTATCTAATCTTTGAAAGAATTTACATGCAACCATTTGTGTATTTTCTTTTCGTTTTGTGCAATTCAGTCACCACCTGCTAGATGGCAGCAGTGTGCAACAGGTTTTGTTTCCACCATTGAAATGTAAATCCCTCCATCATGGGTCAGATACCTCATCTTAAACATGTTACGTATCAATTTGGACTGTTTATTGAACATTCTTACAAAAAATTCAGTAAAAAAATTGCTTGTAACGTATTGCAATATATCGTGATCTTATCGTCTCCCCTGTATCGTGATATGTATCGTATCGCCAGAATTTCAACAATACACATCCCTGATATTTACCCAGAAGTTTTTCAGGTCATCGGAATGTTTTTTTTGGTAAATGTGAGCCATGTCTGACCTTAACCGTAACCAGGTTAGATGAGGGCAGGATGTGTTGCTTTTTGAGATCTTTTAGCCTACTTCCTGTTGTCAGATGGGTTGTGCTAGTGATGTATTTATCCTCAAGGTCTGGGTGGGGTCAGGTGTGGGTCTTTGTTTTAACAGAGAAGTAAATGTGTCCTCATCAGCTGATCTGTGTGTTTGTTGTCCCAGAGCCGTCAGCTCTCACCTGCAGACCTGTGGCTGCTCCATCGTAGTCGGAAGCAACCCGGAGAAAGTAAACAAGGTCAGTTTGGTGTTTGTGAGGCGTCTGGATGGTCGGTGTGATTATTCTGGATTAAGGAAGTTCACGTCTCCTCTGACGTTTCCCCTGAAGCCTTAAAGTTATTTATAAACGAGCTCAAGCTGCAGATTTCACCACATTCCCCACGTTCTCTTTGATCTCGTTTTGTGTTTTTCAGACAGTTTGTGTTTTGAATCCTTACTCTTATAAGAACCGCCTGTTGTTTTTCCTCCAGATCGTCAGAACGCTCTGCCTCTTCCTCACCCCGGCTGAGAGGAAGAGCTCTCGCCTCTGCAGGTCCGGCTCTTCCTTTAAATACGACACCGGTCTGTTTGTTCAGGGTCTGCTGAAGGTCGGCTCCGTCTCTGCCTTCTGCATCCATTTCCTTCACAATTAAATGTCTTTTCACGAGTTTTATTCTGCGACCTCCAGGACTCCACGGGAAGCTTCGTGCTGCCGTTCCGACAGGTCCTCTACTCACCGTACCCGACCACGCACATCGATGTCGACATCAACACGGTGAAGCAGATGCCGCCGTGCCACGAGCACACGTACAACCAGCGGCGCTACATGCGCTCTGAGCTGAGCGCACTCTGGAAGACGGACAGCGAGGAGGACATCCCTCTGGACACGATCATCCACACTGATGAGACCTTCACCCCTGACCTGTAGGTCTCCCCCCCCCCTCACATACACACACACCTTAGTCTTCGTTGGATCAAAAGTGAAGTTGTTTCATTTGTGCTTCAGGAACGTTTTCCAGGATGTGATGCATAAAGACACTCTGGTCAAGTCTTTCATAGACGAGGTAAGGTAAAGATGGCCGCCAAAGCTAATCGACATTAGCAAACCTCACTGAGCTCATGTTTAGTATTCATGTAGCTGAGAGTCGATAGTGATGATTTCAGGATCAGCACCTCCAAATCTGAGACCATGGTTCTCGACCGGAAAAAGGTGGTTTGCCAACTCCGGGTCGGGGGAGAGGTCCTACCTCTAGTGGAGGAGTTTAAGTATCTCGGGGTCTTGTTCACGAGTGAGGGTAGGAGGGATCGGGAGATCGACAGGCGGATTGGTTCGGCGTCTTGATGCGGACGCTGAACTGATCTGTCGTGGTGAAGAGGGAGCTGATCCAGAAAGCCAGGCTCTCGATTTACCGGTCGATCTACGTCCCAATCCTCACCTATGGTCATGAGCTTTGGGTAATGACCGAAAGAACGAGATCGCGGATACAAGCGGCCGAAATGAGTTTCCTCCGTAGGGTGGCCGGGCTCAGCCTTAGAGATAGGGTGAGGAGCTCGGACATTCGGGAGGGGCTCAGAGTAGAACCGCTGCTCCTCCGGATCGAAAGGAGACAGTTGAGGTGGTTTGGGCATCTGGTCAGGATGCCTCCTGGACGCCTCCCTGGGGAGGTGTTTCGGGCATGTCCTGCCGGCAGGAGGCCCCCGGGTCGACCCAGGACACGTTGGAGAGGTTACATCTCCAATCTGGTCCGGGAACGCCTTGGGGTCCTGCCGGAGGAGCAGGTGGAGGTGGCCGGGGAGAGGATGGTCTGGAGCTCCCTAGTTGGGATGCTGCCCCCACGACCCGGACCCGGATAAGCGGAGGAAGACAACGACGACGACAAAGTAGCTGAGAGTCGATAGTGAGGATTTCATCCACGAAGATGCTTAAAGGTTTTGTAGGGATGATGGGATTTTATCAATAATTTTTGTTTTTGTTTATTTGGGGGCCAGAGCTTTAAAAATCCACTTTTGATGGTTAACAATTAAAAAAAACTGAAATAACTTATTTAAATAAATAAGGCTGGTAACCCAAAGGTAAAGCTCAGACTAATTAAATATTTATTTGAATCATTTTGGTTTCATCAGATCCTTTCTGACGTGATTTTGCCAGAATTTAAATCACAGTTGATGAAGAGATCAAAGTTTTTTTTATTCGTAGAAATAATTAAAATAAAATAGAAGAAACCAAACCGACGGCAGAAGTACGTTTTATTTTATTTCCTCGTTAAAAGTCATCGTGAGCTCGTCCAGGTGGGTTTATCATCACTAAGTTTGCTGTTGGCGAGTTTTATTAGCAGAAAAGAAATCACCAGACGGCGATCTTCCTCAGAACGACAGGAAGACACCATGAAGCGGAAAATCAACGCTCTTCCTGTGCAGATGTGAGTCTGAATGGTGTCGGACCGAAGCGGCGTGTTCGTCAGGAAACGAGCAGCTGTTGAGTCAATTCTCCACAAACTGGAATTTATTTCAGATTCGTCCAAAAAACACAGATCTAAAGATTACAAACAGCTGATTTATTTCAACATGAGAAAACGACGTTTCAGCGACTTATTTATTTATTTAACTTGTGTTTGGGGGGATAAAACCTCATGAGATGAGACTAGATCCGCCCTAGAGTTTTACTAGAGGACAAAAACAACAGAATTCCGTTCGTAACAAGGAATAATCTGTTTACTCAAGTGACCATATTTGGTTTGTTTGTTTACTGTCTGTCGTTAGAATAAAGGAAGTTCATAAGAATAGAGAAGAAAATGCAAAGAAGAAACATTTTTTCTTTAAAACGTTATAGAACAAATGACTCGATGCTTGTGGGTCTTTGGACCTGAATCGGCTCACTTTCACAATGACGACTTGTTTTCTCCTGCAGCTCAGACCCTAACCCCAACCCGGACTCCCGTTAGAGAAGCAGTCGGAGAAATAAACTCAAACAAACGCGCTCAGATCAGAGCGTCGAAAGGATGAATAAGTAAGAGAAATAAAAGGAGCCTCCTCCTTAGTGACAGACCAGTTGCCCGGTAACGAGTTGGTTCCTCATCAGCAGAAGGCCTGTCGGCTTCCTGCTCCTGGACTTCTGAGACGTGTTTTTGTCTCTCAGCAAACACTAGAAACATCTTCTCCCGCACGGCCGCCCTGATCTCTAGATGCAGGCGTTGGGACAAAACCCAGAGGGTCACAACCTCCCGTTGGTTTCCATGTTAGTCGTCTCCGGGTTTCGTTCCCTCACAACAGTATCAGTGTGTTTCTGTTTCAAGGTTGGGGGGGGTTAATTCCATGTTCGGACTACTAATTGACATCCTGTGTGATTCCCAGGTGTTCATGCTGAAGCCGGGCCTGTCCCTACGGAGCGCTTACCTGGCCCAGTTCCTGCTGCTGCTCCACAGGAAGGCCCTCACGCTGCTCAAGTACATCGAGGATGAAACGTAAGCGGCGCTGCTCGTTTGAGTCCAAAAGACGGATAAACAATCCATCAGCTCTGAGATTTGGGTGGATTCGTTCTGTTCGAGTTTATTTAGAAAAAAAACAGAAGGTCTGAATGCTCATGGTTTACAGAAATAACGACGAGTCGACTTCTTGGGAGGATTAAAGAGAGATGAAGCCGCCGAGTGCAGGTTTTTACAGGAGAAGTTCTGTTCTGGAGTTCTGGAGGTGATGTTCTGCTGAGCAGGAGAAACGTCTGACGTGATCAGGAGATTCATTCTTCACAGTGAAGGAGGAATCCATTTTTATCCTTTTACCTTCATGAATCCGTAAATCACCAACCAGAGGTCAGACAAGCTCAGGATTCACAGAGACTAGAGTCAAGTCAGTCGATCTGTTCTCCACTTCAGGAAATACTTTTTAATAATCAAGTTTATTCTTATTTTATGTTTTACAGAATAAAACAAAGCAAGTATAAAAGGATGTCCAAAAAACTCACCCTCACTAAGAGGTTTCAGGTCTCAGGACTTCACCCAAGTCCTGAGACCTGAAACCCTAGTTCTGCAGTGAGTCGGGACTTGCATGGTTCCAGTCTTGACTCTTGGTTTGCATATTTTAAGACCTGACTTGTGATGTGCGTGTCTCTGAACCTAAATTGGCTCGAGACTTGAATGAAAAAGTTTCTGACTCACCTGGCAGACTAGTTCCCACCTGTGGCTCCGAGTGTTTCGGCCTCTGTAAAGTGGATTTTTATCTTTATGGACTCGCATGAAAGAAACGGTTGAAGAAATGAATCGTTGAGCTTCAGAAAACACACGCTTGCACACGCTCCGGAGCGCTTTTTAAGGATTAATAATTAATTGACAAAAACCCATTTCCCCCTAATTTGAGCTGGAGGTGATGAATTACGTCGCCGTGACAACATCATTTTTATTGCATGGGAATCTTCACCAGTAATCCGATGCTTGGCACGTTCCGAATCCCTCAGAGAGCTGTGATTCTGAGAGGTGCCATCACCATTATCATCACGAAAGTCAAACATGGACAATTTATGATCCCCGTTCACACACACACACACACACACACACACACACACACACACACACACACACACACACACACACACACACACACACACACACACACACACACACACACACTTCCCCAGGAGCAGAGCGGATACAAGGTGACCTCCAGGCCATCACTCCACACACAGACTCCAAACTCCTTACTGGTCTTGTCTGTATTTAAATCCCGTCATTTCCCATCGGACCGGCCGGTTCTGGCCCGGCTCCAGATGCTTTCACGTCTCAGCGGCTCCTCTTGTGGCATCCTGGTCATCTCTCCATCTGGACTCGACTCCTCTCCCTCTGCGCTCTATAAACAGGCCCGATTCAGAGCAGTGATCGTTCTCCTGTCCGGCATTCCTAAAAGGGATCCCTCACTAATTGTGAATAAATTCTCGGAGATGTCTGGAAGGCATTATTCCTGAGCAATAACGCGGACTTGTTTATGATGCTGCCATCGCTCTGAGGTCTAAGGGCACATTATTTTACAGAAGCGTGGACAGGATTGTTTATGCCTCCGCCCCGTAGCCACATGCATAATTCAGCAGCTGATTCTGACGCCCAGCTGCTTACCGTTACAGAATATCTCTGTGTTCACAGGCAGAAGGGGAAGAATACCGTTACAGAATATCTCTGTGTTCACAGGCAGAAGGGGAAGAAGCCGTTCCGATCGCTGCGTAACTTGAAGTCGGACCTGGATCTGATGAAGGAAGGAGATCTGGGCATCATCATGGCATTTGCTGAGAAGCTGAGGGCGGGGCTTCACTCCTTTGTGTTTGGGAAGTCGTTCTATACCAGCGTTCAGGAGCGAGACATCCTCATGAGCTTCTGACTTCACTGGACCATTTCAGCCCTTTTAACGTTTGTTTCTGCTTTAAAACGTTCCCTTTTGTTTGTCCTGAAAGGCCTCTGTTCAGAGAAATGGAGTTCTCTAATGTTACAACTTGTCTCCTGTTAAATCTAATTTATACAGACAAACAAAACCTCGTGAAAACAGATTATTTTCCATCATGATATTTTATTCATAAGGAAGGAAACAAACGTGTTGTTTTTTATACAAAAATCTTTTGCATGAAGCATTTTAGTCCAAAGCAGGGAGCAAAATAGATAATAAAACTTAGTTCAGCGATGAAGCCAATCACTGGGTTTTAAATACGTTAAATTTAGTTTTTATGTTGCATTTCACTAATTCTGGTACTGAAGTGGCAGGAAGCGGCACACACACGGTGGTGATGATGTTTTTCTCTAGGCTGATGCAGTTTTAGTTTAAAAAGCAACCAAAATGCAAGTAAAATGCCAACAATAATGTCTTAAGATTTTAGGGTACAGTTTTAGATACTTCTCCTGTGTTTAGTGCATTTATCATAATTATTCGGTCTAAAGAGTTGGCATGGAAGTCTTACGTACTTTTTTCAAGAATTTGGATGGAAAACGTCAAATGAGCCCTCCTGATTGTCAGTTTAGGCATAATTATTAGGTTCAAGTCATTCTTGGTCAGAGTTAGGGATCCAAGGCTAGTCTGAGCTAATGGCTAGTATGAGCTAACAGCTGGGCCGAGCTAATAACTATTTAGAACAACATATAGTTTGGGCTAATGGCTAGGCTGAGCTAATAACTAGTAAGAGATGGCAGTAGTTGGGAGTGAAGGGCTAGTCTGACTTAGCTAGTCCGAGATAACAGCCTAGGTTTAGTTTGAGCCAATAGCTATAACAAGCTCCTAGCTTGTCTTAGCTATTATGTACGCTGAGTAAAGATGAGCCCAAAGTGAGTTTTTGTTGTCTTAAATCAGCTCGGATTTAAACTTCTCCGGGGTTCACTTGATGTTTTATTATAAATTTCTATATCGTTCAGACTGATGAGTCCTAAACTCTATTTCTCTGAACAGAGGCTGTTCTCTACAACAAGTGGAAGTTATTTAAATCTTTTACACATAAATGCCCATGGATTGGCTGAATGTTGTGGACGTTTTGTTTTGGTGCCAAACCTGCATGTTTTTGCTTTTATTATAAAAGCGTAATTCTACTTCCTGTTTGTGACTGCTGTCATGAGCCCTTAGAGTCCAATCCCTCTCCCTCGTCAAACATAATGAGAGTTTTCAGACAGATAAATTATTCATGAGCTCCCACTTAATCGTGGGTCAGGATTAATTTATGGTGCAAAAATTGGCGGAGGTGACATTTGCAATTTAATTTCAGATTGTATTTATTGGAAGAGGAGTTATTAGTGTCCACGCTGCCCGTCGTGTTGGAACAGTTTAAGCCTTTTAAACCCACTGGTGTCTTTTTGTGTTATTGTTTTTAATAAATGCTGATGCTTGTTTTGATGAAATACTAGATAAACGTGTGAATATATGAGTTCCTGTCCTGTTTTAGATGAATTCTCTTTCTCTCACTTAGCCTGTCGTTGGGTGTGAGGATTATAATTTCATCTCCCATCATTAAGTGTTTCTCCCTCTCAGATCAAAGCCTGTTTCTCGCTGATTCTTTAGCCTCTGCGCTTCATGTCTGTATTGTGTGGAACACTGTAAGATGAGCTGATGAATAATAAATGCTGTCTCCGGGGCTTTCTGCTGCTTCACACTTAAACCGGCTCACGTGAACGTGTCGTCTGAAAGGTGAAGAATGAGTGTTTTCCAACCCAATCAGCTGATTCATACCAGGTTTAAATGCTCTCAGACACTGACCGTTTTGAAAGAAATGACTAGTAATCTATCAACTCATCTGAGGTTATTTTATTCACATCCAAGTAAAATAACATCTGAATCTTTGCATTTTCCTTCCCACCAGCCAGGCTTTCCTGTAATCTTCTAAACTGTCCTGGATCAACAGCTCTCCAGACTTTTGAAGGTCTTCAGGACATTTTTTTAGGATTTTTGACTCTATTTCAGTCCTTTATCCTTCTTTAAAAAACAAATGTGTTTACAGGAGCAGTCATTTGTAAAATCTGGAAGTCCCGCCTACTCACCTGCACCCACCCGTGATTTTTTAAACATCAAATGAAGAGTCATGAATAAATCTCTTTTCCTCCGTCGATGCACGGTGTAAACACCATCAGGTTGTCTACGCGACTAAATGCTGCCATCTGATTGGCTGTTTAGATCTGTTTTTTTAATAAGCAGGTAAACGGGTGTACCTAATGTAATGGCCGTGATTACAGATGTGCTGTTGAGCCTTTTAGAGCAAATGAAAATCAAACTGACCTTTCATAAAACACCTTTTAGATGTGCTTATTTGTAATTTAGACAGTTAAGATGTAAAAGTTCACCCTGAGCTGATCATCGGCCCTTCGTCTTTATAGACGTGTTTCTGAAAAATGAAAGAATCTATAAACCTCCCGGTTTCCCTCGAGCCCTGCTTAAAAAAGGCAGATCTGTGCCCATCTATAATCGCCTCAAGCAGGAATATAATTACGAGTCCTCTGGGGGGCCTTGGAGTGGTGCATATTTAAAACAAGACGAGGAGGAACTTTAGGGAGAAGCTGTTAATTACTCATAGAAAATAAGGACTGCACCAAAGATGTCCTTCAGGAATTCACAAGATGTAAACAGAAATTCTTTTAAACTCTCAGAGAAAAGAGGCTGCTCCTCAGAGGGAGGCTTGATAGGCAGGCTTTGAGCCTTTGGATGGGAGGATTTCTCCCTAATAGAACTCTGAGAGTCCGTTAGGGAGGATTTACAGCTGTGACTGGAGGAGAGTTTATCATCGGCCTCCTAAAAAGTACCCCAGAGTGTCAGTAAATACAGGAGAAGCAAATGGCTGCTGCTTTGACCTGAAATGGTTGTTCTTTGCATGCAGTGAGCAGTTTTCTCAGGAGACGGGACCCGAGTCGGTGCAGAAGTTTCCTCCCAAACAGAACCTGGTGTGGCGGGTGGAACACAAATGCTTCCAAATACAGTCAAAGGAAAACAACTAAATGTTTTTGTATTTTTCCCTAAAAGAGGCACCTTCCCACCACCAGGTCCAGGACCACACTCTGCAGCTCATCTTGAGGGATCTCAAGGAGTTCCTAGACGAGATAGAACATAAAGTCCCCCTGAGTTTGTCCTGGGGACTCATGAGACATGAAATAGCTCTTTTCTGAACTCCCCCTATAAATGATGGAGCTTCTGGCCTTATCCCTTGAAGTAGACCAGAAAATCAAACTCCCAAATCACAGTAAAAGGAAGGCCAGATTGTCTTACCCCCAACAACCACCACCCACTCTTGTAGTTGGATGTTGGATCCTAAGGTGTCCCCAGACCATTCTAGAGATATAATCCCATCCCCAGGACTTCCTTAAGGAGGACATTTCCAAAACGCCTCCCCAGAGGCATCTAGCGGGATTTCTGACCATGTAAGCTGACTCCTCTCAACGTGGAGGAGCTCTACTCCTGGATGTCTGGCCTCCTCCCCTGACCTCCTAAGCCCGGCCACCCTCTGGAGGAAACTCATTTCAGCAGCTTGTATGATCTTGTTTCTTTAGTGATTCCCAAAGCTCACAACCAAGAGTGAGGACCGGAACAGAGATAAACTAAACTGCGGGATTCTTTTTTCCCCCTTAGCTACACATTAGACCTCCACTATAGCATGTGCCTCAATGATGGTAGGTGTTGTGTTGCCTCTGGTAGCGGTACGATGCCCCAGACATGAGTGCTGGCAACTGAATAATAATAAACCTGCAATGTCTCTGTCACTGTCCTTCTGTTTCCCTGAGTTGGGAAATTGTCTCACAAATATAAAACAAAAATGTAAAAAAGAACATTTGTCTGCAGTTAAAATGACAGAAGAAAATGTGATGTTTATCAAGAATAATAACAACAAAACCAACAATGATAATAACAACTATACATTTTCCAAATACAATAAAATCCTAATTTATCAACCAAAACTTCAAATTGAAATACATTTTAAAGTAGATAAACTAATAATTTTGTCATTACTAGTTGCATAAAACTTAGTTTTTACATCTCTCTCTCTCTCTCTCTCTCTCTCTCTCTCTCTCTCTCTCTCTACACACACACACACACACACACACACACACACACACACACACACACACACACACACATATATATATATATATATACACACACACATACATATACGTGTGTGTGTGTGTGTGATTTATTTTGTCCCAATTGTTTTTATTACAAATATTTTGTCTTATTTAGCTGACTTAAAAAACATTCAAATGTAAAAAAAAAAACATGTTTGTCAGCATTGGGCGTGGTCTCACGCAGCATTGACATCCGATTGGTCTGTCTTCGTCTCAGTATTTTTCTATTGGTCGGCTCGGTGACAGCCCTGGTCAGAACAGGAAGAGACGGCCATGTAAATACTGAGTTGAGGATGCTAGCTGGGTCCGCGTTCTAAACGAGAAAAAGGGCAGCTACACCTAAAACACCGGAGCAAAGATGAGACTGCCTGGTTTACCGGGAATATTACGGTATGTCTCGCTTACTAACAGACCTTTACTAACATAACAAGAAAGGAAAATTCATAAACGGCGGGCCGCAACCGAAAGCTTGCTGGCTAGCACGGTAGCTAACGATGTTTAGCAGCTTTATTATCAAAAGAAAATAAAGTCCGTCAGCCCAGCTGCATGTTTGGTGTGATGATCGGGTTAATCTCTTTTTGTAATGAGATTAAGGCTGCCAGCAGAATTAAACGTGTCTGTCTTTGCTAAAACTGAGGAAAGTGCCACCAAACCTGGGATTAGTATGGTTCCAGGTTAGTTTCGGGTGGTTCTTTTATTCCATGTTTAATCTCTGAGATTCAAAAACTCTTCGGCTCGTAGTTTATAATCACAGGTTGAAAACAGTCAAGTCGTTTAGATGCGTTTGGTGTTTGTTTGGCTGTTTCCTGTCCTAAACGTCCCAGGATTGATTCAGATTAAATTCTCAGTCCGACTAGTAACATTGTTTTGTTATTAGATAAACATTTGTAAATATGTTGTAGTAGAAAGTATTTACATCTCAGAGTGCTGTGTGGTAATGATCCTGTTATAGTTTCGTATTAAACAAGCTGCTCCAACAACCCAACGTTTGTTTTAATCTGAAAACCACCAGGATTACAAAATCCGTGTTATCAAATTAAGTTTGTTAATTTTACCAACATATAAAATGAATATTGATAAAAGTGAAACATGATTTGTCTGAACAAAGGTTTTATTATTATTGTTATTATTATTATTATTAGATTTAAGTCCTGTTCTGCAGATCCTGCTACAGTTTTATGTTTTTCTTGTTTTTGTTTAAAAAACTCACAAATTCTTCTAAATCCACGTTTGTTCAGCTGTAAAACTCTGTGTTAATGTGATGGTTGCATCATGTCACTTCCCACCTCTGCCTGTCTTCTCCTGACACACACACACACACACACACACACACACACACACACACACACACACACACACACACACACACACACACACACACACAGGTGCATGGTAAAATTCACTTCTTTATTAAAATCGTGTTTGTTTCATTGACAAGCACTTAGGCTGGTTGGAGGTTTACTTACGAACAGAAAGGCGGCTCAGTGAAAACGCCACATGCTCTACATTGTGATCACCTGTAAATAAAACTGAAACCAGGTGAGGCGATGGATAGTGAGTCATCTCCAAAGTGCTTCGGATGCTGATTTCATTCACTAGTTGTTTTGTAATCTGAACTATCAGTACAGTAAACGGAAATGAATGACATCACGCATATAAAGAAACCTGACAGCAAACCAGAGTCTGGTCTCCTGATGGAGTCTGGGTTTGGGCTGAACTTAAAATTAATTCTGCTTTGATGGACAGTTTAAAAATCGGAGTTTCTGTCCAAAAGGTGCAGTAATTATAATTAGTTGTTTATCAGCTAACATCTGTTAACTTATAATACTAAGTTTCTGATGTCTTGTTGTTGATTCAGATGCTATTTAAATGTCCAGAGGTGTTTTTGTTCCATATTCCAAGAAACAGAAGCAATAATGAACGGAGTTCCTGTCAAACCATAACTTTTACTTTAAATCAAAATCCAGAGGCTGGAACTTTTTTCTTTTACAAAATCTGGCAAAACAGAGAAAATGGGTCGGATCTGATGTAGCTTTGACCAGATGTAAACACAAGCAGTTCCTGAAGTTCTGTCTGTTGCCATGGTGATCTAGCTGGAAACAACTCCCCGACCTTCAGCTCCACGTATTCGACGAACCAGGAGGTAGTTTGTAGTTTTGTAGTCCAGCCTGTTGATGGATCCTGCTGCAGATCTAAAGTTCCTTTATGAAATCCCTTTATTCAGCCAGTTTTATTACTGTCATCATTCATAAACACAAGGTTAACCTGATTTCAGCTACAAAGGTTTTATTTCTTCTCTTCTTCATAAATGTTTTACATTTCTTATTTACTTTGTTTTACAAAGACAAAAAGGAAAACCTGAGCAACTTCCTGAGTCGCTGCTTTCCTCCAATCGTCTTTTAATTCCAGTTTTTATTTGTGAGTTTCTTCACTTCTGAGGTTTATCTACAGAGTTTAACGACTGTTGGTTTTGTTCATTTTTGTTTCTCTTCATCTGATATGTTCACTTTTATTTTTGTATGTTTAAAACAAAAATATACTAATGATCATATGTTTACTTTTTACTACTTATAACATTTTATGAGAATAAACCCTTAATCAAATCCCCTGAAATCACGTTTCCATTCATTTGGTTTAGTTTGTTTGATCTGCATCAGTTTATTTGACACCTGAATAATTTTGTTCTTGTTTAAACGGTTTCCTCCACGTTGGGCTTATTTGGGTCAAGGGTCAGGGGGTTTTGCTTCCCTAATCAGGGGTTTTCTTTAGTTTCAGACATCAGACTGAGAGCCTGTGACCATGGATGGAGCCGCTCCCAAAAACAATGAATCGAACTTCTTCAACATCGAGCATTTGGATTTAATCCTCAACAAACACAACTCAAACTTCATCTGGCTGCTTGTTGGTGAGAGACAGACCATCATTATTTTTTGAGTTGAGCTTGTTTTAGGTGTTGATAAATACACATTTGATTAAGTTAAAATGACAATACTTAAGGACGCATTAAAGAATCGACCAGGCTGAAAATCAAAAATTCCATTTTGTTTTGTGGTCCTTAAACGCGTCATCGTCAAACAGAAATAATAAAAACAATAACATTTTCCTGGACTGTGAACTCATCATTTCTAAGCACTGACTGACAATAACAGAAATGTAATGCCGTTCATCGGGGTTAAACGTGGAATCGAAGCTTCTCTAATAATGTTTTTGTTCAGTTAGAATAGATATTAACCCAAGAATGAAAAAATCAGGCACAGCATTGACCTTTTAAAAACCGCATCACTCCTATTTGTCCTTCTCTTTGTGCCTTTTATGCTTATTTTAAATTTTTAATAATGTTCTACAATATCTTAGGAAATGATGCTGCACTTAATGAAATGTAAAAATGATTTTTTTTCTTATGAGATGAAAACATTAAAACTTTGTTTGTTAAAATTCAGTTCAAAAATACTTTATTAATCCCAGAGGGAAATTGATTGCTGTAGTAGCTCAGAATAATAATAATAATCAAGTCATCAAAGAGTTGTTGTATATTACAATGGCTGTTGGCAGGAAGGATCTCCAGTAGCGGTCAGTGTTGCAGCCAAACTGAAGAAGCCTCTGACTGAAGACACTCTTCCGTTGTCGGACAGTCTTGTGAAGAGAACGCTCAGGGTTGTCCATCATTTTCTTGATTCTCTGGACAATCCTTCTTTGCATTATCTCCTCCAGCGGTTCGAAAACTGCCAAAACTCTGGCTGAGTCCTTGAAAGGGCTTGGAGTTCCTCCATCTTGTTGGCCAGTGATCTCACATTGCCCATTATGATCGATGGAAGAGATGGTTTGAATTTCCTCTTTCTCCGTCTCCGTTTTGCTCCCGCTCTGCACCCACGCTTCTTGCGTTTTAGCTCATTTGGGATTTGCGGCTTCAGTTGAGGTATTATTTCAGCCTTTCCAAAGTTAATCAGCTGCTCCCGATTGTAAACCAGCTTGTTGCCATGGTTACGCATCATAACAAATGCTCAAAAAGTGCGAAAAGCTAAAAAATAGCAGTAAAAATCCTCCAAGCTTCACAGCACCAGAAACAGAAAAGTAAAGTGTCCAAAAAATACAGTTTTTCTTGAGAAACTAGAAGAAAAAATGCCCAAGAAAAGGCAAAACTTACATATAGTCAACAGCTACTCCAGCATGCAGCCGGCCAGAGCAGCGCAGTTCTGGGGGAAAAAAAAGCTAAAACATCCAGTTTGATTCTATAATAATAAATAATTCTTTGTTTTTTCTCCTTTCAGCGACCATTCTGTCCTGTGGATGGATCATTTATTTAACTTATTATAACTCCCGTAACATCGGCCTCGTTCTCACCCTCATCATCAACAGGCTGTATAAGGATGGCTACATCCACATCGGTGAGTGTGGCCCAGCTGAAGCAGGAGTTTCACCACCAACAGGAACACGCTGGTTTTGGTTGTTTTAGCAGGTTTCCGCTGTGTTGCAGGAACCTTTCAGTCGTTCTGAAGAGTTTTCTGAGCAAATGTTTGCAGATGGAACAGCCTCTGTTCAGAGAAATAGTTTACATTCTTCAATACTTATGAGCTAACAGCTAGTCCTGTTATTGACTGTAGCTCTGAGATCAGCTGACCTGATGCTTTTGTTTGGGATTCAATCAGTTTTACATTTGAAATAATCAACGGAGGAAGGCTTTACCAAAGGATGGATTCAAAATGTGGGTTTTTCACAACCAGTTGCATTAAGAATTACGTTGGAGTTGTATATTTTTACTAGTTTTTCCCTGTTTGTTTAAACATACCTGCAAACTTGTCACTTTTTGACAAAAATCAGTGTTTTTGAAGCCAGATATAACGTTCACGTTAATCGTATAGATCTGAAGAGTTTTTGTTTTGGGGAGGGGGTCTTCTGTCGGATTTCAGTCACTCTTTATGAGAATCTATTTTCAGAGCAAGGAGGGATATTTATCTTGTTCACAAATGATCTTTGTTGTAGCGTGTCAGTCACACGTTGTCATTCGACCAATCACAGTGGAGACAGCATGCCAGAGACTGCAGACGCTGTGGCCGTGTGGCGCCTACAGCACGCCTGGCTGCTGTTGCTTCAACATCTCGCTGCATTTTTGAGCTCAAAGTTTATCAGATCACTAAATAACAGGTTTTCTGTCAAGGACTTTGGCAGATTTCCCTCCTCTATAGATGTTTCTCGAGGCACGTCAGTTTATTTATTTATTTATTTATTTTTTAGTTTGGAGATTAACAAACACAGCCATTTATTTAACCCCATTAAAAAATAATATTAGCAACATAGATACGTTTTTCTTTTAAAAAATGGCTGCCAGTACCATACCATGTTTATTTGTAAAAGCACATTTAAAAACAGCGTGCCAGCTGAACAAAGGGCTGCACAGGGTAAAAACACGCTACAGAAACACAGGTGAGATGACGGCTGCCATCTTTAAATGCCTAAGAAATCCTAAACCTTTAGCCTGCCTTCAGTTTCATCTTAACCTGTTTAACCCTAACGCCTCCCCAGCTGGGGGCATCTACTTTTTCACATCCCAAACATCTACAACTGTCCACATTCTCCAAACACAACTACAACTACAACCAAACAGCCCAGATGGGAAACAAGGCCATTTTAGATTGTAATAAAGTAAGATACAACGATAGTTGAACTTTATTTTAGGAGAGCATCTGACCTTCTCTGGTGTCTGCTGGGAAAAAAAAACCTTGAACAAATGTAGTCGAGGATCCCTAGAATAAATAAAACAACTGACTAAATTTCCTAAATGGAATTTGAACTCACAACCTCCATCCTGTCAGCACGTTCACACAGGGCAGCTCTTCTAAAATAAAGTTCAAGTATTATTTTATCTTAATGCATCAAAAAACAAAAATTGCTTGGTTTACAGTGTAAACTGGTTTGATTGTAGCTGTAGCGGTGCTCGGGGAATGCAAACCATCACTGACACGTGGGACATGAAACTCCAAAGGCCCCCGATTAGGAGGCCCAAAGAAAAAAGGCCTAGGGCCTAAAGGGTTAAAAAGTTGTTTACATTGAATATTGTGATTGTTTATAAGGAATATGGGGATTTTATTGTGTAAAATTGTGATAATGTTGTGGTTATTAATGTGGAGTTTTGTTGTTATTCACATGTAATACAGTGGTTATTACCATGTACTTCTGTGGTTTGACTAGGAGAGCTCTGATCCGCTGGAGAAAAGCAAAACATTCCCCACAAGCAGGAATGTTGGTTTGGTTGTTGGAGCGTGTTCCTGCAGGGCTCTGAACGTGTCCGTGTTCTGTTCGTGTTCAGCCGATCCGAGTGCTGCAGGAAAACATCAATCTAGACAAGCTCCCTGGTTCTTTCTCACTCTCCAGCCGCACGTCCTGTTTTTCTGTCAGTCAGCAGAAAAAATCCTAAACATGTCAACCTGTCAGCCAGAATAATAAAGCTCAGGTGTTTCTGTTGTGTTTGGTCGGATGATTAAAGCAGAAAACCAGATTAATGGTTGGGAATTACATAAGTTTTTGGTTTTTTTATCTTCGTTTTCTGACACCGGCTGAAAGGTTTGAGTTGGATCCTAATTCAGGATAAAACCCGAGTGATGAAACACCAAATCGGCTTTCAGATCCACGCAATAAAACCTCAGTAGTTACATAATCAACTTAATTACTTCTGCTCTGGGTTGAGTTTAATCAGATTGATCCATTTCTGTTTGTGTGATTAAAAATGTTTGACCTGTCCGGTTTTCTGTTCTCAGGCTCGTTCTCCTTCTCCGTGCTGTCGGGAAAAGTCATGTTCAGAGAGGTTTATTTCATCAACCAGGACATGTCCATCAGGTCACCCGATCTCCTCTAGCCCTCCTGCCACCAGCTGCGCCGCCGCCGCTCAACTGTCTCATGGTTTTATTCTTTGTGTTTCAGGATTCAGGACGGCCTTCTCATATTCCGCTGGTGGAAAATGTACAACCCCAAACAGAAGCAGCATGGTGAGCCAAGCATGATGTGTTTAAATATTCAAGATTTAGAGATACCTGATGGTAGATAAACAGAAATCCGCCGTGAGATGAAAGTAATGAACAAACCATTCAATATTAAAGGCCAAGTTCACTTAGAAACCGTTATTTACTTGTTATGTTTAGGTCCGGGACTTTAACGCATTAATTATGATTAACTAATTAGAAAAAAATGACGCGTTAAAAACATTTCACGCATTTAATCGCAGCTTGCATTTTGAGCACGGCGGAACCTTTGTTATTGCACGACTTCCTCGTAGACCGAATATCACTGACGCACACAACAATGCACAGTGCTAATGGCTACTAAAATGGAAAAAATGCAGAAAGAAGTTGCCTTGCTTGGACTAATGCAGGATTTAGGAAATTCTTAACTTGGGAAAAAAAAACTTCCAGACAGCAACGAAGTCCGTGTCGCGGACATTTTTCAGAGATCGTCTCTGCTGCGGCTGCCCGGTGGCACCGGAAACTTTACAAAAGTTGCGGTAAGCTATATTTTTAACATTTATGTAACATCTGTGCAGCGCTGAAAGCACCAGACAGAATAATTCTGTGCCCTAACAGTAGTTTATGAAAGTAGTCGAGACAAACGAGAGGCACCCGGCTGCCGCTGGGAGAACTCTCCGTGTTCTCACTACTCTGTAAACAATCACAAGCTACGTGTCTTAAAGTTGAAAACAGAAGTTTAAGTTAAAACAGAAACGCTCTGAAACTTTTCTGATGATTTTCTAAACAATTCTGTCGGGGAGTTATACGTTTCTGAGACGAGTCTCTGTCTAAACATCACATGCATTATTATCATTAAGCAGCGAGGTGTGTTGAAGCTGTCATCAGCTAAGGGGCGGATGCTTAAGTGTATCAGGGGCAGCGAGGAACGAGGAAGTTGTGATCAGGCTGGAGATCACACCAGATTCGCTGCTGCAGGTGTGAATCTGCGGGTCTGCAGCACCCCCTTCTTAACGTGACATCAGGACTTCCCATGTAAGGAAGGTCCGCTCACCTGTTGGCCAGATCATTATTTCCTCGCTATGATCTTTTATCTTCCCATCAACCTCCAGTCATCCAACTGGAACCAGTTAGTGTTCCTGATCATTCTCAGAATATGCCACGCCTGCTCTGGTGTTAAAAGTTAGTACATTTAAGTCCTAGATCATAAGTCCTAGATCATATTTGTGCCTGTTTACTGTCATTTTGTATGGTTATTATTTATTTATGTGTTTTTACTACATTATGAGTAGAAATGCTAATAAAAACTCCCAATTATACAAACAAGTGAAACTGGAAAAATTAGAATCTGGTGCAAAGTCAAATTTATTTCAGTAATTTAACTAGACAGCGAGACTATTTAAAGGCTCAGGAACCCTTTGCAGGTGTTTTCTATTTGTAGTTATAAATTTTAGTTGATTTGGGTTTTGTTTCATATCACACAGTGACATTTGAATAATTCAAATGCTTTTTTTTATTAAAAGCTTTTGTTCACAGTAATAACCATGTCTAATGTTTGATTCTTGGTCTCATAATTTTAATTAAAAGTTTTGCTTTGAGAGCACATTTTCCTGAACGATTAAAATGCGATTAATTTAGATTAATTAATTACGAAGCCTCTAATTAATTAGATAAAAAAATGTAATCAAGTCCCAGCCCTAGTTATTTTCAAAATATGATCGGTGACTCTGAGTTTCACATGCAAGCTAAATGTGAAAATAGTTTCCTACACCTATTTCCTGCATGGGTCACTGATGGGAAACAGACCGGGGAAGCCCTCTGATTAGAAAAGCCAGTGAGGTCTACATCACACTGATTATTAGCACCCGTCTTAACTACGGGTGGGTCAGTGTCCAGGAAACAGAGCACGTCTTGGCTAGTCGAAGCTAACCGTTAGCATTAGCAGCTCCACCACACGGCAGAACTCCTTCAGGCTCCATCAGCATGTGAATGTGTGTGTGGTTGGACGAATGATGAAGCGCTTTGGAGTCCTCTGACTTTGAAAGACTCAAACACAAAAATATTGCTTGCTTGTAATGATTTTGGTTTGTAGTGCCTCCTACCGCCTGGGAAAATCCACAATGTTGCTTTAAAGATGAAGTATGCATGATGGAAGATGTGTGATGTTGGCCTCTAAGAATTATTTAGTTTTTCTTCTTTCATTAGCTGGGTGTGCTGCATATATCTGTATCAGAAATGAAGAGTTACAATATCAAGATATCAGTAAATAAGCCAACATTGAGCATTCGTAATCAGAAAGTCTGTGCCATCTCTGACCTGCTGTCCTTTGTAAATTAGTAATGTTGTAGTGGCCACAGAGAAATGGTTCGTTCTGAGGAAAGCTGGTTTTACACAACATTAGCGTAGAAATGCCACCTTACATTTGCAATTCCACTTAACCGTCATCAGTATCTAAATGTTGCAGAACAGCGCTAGCCCGAGCTGCTGCTAATGTCTCCTGTTGTGAAAAATTTGCTCTAAAACATCTAAAACTGTGGTAAATAGAGAAAGGTTTTGCTTCATTTGTTCCTGCAGATAGTTTCCTGTTTTCGACAGGTTTGATAAGATCAGAGGAGTGTCGTTGATCTACACTCTTTGATGTTCATGTGTTTAGGAGACGCTTTTATCCAGAGGGACTCACTTTTTAACATGACAGCAAACTGGAGAAAACCCTCCCACGCACGCATTAGGAGAATAGGCTAGCTCCTTGCAGAATGGCTGCAGCTGAGATTCAAACCAATAATACCTAGCTACGGACGTAGCCCCGGCCAAACACGCCCCCGGCACCCCCCCCCCCCCCCCCCCCCCCCAAGCACTGTTCTTGTGTTTGTAGAATACCTCCGGGCTACCACATTGCTGTTGTGAGTTTGCTGCTTATTAGATGAGGAGTCATAAACGGTCAAATAAATAGCCTATTGTTACGTTTATTTTGGCCAAAAGGCTTGCATGTAGCCCATTAAAAATTATATTAAAAAAATTTGCGTCCATGACGTCTTCCCTCACTGCCAATAATGCTTAATTTTATATAAAACTGTTTCAGAAAAAAATTACGAATGCGCTATCTATCAAACTATGTCTTAAACGTTCAAATTTCTAGTACAAAATCTTAGCAAGTTGTAAAAATATAAATCTGTCTTTACCTGAACCGTCATTTCCATCTCTTGCAACACGCATGCGAGTTCTCATCTTCGTACATGCACGCGTGTTTTGTACATAGGGGCGTGTTTGGCCGGGGCTACGTCCGTAGCTAGACCTTACTCATTCAAACCTGTAGTGTTGCCAGCTGCACCACCGTGCAGTCCCTTATAAACCATGAATCTGTTTGTTTTCTTATCCTTTTAACAGATCCAAAGGCAGAAACCAGGCTTTACGTGACCGTCAACGGTTTTGAGTTCCACGTCTACAACCGCACCGACCTCTACGCACGGCTGCAGGAGACGTTCGGACTGGAATCCACACTCCTGACTCCCAAGAAGGATGAGGAGCGGGGACAAGACACAGAGACTCTGGAGAGGTGAACGGGTTCCTCCTGCTGCAGTAAACAGCATTCATTGTGCTGCTCAGTTTGTTTACACTTAAATGTTCAGTGTCCATGCTTTTATGTGGAAATTAAACACACCCAGCCTCCAAACTCACCAGATACCAGCCTGATGATTAGTTATTTCATCAGATTACTCATTAGTACTTTTTACAACCTTTAATTTTATGGAAAAAAATCTGTTTTTCTGTCTTTTAACTTCCTGTTTGGACATCCGCACGTCCAAAGCAGCTCTAGTTAGATTAAGCACTTTCCTTGTCTTCACCATTACTAAACAGCTCAACCTGGTTTGTTTTCATTCAAAATCAACAAAATGAACAAGAACAGGCAAAGTGAACACAGACCATAATAAACAATCAGGTGCTTTTATTTTGACAAGTCACACCTCAGTGATGGCAACAGGAAGTGCTGCACTGATGTCTTGTGCTCTTCTTGTTTTTGTACAGTGTGAACATCAAAGCAGAAAGTCCAGATCCCACGTCGTCATGGCGATCGCTGATTCCTGTCATCAAAGTCAACATCAGCACCGTAAGCGTCCCACAGCTTCTGACCCGTTTGTTAATTTGGAGAAATCTGGGATCTCATGGACTTTTCTGCTCCCACAGGGCCGCTTAGCGTTCGGGAACCACCACCTCCCCCAGACGCTGTGTGTGAACTTTGAAGACGCCTTCCTAACGTACGCCACCAAACCTCCATCCAGCCACCTGGACCAGTACATGCACATCGTCAAAGGCTCCCTGGAGAACGTGCGCGTCATGCTGGTTCCCAGTCCTCGTTACGTGGGCTTAACAAACGATGAGTGAGTTCAGTTTAGCATGTCCAGAAACTGGATAATTATGCTGCACGTTCTTCACATTCTTCCTCTTATTATCTAATGGTGTGATGCTTAAACACACAACAGCTGAGGGCTCATTATTTGTTTTTAAAGTCGTTAAGAGATCAAATAGTTTTGTTTTACCGTTTACTGAGTAGAAATGCAGATGTTGCATACCCATACCTTGCTTCATATTTGTTTCATTTAGTTTAAAGTACGAGTTTTCTCTGTGTTTCTGTGGCTGTAGACCTCCCAGACTGATGGGCGAAGGCTTTGTTGTGATGCAGTCCAACGACGTTGACATCTACTATTACCAGGATGAACCCGGTAACTCGTGATAATCAGAGCTGATTCTCGGCTGCGCCTGGTTTTTACTCTACACCAGAGGCTCTGCTGTAGCTTCGTGTTTGTTTCTCAGAGTTTCTGCGAGTCCTTTGTCTGATTCTGACACCCGGCTGTGTGTCTTTGTGCAGGTCTTGTCGCTGAGGAGCTGGAGAATGAGGAGGAGGCGGAAACCAGCAGCGAGGATGATAAACTCCAGGACCTTCCGCCGTGTTGGGGTCTTGACATCGTCTGTGGGAAAGGAACCGACTTCAACTACGGACCCTGGGCGGACCGCCAGAGGTGACACAAGCACACAAAGCCTGTCTTTATCAGCTTTTAGCTGGAAAACATCTCTGGATTTTTTCACAGTTTATTGGTTGTGGCTTTTATACAGCAAGGTTTTCACAAATGTGTACATGTGCCCTGAAGCTGGTAAGCGCGTGGATGTATGATGATCAGTAGTTTTAATGGCACAAAGCTGATTTATTTGCCCATTTTATTCTTGATTTAACTTCCAGCTTGTTGAAACATCTTGGTTTTTATGTCATTTGTACCTAAATAATGGCTGGAAACGGACTAAAGTTGGGATAAACTGAAACTAAACTAAGTCACGAATAAAATTATATCTTTATATAATTCTTAATGTCTCGTCTCGTCTCGTCTCTCGTCTCGTCTCGTCTCGTCTCGTCTTCCTCCGCTTATCCGGGTCCGGGTCGCGGGGGCAGCATCCCAACTAGGGAGCTCCAGGCCGTCCTCTCCCCGGCCTTGTCCACCAGCTCCTCCGGCAGGACCCCAAGGCGTTCCCAGACCAGATTGGAGATGTAACTTCTCCAACGTGTCCTGGGTCGACCCGGGGGCCTTCTGCCGGCAGGACATGCCCGAAACACCTCCCCAGGGAGGCGTCCAGGAGGCATCCTGGCCAGATGCCCAAACCACCTCAACTGGCTCCTTTCGATCCGGAGGAGCAGCGGTTCTACTCCGAGTCCCTCCCGAATGTCCGAGCTCCTCACCCTATCTCTAAGGCTGAGCCCGGCCACCCTACGGAGGAAACTCATTTCGGCCGCTTGTATCCGCGATCTCGTTCTTTCGGTCATTACCCAAAGCTCATGACCATAGGTGAGGATTGGGACGTAGATCGACCGGTAAATCGAGAGCCTGGCTTTCTGGCTCAGAGGGAGCTGAGCCTAATTCTTAATGTAACACACATATCATAATAAAAAGCCCTGCTCTGGCTTCACTTCCTGCTCCAAGCTGAAAAGGTGTGATTCGTGCCCGTGAAGGGGTAATAGTAGAAGGGGTAATAGTAGAAGGGGTAATAACAGCAGGGGTAATAGCAGCAGGGGTAATAGCAGAAGGGGTAATAGCAGCAGGGGTAATAGCAGAAGGGGTAATAGCAGAAGGGGTAATAGCAGAAGGGGTAATAGTAGAAGGGGTAATAGCAGAAGGGGTAATAGCAGAAGGGGTAATAGCAGAAGGGGTAATAGCAGAAGGGGGTAATAGCAGAAGGGGTAATAGCAGAAGGGGTAATAGCAGAAGGGGTAATAGCAGCAGGGGTAATAGCAGAAGGGGTAATAGCAGCAGGGGTAATATCAGCAGGGGTAATAGCAGAAGGGGTAATAGCAGAAGGGGTAATAGCAGAAGGGGTAAGGACGGTCAGAGTGCAGTTTGATGGACAGATCCAGATCCAGTCATTAAAAATGGGACATTGACAACAGCTTTTTTCCAGGATTGAGTGTTTGGTGATTAATATTTATTTTTTTTGACAAAACATTTAACTTATTGGTTGAAATCAGTATGTGAAGGCAGCAGCCTGAGCCGAGACGTCCAGACTTCCCTCTCCACAGCTACTTGGGCCAACTCTTAACGGGGGAATCCCAAGGTGTTCCCTAGCCAGCTGAGAGTCATCGTCCCTCCAGCGTGTCCTGGGTCTTCCCTTGGGTCTCCTCCCGGTTGGACGTGCTCGGAAAACCTCACCAGGGAGGCGTCCAGGAGGCATCCTGCCCAGATGTCCGAGCCATCTCAACTGGCTCGTATTGATGTGGAGGAGCAGCGGATCTACTCTGAGCCCCTCCCGGATGACCGAGCTTCTCACCCTATCTCTAAGGGAGAGCCCAGCCACTCTGCGGAGAAAACTCATTTCGGCCGCTTGTGTCCGCGATCTCGTTCTTTCGGTCACTACCCAAAGCTCATGACCATAGGTGAGGGTAGGAACGTAGATCGACCGGTAAATCGAGAGCTTCGCCTTCTGGCTCAGCTCTCTCTTCACCACGACAGACCGGTACAACGCCCGCATCACTGCAGATGCAGCACCAATCCGCCTATCGATCTCACGCTCCAGTTTTCCCTCACTCGTGAACAAGACCTCGAGATACTTAAACTCCTCCACTTGGGGCAGGACCTCATCCCTGACCCGGAGAAGGCATTTTACCCTTTTCCGATTTAAGACCATGGTCTCAGGGCCGAGAAGTCCTTCAGATGTGTAAATAAAGCAGCAACAGGCTAAATAAAACATAAAGACATAAAAATCCACTAAAACAGAAACAGATTTAGTTCAGTGGCCGTCTGAATGTCTGCTGTTCTTTTATTTAGTGTTAACAGGATTCCTCTCCTTCATGTTGTAGTTAAACATCCCGATGTTAGAGAAGCTGGTCGTAGAGGTTATAAAATAACCAGTTTTTTATGTGATTTGACTTTTAAGGGATTGTCTTTGGAAGTTTTTCCTGCCTGCTGACTTTCAGCCCATGAGAGAGACGGAACCTGCTCAGCCTGGAAAACCAAGGCAGATTCAAGCCTTCGAGCTCCGCATGAACATCATTGCTGATGCCACCATCGATCTGCTTTTCACCAAAAACAGGGTGACTCGTTTCTTCTCTTCTTTCAGCTGCTTTGATCTCACTTCCCCTCGCTGCTGTGCCTCATCTTTGTCTCTGTGCCTCACCGTATTCCACTTATTGATATTGGTTCATGTTTTATTCTTTTTAAATTTTCTTCCTGGAGCAGTGGATGTTTTTTTGTTTTAGCTAAATGCGTGAAAGGCATACTAAAGGCCACATTAATGTGTGTAGAATAAAGATGGGAATAGGCCTGAAAAAGGCAGCCTTGTGCTTTTATCGCCTCTTTTGCTCAGAGGAGGTGACTGTAAGTCATCTCTATTAATCAGACGTCCCTGTTTGCTTCCTGTCTCCTGTGCTCGTCTCCATTGCTGTTACTAGGAAACCAATGCCATCCATGTGAATGTCGGTGCCGGCTCCTACCTGGAAGTCAACATCCCCATGACTGTCGGGGAGAACGGTAAGTGTGTGTGTTTCTCGGCGAGATGAGCAGAATAAAGATGTCCTCTTTAGAATCTGACATTGTTGAGTTTAAAACTTAAAAACATAGAAGCATCTCATCAGCTGAAGGCCCAAAGACAAACCTAGAGCCACTCAGACTCCTAACTTATTTGACCCATTTATTTAAACAAAGGGGGCGTGGCTTAGATGTAGCCACTAGGGTACATTTGTCAGAAAAAACATCAACTTACTCGTTCAATTGAATTTTTTAGTAGTTACTTGTATGCTCAGTGGTTGGAGGCACAAAATTGTGAGACAGTTAGCAAGTATGGTTCGGAAATATGCTGATTCAGAGAAACCGCATTTTCTGTCACTTTTAGGCCGGTTGTGTTTCTGACGGAAGTTCACCCGTACGCCGCTTACACACTGGCATCGGCTCTGTCCCGCCCCCATTCATTCCACACTGCCTTAGGAATGCAGATGTGATTGAGCACATGGGCGGTATGTGGTCTGTGATGTCACTAGCGCATGTGGGCGGGGCTAAAAGAGCACGGTGTCTCCATTATTAAAGAAAAGCAGCCTGAGCCGACTCTCTGGCTCTGATATTGCGTCCTGCTGTGTGTGTGTGTGTGTGTGTGTGTGTGTGTGTGTGTGTGTGTGTGTGTGTGTGTGTGTGTGTGTGTGTGTGTGTGTGTGTCACAGAAAAAACAGCTTCAGTCAGAGGGTTGTTAACTCCACAGCATCCAGAATGATCATGAATCACGCATGTGGGAAGCCCCTACGCGATGATTCTATCCACCAATCGGACGCTCCCTCTGAAGATGTGCATGCTTTTGAGTCAGCCAATCGGTCAGCAGTGGGTGTGTCGGCCCAGTTTGGCTCCAGGCAGAGCTCCTCGATAAGAGGGCTAAAAAGACGTCTGGTTGCGGGGGGGGGGGGGGGGGGGGGTACACAAACGCAAGGCTACGAGAACACTCCCAACCCGGGCCCGGCCGAGTGGAGCCGATGCTAGTGTGTAAGGGCCGTTAGATGAAGCAGTGAGAACCGAAGCATCTGATGCTAAATTAAATTAAACGTGCCTCAAACCTGCAGAACTTTATTGCTTCGGTACATAATTAATGCTGTTTTCTGAGAAATTGGAACTTTCCTACAGTAAAATGTTTCTTTGAAGCGTCTGAATTTGAAACGCAAAGCCAGAGAGTCTTATGCAGTAATTTATCCCACCGAGCTGAAAACCTTTTAGAGTCGTCGCTCAGCTTTCTCCTCAGTTCCCTAAAACTCTGCAAAGAAAAGCAGATTTTCAATTTGTGCTCGTAAATAAACTCATTCGGAGAGTTTAGCTGTAGGTTTTTTACACTTCCTGTCTCGTTTGGCCTCAGGTTACTCTCCCACCATCAAAGGTCAGCTGCTGCATGTGGACACCACCAGCAGCATGCAGTACCGGACTCTTCTGGAGGCCGAGATGTTAGCTGTGAGTGGCTGGACGAAGATTTTAGATACTCTCTTCTCTCTGGGAGTGAATAAATACATGTGTCTGCCTCTGCTTCAGTTCCACGTGATCGCCAGCTACCCCCGGATTTGGAACATGCCCCAGTCGTGGCAGTGTGAGATTGAGGTGTACAAGGCCACGTACCATTTCATCTATGCTCAGAAAAACTTCTTCACTGGTGGGTGGAGCAAACTCAACAAAACAAATAAAACATTTAAACTGACTGTTGGCTAAAGCAACTTTTTGTCCTTATAGATCTCATCAAGGATTGGGCGAGCGACAGCGCTCCTGATATCTACTCCTTTGTTCCGTATTCCTGGAAGTTCAAGGTCTTATTTCACCAGTTTGAGATGATCTGGGCAGCTAACCAGCACAACTGGATCGACTGCTCCACCAAGCAGCAGGAGAACGGTAACTTGTGGTGGAGATGTCATTTCCTCCTCCTCCTTCATCATCTTCTTTTCCTTCTCTGCCTCCATCTTCCTCTGTTCCTCCTTTTCCTCTTTCTTATCTTCCTCATCCTCCTCCATCTTCTTATTCTTTTCCACCCCTCCTCCTCTCTTGCATCGATGTTTGAACTCCCGTATGTGCTTAGTTTTTATTTCCTGGCCATCCTGAACTAAACAAAGAAAGATGGTCGCCGCTAACTCACGGTGGTGTTTTAGCCTCTGAGCTAAAATTAGCCATAGATCAGCATGATGTCATCACTCTGAGTCTTATCAGATCCCGCTACCTCCTCAGTGGTGACTTCTTCTCTAGTCGTGTCAAGAACAGTTAGAATGGCATCATTTGTCAACATAGTTATAGGGCTGCACAATATATCGAAAAATTATCGTCATCGGGTTAACAGGACGTGCGATAGGCCCATCGCAAAGCACGCCAAAAACGGCGATAAATGTTTGGTTCAACGTTTCCATCCGTGTCACACATCAACTTTTTGTAAACCAGCTCTGTTTTTTACGCGGAAGTATTATTTGACCAATCAAATGTAGCCCTTCTGATATGCGGCCAATCAGATGGGTCCGTTCATGTAATACGCCCGCCCCCTACGTAGACCCTTAGGATGGAAAGCAACGCCCGAACTGAGTTAGCGGCGCCGTTCCCTTGTTCGTCATGCTGGCTCAGAGCAACGAACGCACTTTGTGCTGAGGTTTCTGGATTCAGCGCTGCTTTCAAACGTGAACGTGAGTCCGCTTTGTGTCGTTAATCATTTTTACCGGGCTGACTCCGACACGTGCCGGTGAACCAACCCACCTTCATGTCACTAGTGTTGCACCGGGTGGTGATGTTAGCCCATCGACATATAAATACTGGACAATTCATTTCCATAGACTCCAATAACACGTTTTTGAGGCCAAATGGGAGGTGGCCACCACCGCCATTTTGACCGTGTTACACGTTCCGTCAAGCCCAGACAATTCCACAAAAGGGAAGAGAGGTGGAGCTGAGGGTGGGGCTGTAAGGCTGGGATCAACTGACGACACGCGGTCGAACTAGCTACAAGCTAACCTGAAGCTAACCAACTTGTTATATTTCAACCCATTTTCTAAAGTGCAGCATTATGTTAAATGCACTGGGGTTTACCCTATTACATTTAAATTTCATGGTTAAACAGTACATGTTAAAATCTAAGCTCAGCTCGGCAGTGACCTAAAATACATAAATATAATTTTACTTACCGAAAAAAATGAAGTGGAGACTCCTTGGACGCTCTATTAGTGCAATTAATGCCACAGCAAGTCATTTTGTCCAACAATTGCACAAAAAACATCCAAAAAAGAATACACAAACACAGAGACTCAAAATCCCAGAGCAGTTTCCAAGCCAGGCCGAGGCTCTACTGAGGCCTTTCCACGGAGCTAGTTCTGCGGTCACGTGGGTCTGATGCTCATTAATTATACAGAATTTTAGGCTTTTAATACACTTAAACAGAAGAGTGAGAAAAAAATTCACCCCCCTCAGAGTTGTCATGAGTGTAAACTAGATCATTTAAACCAAAAAACATGTTTTGGTACCAGGCTGTAAACATGTTTATTTCTGCTGTGAAATTGGTATTTTTAACATGGGAGTCAATGAGGATTTGCTCGCTTCTGACACCAGCCCCTAGTGGATGAGGGTGGAACTGCAATTTCTGGTACTTCCGGGTTGGAGTCCATTTTTGAGCCGCATTGTGGAGGCTTGTGTTAGCCCCAGGCTCCGTGTCCAGTTAGCTTCCAGCTAAAAGGCTACAGCACTCTCCTCCCAGTCCCACCCTGCTAAAGAGGGCCTGGAAAAGTTCCCCCACACATCAAAGTGATTTTTCATTTAATAATAATAATAATAATAATAATAATGCATTGAACTTATATAGCGCTTTTCTAGACACCCAAAGACGCTTTTCACACACACTCACATTCACACACTGCTAGTGATGGTAAGCTACTTGTAGCCACAGCCGCCCTGGGGAGTTCTGACAGAGGCGAGGCTGCCATTTGGCACCGTCGGCCCCTCTGACCACCACTAATACAGGCAAGTTGGGTGAAGTGTCTTGCCCAAGGACGCAACAGCAGGATACCCCTGGCAGGAGCTGGAATCGAACCCATGCCCCTCCGATCATGAGGCAACCCGCTCTACCACCTGAGCTACTGCTGCCCCAAATTTATAAGCTTTTATAACCTTGTTAATCAGGGTAGTTGATTTGCTGCTGCACATAAACTGTCAGTCAGAAGCTCTGCTAGCTGGTTATCTTAGAGGAGCTAGTTCAATTTGTTAGCTTGTTATCAGAATCATAGTTGCAGTTTCATCATCTGAGCTGCTTTTTAAGATCTAGGTAAACTTGTTCAATTTGGGGTTAAAAACAAACGTTTTCATACATTTTCCATGTAGTTTTTTTTTGCCAGTTCCTCTTCTGAAAGGTAGACAATTGTTTTTCTCTTTCTCTCAGAAAATCTTAATATTCTCCTAGTTTGGCCCAGTTCACTTCCCAATTACAGCAACAGCCTCATATCATAACCACATAAGTGGAGAAAATGTTCAGTAGCAATGAGAGGATTTGCTGTTGCATTTAAGTGATGTTAACTATTATTTAACATTTAAACTTATTTTCTGATATTTTTATTTATTCAAAAACCCTGGTAAGGGATGTTTTTCTGTATTTGGAGCATCAGAAAAGTTTTATGGTGGAGGTGATGTTTTAAAGTCACTGAGAAACTGCATGCATGCAGTTTGTTGTTTTGCTGCTAATACAGTAGCAGGTGCAGCTGCTAATACAGTAGCAGGTGCAGCTGCTAATACAGTAGCAGGTGCAGCTGCTAATACAGTAGCAGGTGCAGCTGCTAATACAGTAGCAGGTACAGCTGCTAATACAGTAGCAGGTACAGCTGCTAATACAGTAGCAGGTGCAGCTGCTAATACAGTAGCAGGTGCAGCTGCTAATACAGTAGCAGGTACAGCTGCTAATACAGTAGCAGGTGCAGCTGCTAATACAGTAGCAGGTACAGCTGCTAATACAGTAGCGGGTGCAGCTGCTAATACAGTAGCAGGTACAGCTGCTAATACAGTAGCAGGTACAGCTGCTAATACAGTAGCAGGTGCAGCTGCTAATACAGTAGCATGTACAGCTGCTAATACAGTAGCAGGTGCAGCTGCTAATACAGTAGCAGGTGCAGCTGCTAATACAGTAGCAGGTACAGCTGCTAATACAGTAGCAGGTACAGCTGCTAATACAGTAGCAGGTGCAGCTGCTAATACAGTAGCGGGTACAGCTGCTAATACAGTAGCAGGTACAGCTGCTAATACAGTAGCGGGTACAGCTGCTAATACAGTAGCGGGTGTAGCTGCTAATACAGTAGCGGGTGCAGCTGCTAATACAGTAGCAGGTGTAGCTGCTAATACAGTAGCAGGTGCAGCTGCTAATACAGTAGCAGGTGTATCTGCTAATACAGTAGCAGGTGCAGCTGCTAATACAGTAGCAGGTGCAGCTGCTAATACAGTAGCAGGTGCAGCTGCTAATACAGTAGCGGGTGCAGCTGCTAATACAGTAGCAGGTGTAGCTGCTATACGGTAGCGGGTGCAGCTGCTAATACAGTAGCGGGTGCAGCTGCTAATGCAGTAGCGGGTGCAGCTGCTAATACAGTAGCAGGTGTAGCTGCTAATACAGTAGCAGGTGCAGCTGCTAATACAGTAGCAGGTGTAGCTTCTAATACAGTAGCAGGTGCAGCTGCTAATACAGTAGCAGGTGCAGCTGCTACTACAGTAGCAGGTGTAGCTTCTAATACAGTAGCAGGTGTAGCTGCTAATACAGTAGCAGGTGCAGCTGCTAATACAGTAGCAGGTGCAGCTGCTAATACAGTAGCAGGTGCAGCTGCTAATACAGTAGCAGGTGCAGCTGCTACTACAGTAGCAGGTACAGCTGCTAATACAGTAGCAGGTACAGCTGCTAATACAGTAGCAGGTACAGCTGCTAATACAGTAGCAGGTACAGCTGCTAATACAGTAGCAGGTGTAGCTTCTAATACAGTAGCAGGTGCAGCTGCTAATACAGTAGCAGGTGCAGCTGCTACTACAGTAGCAGGTGTAGCTTCTAATACAGTAGCAGGTGTAGCTGCTAATACAGTAGCGGGTGCAGCTGCTAATACAGTAGCAGGTACAGCTGCATATTTTTTCAATAAAATGTTATGTTGTAATGGAATTCATGCATTAGTTTTTGTTTGCTTTCAACCCAGAGCAGACGTCACACGCCAGACGACATCAACACTGCATACTTTAGTATTTGTTCATTTATCGTGAGTAATATCGATATCGCAATATTAAGCACTGTTATCGAATATCGCAGGTTTTCCTAATATTGTGCAGCCCAAATATTTTAAGTTATAACAAATTTATGTTGTTCTTCTTTATTTTATAAAATAAAAGATCAGTGAATTCCCTAAAGCCTGTTGCCCTCTTGGATCCTTCAACTCCATTAAGACCTGATGTGTCATACTGTATGAGTTCATCCTGAGTCAGGCAGACTAATCAATCGCATCATTGATCGTCTACAGTGTACCTGGCAGCCTGTGGCGAGACGCTCAATATAGACTTCACTCTGCCTTTCAACGAGTTCGTTCCCTCCACCTGCCACACCCGCTTCAGCCTGAAGGTGAGTGAAGCGTCTTTGTTCTGGAATAAAAGCATCAATGTTTGACTCCAGCAGTGTGTGTGTGTATGGGTGGGTGTGTGTGTGTTCGTGTTCGTGTTCGTGTTCGTGTGTGTGTGTGTGTGTGTGTGTGTGTGCGCGTGCCTTGTCCTCCTCAGGCTGAAGACACAGACATGCGACTGTCCCTGCCTGAGTGCCACCCAAGCCGCTACCCCCTCCTCACCCTTGCCAAAGACTACCAGAACATCAAGCTTCCCCCGGACATGTTCACCTCATCAGGGGAGAACCAAGGAGCGCCTCCCCCTCCTCCCCCACCTCCGCTTCCCAAATCCAACAAGCCCCGCTGGAGGAACATCACCCACGCAGAGTGAGATAAACATCTTAACTGTGTCATCAACAGCTGGAAGCTTCTGGTACCTGAAGCTCTGTTTATGAGTTTGAGTGATTTAAACTTAAAGGGTCGTTCTGTTATTAATAGACAGTTTAGACCCCGCTGGTGACATCCCTCAGAGTGGGCGGAGTCTCTAGAAACAGGAAGTGGCTCTCTTGACGTGAGCGATACTGATGCTTATTTAAAACAACTCTGGCTCATGAAGGTCACACCGAAGCGTTAAAATGCTAAATGATCCGTGTTTAAACGGCTAAAGTTTACTTCATGCCGGATGAACCTGAATCAGCAGCAGAAGGTTCAGAAGTAAATCTTTATAATGAAATCACGTTTGTTTGTTTATTTTTTAGAAAATAACTTTATAAAGTTGGCCCATTAGAGGAATTTTCTCCAAAGTTCATTATAGAAGAGCCTTTATTGACCTTCCAGAGAGGTTTTGCTTTTATTTTTCTGTTCTTAAGCTAAAAAATAACATCGTTTAAGAAAATAAAAGCTCTTTTCTTTCTCTTTGAGGTGATCAGCATGTGAGTAGTGAGCTCTGGCAACAGATCAGGGTTTTGCCGTATAACAATTGCTTAAATGTGTCTCGTCTTCATCAGCCTTTTACTGTCCAACTCCCTACTTATCGATCTGGCGGTGACCTGCAGAACGTTCCCGCCCTACAGCGCCAACGCTCCCTCATGCATCCTGGAATGTAACGCTCAAATCCTTCCTGGACCACCGTGCTTTGCACTGCAGAGAAACTGGGCGTAACCCGTTTGCTCCTGGCTCCCCGTTCTGCACGTCCGGCATTAGAATGGGTCATGAAGCGAGTGATGAAGTGGAGAAGCGGTGTGAGTTTGTGTGTGATGACTGAGTGTTTGTCTCCAGAGCCGGCTGGGTGGATTGTTGGAGCGTGCCAAACTTCCTGCTCACCATCGACTACACCTGGCACCCCATCTATCCCCAGAAGGCAGATGAGCAGCTCAAACAGTCGTGTACGCTCGCAGCTCTCCTTCTGCTCTTTAGAAGTTTGGTTTCCACCTTACCTGTTTGTAACCCACCTTTGTGACTTTGACTCCAGTTTCTGAGATGGAAGAGTCCATGCTGTCGGCCCTGCGGCCCCCGGAACACACCTCGGCGCTCCACAGCGGCCCGCCTCACTACAGCGCTACATCAGCCGCCCACAGTCGGGGTCCCACCGATCCATCAGAACTCCCTCCTGACAGGCTTCACGTGGAGATGGAAATGTCACCTGATTCTCAGATCCTGCTCTATGGGCCTCTGCTTCGAACGCTCATCTCCATCAAGGTCTTTCAGTGATAAGCTTTAATAATACCATCCTCCAAAGAGCTTCCTGTGCTCATCTTTCCTTCCGTCCCACAGGAGAACTATTTTGGGGAAGATGACATGTACACAGACTTTGAGGAGGCCGTTTCCAGCCCCGTCATGTCTACCTCCACCTCCTCCGGCCTTGGCTGGTCTCCTCTGGGGATGGCAGACAGCGAGCAGAAGGAAACCTCTGACATCCATCCTCTGGACCTGCGGCCGTGGGACATCACGGTGCGCATCAACCTCTACAAAGTCCACGGCCGGCTGCCAGTCGTGAGTCTGCTTTGGGTTATTTTTGGATTTCGCTAAAGAGACTTTTAGATGGGTGTCTCCACGAATGTTAACTTGAAATTAAGACGTGTAAAGCCTGGTTCATGCTTCTCCGTCAGCTCCGCAAGGGACAGACACGCACGGATTGACGGAAGCGTTTTGCTCTTTTACTTCTCCGTCTCCTGGAGAGTGTTGCAAAGCAATTCCCCGGCAGGACCACAGAGGGCGTAGCGCTGTTCTGTGGTATCCTGTCATGTATCGTCCAAGATAGTGTGTTTATATTGTGTTTTTTGTGTATGTAAGAGACTTTTAACACGGACATATTCGTCTCTCATTCTCCCACCGCTTCATGCGCTCTCCACCTCTAAACCCACGTTTCCTGTCATTTCCGTCCACAAATAAAACGCTTGCTGCGCATCTTTTCACTCCTCCAGTCACGGGAGGATGAAACGTTCATATGTTTAGAGTTTTTTCGTGAGGTATTCTTCAAGCTTCTCTGTGTCTGCCGCTTGTTATCCTCGGCTCTCTTTGCAATGGCGGCGCTGTAAACAACAGCGGCGTCCTGACCAATCACAAGCTTGCGTAATCGTCTCGTTCGACGGATGTTTAAAAAAGTGGGCTCGACTCCGTACGTACTTGCGTGCCCTAGGCAAGGACGGATAATGGCGTTGCGTGTCTCCGCACTGACGCAGACGGAGAAGCATAAATCAGGCTTAACTGTCACAGGCTTTTCTAATCCTCTGTGGTTTCTGGAAAAGACGACAAAACTGATGAAAAGTAAAAGATAATTAACTGTTTCATCTTTTAAGGATGAAGAAAAAACTAAACGCGGCCCGCCTCCCTTGTGAGGATCAACAGTTTGCTTATTTTCTGACTGGTTTCTCTCTTCTTGGGGTGCTCCAGCACTGCAGCAGCGATGGTCCCGAAGGCCCGTCAGGTTTCCTAGAGCGGCTCTGCTTTGAGATGAAAAAGGGTTACAAGGAGACGATGCTCCAGATGATCCTGTCTCCAGTTCACATCTTCATCAGCGACAACTACCAGGTTGGACTTCTGCTGCTTTTAGATCCACAATTCAGCTATAAGGTGTTTATTTTCTTCTTTTAGATTAATACAAAATCTGCAGACTCAACAAAAGACACTCGGGCACTTCCTGATTGATTCGGAGACTGAAGCCAGCTCTCATCTGTTAGAAAAAACTAAAAAAAGCTCCACATGCTTCCAGCAGCCACTTATTTTAAATTAGCACATTGTATAACCACAGGATTTCTAATTTCCAGTCATGAGTTGAATCCTGTTTTTTTAATTTACTGAGGGATTAAGTCCTTCTAATCCCTAACAGAGGACAGGCTGTCTCCTGCCTGTCCCTCTGCTGGATAATCAGCACTTTCTGAGGCACGTGGCGGGAATTTAGAAACCGTCATCACAGCCTCCCTTAAGGAGAACTCTGTGTTTAGTTTCTGTCGTCTGAAACTGAGAACGTTGTTTGCTCCTCAGCGGCCCACCGTGGACGGAGTGTTGAGAGACGGGCACCTGAGTCTGTCCGGGCTGCAGATGAGGGCTCACGCCATGTTCTCGGCGCAGGGTCTTCCTCTGGGAAGCGACACGCTAGAGTACGCGTGGCTCATCGACATGCAGGCCGGAGCGCTGACAGGTCGAGTCACGGTTCCTCAGGTGGGCTCTTACGCAGCTTGGAAAAGTACGGAAATAATCCACAATCTCACCAGGCCGTGACTTTTGATCATGTTTAAGTCTTTGGGTGTAATTTTGCATATCGGGAGCCTAAGTCACGCCCATTTACTTCCGCACCACGGGTCCCCGGAAGAACAAAAAAACGAATGCAAGTCAACGGGGCTAAAAAGGCTATTTTCTAATTCCGCTTGTTTTGTGCCATGGGTTTCACGTATGATGTCCTTGAATTTTAAAGACGCATTTTGATACCAAGAACGCGCTTATTTTCGAACGGGGAAAACACTATTTTAGGTTTTGGGTGAAAATAAGTCCAGGACTACAAATGTGCTTCATTAAAGTGACGTCATCGAACCAGACACGGAGAACACTGAGGGAAAACGGCCGTAAGTTCAGCAAACTTCCCACAGGAGGAAAGATCCACCATAAATCTGGTCATGTGGTAAGTAGCAGCTACGCTAGGGGAGAGGAGATTATGTGGTGATGTCACATATGCGACATGCTGATTTCTGGTTTGTAGTCATGCTAATTACGAACCTTTACAAGCTGATAAATCTCAAAGTACGTGACTGGTGTGGTTGAAACACCCGTCATTACTTTTCATTTAAATTGCAGTACAACATGTGTGATCCAGGGCGTAAGGCAAAGCGGATTAAAAAAAGTGTTTTTTCCCCGTTGACTTGCTGTCATTTTTTCGTTCTTCCCGGGATCGTGATGCGGAAGTGAATTCGGCTCCCTACATTAGTAGTTGTTATGTTCTAGGATGCATCTTGCAGAAGTAAACAGCCTTAATCCAAGTTGTGTTTAATTATGAAATCTCTCTTGTGGGTTTTTAGAAATATTATTATTATTACTATTATTATTGTTATTATTATTGTTAGAGGTTGTGGTTTTGTGTTTTCCAGGTGGCCAGTGTGATTGAGTGGGGCGAGAGCTTCATTTTTCATGTCATGTCCCGAGAATTCCAGCTCGAACAACCCAAAACGTCGGTCAACTGCCAACACGGCGTTGACCGTCGCATCTGTGACTCCAAGGTAGGTCTGCGTCCCCACCACACACACACACACACACACACACACACACACACACACACACACACACACACACACACACACACACACACACACACACACACACACACACACACACACACACACACACACACACACACACACACACACACACAGATCGTTATGGCTGAAGGCTGTTCCTCTGGTCACTCCTGTAAAATGTTTGCTTTAATGAATCGAGACTCAGAAAGTACACTTTTTAAAATGTATTTTTATTTTTGTTTTTTAGAAGCAGGAAGATGCTCTCCAGCACAGTTCTATTTATCTGCTCACATCACAGTAAAGCAGAGTAAAGTTGAGGGTGTGACACGATGCCTAAATGGGAATACTAATAAGGATATTTTTACAAGTGCGGCCCGGGAGCCCTCATTATTTCCTGACAGCCGAGCGGCTGTGGCCACAGGCACAGGAACCAAACACAAAGACCAAACAAGAGCGTGTGGTGTGAGACGTTTCTGAACGGCGTTTGTGTTCCAGCTGAGCTGTCTGCCCGGGCACTGTCGCACGTCGGAGGATCTGAAGTACACCATGACGCGGCTGGCCATGGATGGAGCTGACCTCTTCTTTGTGGAGCACGGCTGCGCTGCCAACGTCAAGGTAATTAGCTCCGGGAGCGTGTCAGCTGTCCAGGAATAGTTTTCCCCCAAAGTTGAATGTGTTTGACTCTGAATCTGTTCACAAGTGTGTGTGTGAAAGGTGAAGAAAGGCCTTAACTCTGTGTGCTCGTTAGCAAATTGGCTCCTGAACTTCTGGATGGGCTGGAATGAAACTCATGATTGGTTGAACAGAGAAACTTTTAGAGTTAACATGGCTGCCTGGGCTAATGCATGTTGGCTAACACAGACAGGAGTTAGATTGAGATACAGGACTTTATATTTCATGTTTTTATAAGATTATTTTTAGGACAGCGACTGGGATTGAGCACTTTCTGGAGCTCAGCATTCAAACAGCATCCCTGCAGAGAAACTCCTCGTTGTTTTTGTTGATATTTTCCACCTATCTCAGACGGGGATCATCCGTGTCGCCAACTGCAACCTGCACAACCAGGCGGTGGGAGAGGGCATCAGCGCCGTGGTGCAGGAGGTGAACGTGCGACAGTACATTGAGCTGCAGCTGGCCGGACAAGGTCAGGGTCTGGGTCAGCCCCCCCTGCTGCGGCGTTCTGTCTGGCTTGAGGCAGGTTCAGTCAAGCTGAACCTCATCACGGCGGATATCGCCCTGGCAGCTGACCACCCGGCCAAATGTGAAGTCCAGAGGCAGTTTCTGGAATTACATGACGCCCAGACCAAAAGGTGGGGAATGTAGGAGTTTCTGTCTCAACCTTTCGCTTTAGGAAACAAGAACGAGTGCTTTAGAGCTCTTCTCCTAGCATGGCGGCTTGCTGAGTTTAGTTGAGGACAGCAGTGAGGGTAAAACTGAGTGAAGCGTTGACTCACTCCCTCATATCTCACCTCTGTGGAGTGAGTCACCGACTGCAGCATGTTAAGCTGCAGATCTAAACCTGGCATTTACAGTTAACTCATTCACTGCCAGCCGTTTCCTGATCGCTAACGGCCTTCGCTGCCAGCGTTTCTCACCGTTTTTACTGTTTTTTAAGAGTCACAGAACGTTGCACGCTTGCATGATGTCGATACCAAAACAAAGCGGAGACTGACCTCTTACATCAGAAGGAATCCGCGTGTTTCGAGCGTTATCCGTTCTTTCATAATCCGTTGTTGAATTGTGATCAGCAGACGCTTTTCCGGTTCGCGCCTCACTTTTTTGCAGGAACGGCCCAAAACGATCTCCTCATACATGGATGGTCTGCTTCCTGATCATGTGACGTGTGACGTATGCGGATGAAGATCGGCTTCAGGGCTGAGATGTTGGTTCTCTCAGAGCGGGGGCTCGTTCTGATGCTCAAACAGTAAAAAAAATTGCAAATGACGACTTTAGTCGTCATTGGCAGTGAATGAGTTAATGATGCTACATAACCATAAAGATTGTTTACTGCGAGGATAACCATTTCCGTCAGACTGAATGAGCTTTTCTAGCTTTTAAATGGACAAGAGGCTTTTGTTCGCCTCAGAAACCAGTGAGAGAGAAGGAGAATCGTCTGTAATTAGGTAAAATGGTCGGTTCCCTTCTGGTAAGGAAAACTAAATGAAGGTGTGTAAATGTTAGCAGCACCCAAGAGTTTCCCCCTCTCCTCAGACTCTGGTTCCTGTGGCCCGACGAGGCGAGCGTTCGGAACAAGCGAGGCAGGAACCGCTGCGGCTGCCTGGGAGGCTGCAGGTTCTTTGGAGGCACCAACATGGGTCTGGACTTCTTCAAGCTCGAGGAGCTGACTCCGTCCTCCTCATCTGCGTTCTCTTCGTCCAACGCTGAGCCGGACATGTCCTACGGCCAGTCCCTACTCCAGCCTGGGGAGTGGATCATTACCAAAGAAGTTCCGAAAGTGGATGGTTGGTATCTGCAGGACTGCTTCTGCCATCTGGAGCTGCTCCAGGCGCTTCGGGTTCAGCTCTGTAAAGAACGTTGTAATGTAGAACATTTTATGTGTTCTTTTCAATGAACAAGTTAATTACAAGCTTTTCTTGTCCTGCTGTCTTCAGGACGGGTCCAGAGAACAGCAGGACCTCATTAGGTTTATGGGGGGGGGGGTTCTGCGAGGCCATTTGGGTCATTCAGAGTCTGTTGTGTCCTTGTTTCATCAGGGAGGGTTGTAGGAATGAAGACGGCCACACATTCCCCCTGCCTCCCTCCGGAGCTACCTGAGAGGCAGGGTCAACAGCACCTGAGCCTCCAGGTGCCGCAGCGATCCCATAGCTCCACCTCCTCCTCAGAAGAAAACAGCTCCTCCAGTGCTGCCTTGCCTCTGCTCGCTGCAGAACGGGACTCGCCCTCCCCGAGCCACGAGGACCGCGTGTTCGCCATGAACGGGAAAAACCACCTAGAGTGAGTAACGCTGCTCGTGGAAGAGATGCGTTTAAACCCTAAAGCAGGAACAGGGAACCCCGGTCCTCGAGGGTCGGTATCCTGCACGTCTTTGCTCCAACACTTCTGATTCAGTGGTTAATTCACCCGTTCTGCAGCTCATCGAGCTCTGCAGAAGCTTGTTAGTTACCTGCTGATTGAAATCAGGTGTGATGATGCAGGGTTGAAACTAAAATATGCTGGATAGCGGCCCTCGATGGACCAGGTTTCCCCACCCCCGCCCTAAAGCATCAGATAAAAGCATTCCAGCAGCTGTTTACGGTTTGGGAATGGTTCCTGTTTCACGCTGACGCTATTTTATCTCAGTAGACATAAGTTGTCCCAATGTCCTCGGATGGACCAGGAGCTTCTGGGATCTACTCTGTAAATTTGCCGGTTCTGGTTTGATCTCTAAGAATTACAATGACCCAAATCCAAATTATGTTTTTATTTGTGATGAGTGAAAACTTCCACGTGGACCTTCTGTTGGTGGGAGTTGAGAAGAAGTTGGATTTTTTATTGCTGGGTTGGGAAACTGCAGCTGCTAAGAGAAAAGAAGGAACAAGGTCATTTTATTCAATCAACTTCATTATTTTTAATGATTTTTTGAATCTGTTAAAACCGTTGTCAGCACCGGCGGAACATCTTCTCTTGTTTCCTTGCAGCCCCCGGGGGGACATCCCAGAGGTCTCACCCGTCTCACACAACGGTTCCCAGGACCGCACCTCTGTGCGCTCCCCCCTCTGCTCTCCTCTGAAGCGTCAGTCGTCGGTCCAGTCCGGTCGGCTGGGCAGCACCAAGAGCCTGTCGGCGGCTGTCTTCACTGATAAGCCTCCTCCAGTCCTCTCAGGAGGAGTCCAGTTCAGCAGCGAGGTCTCCCGCAGTGACGAGATTGTCCTGGATTCTCCTCGCCAGCGCCGAAGCTACGGCTCGTTTCCCTTCACGCCATCCGCGGACTCCAGCACCTTCCACCAGTACCGCTCCGCCGACTCCAGCATGTCGGTGGCCGACAGCGAGGCCTACTTCTCGGCCACCGAGGACTTTGAGCCCATCAGCAGTGCCGACGAGGGCCCGGGGACGTACCCGGGCCGCAAGAAGAAGAGGAGGCAGCAGATGCAGCAGCCGCCGCCGCCGCCCTACCTCATGGAGAACTACAGGTCAGATGCTTGTTTGATGTACTGCAGGACATGGAGCTTCAGGCAGATCATGAGGAAGGCTGAGGTCAGATGAAAGAGTGACTTCTTCCGTAAGGGATCATGAATGAATGAGGACCAGAATTCTGAAGAGTTTCTAGATTTACTAAAAGAGTCGAACACAAAACTGTTTTAGATTTAAATACGAACCTATCAGCCGTGTCGGAAAACTCTTGACGTCTCTTCAGTTGTTGTAGAGCGTTCCGATGGAACGTTGTCGAGGAATACGTTATCCATGTTACCTAATGTGTGTCTAACGCCTGCAGGTCATGAATTTGATCATGAGGAGCAGCTTTTCTCCAGGCTGAATGTTCTGCAGCTTTAATTTGTTGGCTCAAGCGTCCTCAGATGGACGTGATGCGGAGCGTTTGGTGCAAATGAGACGTTTTATCCACTTTGGGCTGGAATGTTTCAGAGAGTTAGGTTTCACTCGCGGCTGCCTCGTCATTTTCTCATCACCGTAGATTGTTCTCACGTTGATCCCAGCATGCCCTTTGATTGCCTGAATAGAAACACAAGTAGTGAGTCTCATGAAGTTCCAACTGGAGCTCGGCTGCCCCCTCGTCCTTTAGTTTCAGAGCCGAAGCAGAAAAGAGAAAAGCTGTTTTAACCGAAGCTCCGTTTGTCTCCAGCCGGAGTTCCATTTACCACAGCATCGAAGGACCGCTCACCTACGTTCTCAATGGAGAACTCATCACCGAGCCTCGCCCTCTACCGCCTCCACCGCTACCCCCGCAGCCCCCCCAGCCTCTGGCTAGCCACACCTCCCAGGCCTCCTTTGTGTCAGCCTTGGCCATGGAGGAGGAGAGCTCGGTGGAGGCGGAGAAGACGGTCGAACCGGGCCTGGTGACCCAGCAGCCCCACGTCATGGCGTGCTACCAGAACTACCTGGCCCACTACCAGGTACGTCCTCTCATACCAGGAATCTGAGATGTACGGTGAAAAACTGACTTTATACCAAACAGACATGAGCATCAGGGATCAGGGAAATCTCGTTAGACTTGATGCTTTTATCATGTCTGGCTGAGGTTGTCCTTGCTCCCGAGTAGGGTGGGCAACATCACCTCACACACACACACACACGCACACACGAGACACCCCGACACATCATTCTTTCTCTGTCAGGTTTCTAACTGGTCTGTCAAGCAGCCAACCAACAAACGGACATCCAAGTCCTCTTTGCACCGCCCTCTTGACTTTGACACGCCCACAAGTGAAGAAAGCTCCGCCTCTTTTGACCAGCTGTCTGTCCCCAGCTTTAAGGTCTGATTATCACTAACAGAGTCGTGGGTTTCACTTTTATCCGGTAAACATCTGAACCTTTCCTTCTTACTCAGGCGACAAAGCAGGGCCTCTCAGCCAGCTCGCTCTTCGACAGAGGAGTTCAGTTGATGGGGGAGACCAACAGGTAGGTAGGAGACACACACACACACACACACACACACACACACACACACACACAGTTACAACCACCCCCTTTCTCCTCAGCAGCACTCCATACACTCCTCTGGATAAAAGGGCCATGGAGTACACGGATGAGGACACGACCACGGATGACTGGACGCTTGAGCAGCCTCTGTCCCAGACCAGAACCACCGCCATAGTGGAGGTGAAGGGGGCTATCAATGTGGTGCTGACGCCGCTCGTAGCCGAATCTCTGGACAGGTACAGAGTTTTTACGTTTTCGTCGGGTCCAGCTGCACGTTGGAAAACAAACCTAAAAGCTTTTCTTACAGTTCAGTTTTAATTTTAGCCTCAAGTCAAGGTTGTCCCACTTTTATACACACACAATTGTTGTGTGTGTGTGTGTGTGTGTGTGCTGGTTCAGGTACATCGAGTCTATGGTCCACTTTGCCAGCATCCGGCACCCGGCGGCCATTCTGGACGACCTGCACGGAAAAGTCCTGAATGAAGCCTATCAGATCAGCAAGTCCACGGTCACCGAGTTGGTACGTACAGCTCCTCCGCCGCCTGGGTTTCTGATCAGAGACTAAAGTAATTAACGCTCTTCTGGACTGGTTCTACAGAGCCAAACGGCAAAACAGGAGCAGAAGCTGTCCAAGACGGAGGGCACGACCCCCGCCTCGCTCAACGCCTCTCACGGCCAGACGGAGCTGTCTGTCAAACCCGATAATGTGAAGATCAAGGGGCTTCAAGCCAGCGTGTCCATCCCCAAGGTGAGACCCATGACCCGACGCCCCAAAAGCCCGTCTGTCGTCCTCCAGATGTTCTCTGATGACAAGAAGCCTGATTTCAGAACACACTACTGTTAAAATTAAAATGATTCAATAAGTTTGGTTTTCTTTCTAAATAAAGTCGAAGTCCAGCCACTACAGGAGCATTAAAGGGACATTTCTGGCCAAATCAAAACCATCTGGCTGAAAATTCCCTTTAACCTGAGAATTCCAGTGGCGGCCTTTATGATCCATCCTAAAGGAACGTGACGTTTGTGTGCAGGTGAACCTTTGCCTCCTGCAGGCTTCTGTAGAGGAGGGATCCCCATCCAGCACCAGCAGATGTGTCCCACACATGTCTCTGGTGGCGCTGTGCTTCGACCGGATCGCCACCCAGTTCAGGATGAACAGGTGACGCCCGGTTCTGGTAGGTTTGGTTCTGATCTGTTCTGGGTGTGACGGCTTTTCCTGCTGCTGGTTTCAGGGGGATTGTAGAGGAGACCCCCAACACCACGGAGCATGGCCGACCCTCCGTCTCATTGGACAAATACGCCTCTGCCACCAAGATGCAGCCTCAGTCCTCTGGCTCGTTACGCTCCAACGCCGGAATCGAGAAGGGCAAAGAGATCGCTGCCAGGCTGAACGTCCACCGGATCCACAGCCAGCTTCGAGGCCTGGACTGCACAGGTCGGTGTCGGATCCGGTGACTCCAGAGCCGTACGGCTCTTCCTAACCTCCTCCTCTCCTTGCAGACGAGGGCACGTTTGCCATCACAGCCATCCCCTTTGAGAAGTCCAAAGTTCTGTTTGGTTTGGAGGAAATGGAGGAATTCTCCATGGTAGATGAAACCGACACCCAGACACCGGGAACCGATCCGTGCCGTTCCGGGTCATCGCTGGAGAAATGGGGCTGGATCATGTTTGAATGTGGCATCGAGAACCTGACGGTTAAAGGTAAATCCGTCAGCCGGATCTGGGTTAGGAAGCGCGGGAATGTGTGTTTAGTTCTGATGTGTTTGGGTCGCAGGTGGCCGTCAGTCTGGAGCTGTTCTCTACAACGCCTTCGGCATGATGGGCCGCTCGGATGCGGGAGGGAAGATGGGAATGTCCAAGTCCAATGGTTCAAGCGGCTCCCAGACAGGAAGCGGTTACAGCACAGACATGTCCGATGACAACCTGCCTCCTGACGCCATCAGTCCGAACTCTGACGCCAACGAGCACACGGACTCAGACGACCAGGTGAGGCTCTCGGACTCAGCTTTGTTGGCTTTGATCGTGTATTTCTTATTAAAAATGGCCGCTCACAAACGGGCTCCATTTAAAGGGACTTTACAGAGTTTTGAATTTTTATGCTCGTGATTGCCCCCTCAGGCCAAAAGCGTAACGGCAGCTTCAATAGTAGGCTCGAGCACCAGGGGCGCATGCTGTACGTGCACACTCCTTAACGAAAATAACAGCTGAGACAGTCCCTTGTGTGTGTGTGTGTGTGTGTGTGTGTGTGTGTGTGTGTGTGTGTGTGTGTGTGTGTGTGTGTGTGTGTGTGTGTGTGTGGCCCGGAGGACAAAGGACAGGAGAACGCGCAGCTAATTAATTAAATAATTTGGTTCTGTACCTTTCTCTTCAGCACAGCCGACAAAGGTTTATGATGGGTCAGTCCTCCTGCATGCTCAGATCATTCCCTTCTCTTGCTTGAAAAATTGTTCCAAAATGAAAGTTGAATCCACATCTTTTTTATCTGTGAATTCAATGCCGTTCAGCGAGTCTCAAATAAAAATTTGGGCATCTTACTGTAAAAAAATATACCATTAATGTAAAAATGAAACTAAATAAACTACGTTCACATCCAGAATCAAACCCAGGTCTTCTGCATGAGAGTCAGACATCTTACTAGCTGAGCTAAAGTGCCAGTGATGTCCTTTGTATCTGTAACATTTATATTCTTGATGACAGCTGAAACAACGTTCAAAGAACGGTTCTGAGGGCTACGCCTGAGCGTGAACGCGCATGAAGCAGCCTGCTCGACCCGAGCATCTCTCTTTTTCTGTGATTTTACAGAAAAACAGGCAATCACAGTAAAAATGCCAGGGCTCGTTCTACAGGACCAGGGCATTGCAGGAGAACGTATGAAGAAGACATTTATTATTTCTGTACATGTTTTGGCTGTCAAACTTCCATAATGTCCCTTTAAAATAACAAAATTCAAGTTGAACAAACAAAAGTGGATTCTGGTGCAAAAGTATCGGGCCCGAACCCGATCCTCCTCCTCAGTAACAACGGTTGTGTTTGGTGGATCAGCTGATCCTAGCCTTAGATCAGAACGTGTCGTGTCCGACATCGCAGCAGAACCTGCAATGTGATTAACGTGCACGCGCTCGAAGCCTCGTCGAGACCCAACAGGAACGTGCTCTGCCTGTAAAGATACTCTGGGTTCTGGTGTGGTTTGGCGCTGCTTTAGAGGATATTTGTTTTCTAATTAGATGAACGTTTTCTTCAAACTTCCATGATAGTCGGTTAAGATCAAACTTACTGTGAGAATCTAAACTAAAAGCTGCTCTATCTTTACATCATTAGGCTTGACTTTTATTTGTTTTCTTCTTAATCCAAAAGCACGCCGACGCCTTCTTTCTGTCGTTTGAATTCTTTTGAAGCTTCTGTGACACACCAGTTGTCTCTGCTGCAGTCCGGGTGTTTCTGCACACGTTTAGCACAAGTTTCCATTTCAAAGCTTTCTTTTTGCACATGGTGAAGTTTTAATGAGGCGTTTAAATCCCACAGAAGTTAGGAAGAAAAACACAAAAGACTAAAAGAGTCATTAGAGCTCCGTAAAACCTCTAGAATCTCACCAAGGGTCAAATTAATGTTCAGGAGTCTTTGAATAAAGATCTAAAGTGACTGTTTTCATTTATTTTTATTGGCAGAAGAAGTCAGAGCAAAAAGTGGTCTGCTTCCTTCTCGGGATTATGACTGACAGATGTGACCAGATGTTCTGCAGCACAAATAAACAGCCTTTGAGCTGATTAAAGCAGAGACATGACCCCAAGTCTTAGGTTTGATGTATTCACAAATGGAAACTAAACTCTGTCTTTGCAGGATGAAGGTGTGGAGTCGGACGACCTGAAGAAGGACCTCCCGCTCATGCCTCCGCCACCAGATTCCAGCAGCATGAAGCTCACCATCAGAGAGATCTGGTTCAGTTTTGCTGCTCCCACTAATGTTTGCTCAGCTTCTGAGACCATGTCCAGGTAAAGCACTGTGGGAGCATCATAAAGAGTTGTGTGGGCTGTTGGTTCTGACTCAGACCCAAATGAACACGAGGCCTGAGCTTTTATTTTGGTGTGAGGCATTTTGTTTTTCTCTAGGTCAGTGGTTCGCAAATGGCGGCCCGCGGGCTGGACATGGTGAGCCCTCTCTTTGTGGCCACCAAACCCCGCGCCCACCCCCCACCCCTACCCCCGATGGCCGACCGGGAGGTTTAGGATAGAGCTGAGGGAAATAATCAATGCATGAGATGCGGGCATAGACGGTTTTGCATCATAGAAGAGAACCATAATCAGCTATAGTGGAACGTAGTTTTGTTATTTTAACGGCGGCACCAGCGCAGCATCCACATCTGTCAGAGCGGTGTTCTCCACATTTACCGGGTAGGAAACTTTGATCTGCCTTTATGTGGTACTGCAGGGCTGAGCCCTGGAGTTGTAACCTGAGACCGAACCCGAATCGAGTCAGCCCGACCAGTTCTGTTGGATTTGGCCCGTGAATTATGTTAACTGAGCGGGTTGTCGATCAGCGACTGAGAGAGAGGGAGGGAGATTGTCTGCTCACACAAGAGAGAGGATCGGAGGACGTTCCTCCAAACACGCGTTATTATTTGTATAATTTAATTATTGTTTCTCCTGGAAGCGCTCCGTCAGACCGAGTGCTGTGATGTCGGGAGGTCCGGTCTTGGGGAGGGAGCGGGGTGAGGGACGGCGGCAGCAGCGTAATCATCTGTCTCTTTTATTTAGGGACACGGAGAAGTTAAAAGGAGAGAGAAATAGAAGATGGAAGTTCTTGTTCCACTTTAGTCTTTTGTTTCATGACGATAAACTGATGTTAAATTCAGCTTAAAGAGAAACTGGGAGGAAGCTTTGGGTCATCTTAAGTTACAGGAGATCTTGTCTCCTATCTGCTCCTCCAGAGACAGCATGGACATGAGGGTTACATGGTGAGGGTCCCACAGGACAGGTTAGTGCAGTCACACAGCCGAGCTGGAGGGGGGCAGGTGTTGTCCTGCTTTGTATTGCAAGCTTGTGTGTCATGTGTATTACAGCCAGCGATCCAAACAGCAGCACCACCACCCCCACCCCGGCCCTCTTGCTTCAGGGTCTTTTTTGTGTGTGGCCCTCGGACCATTATAATTGAGGACCCCTGCTCTAGGTGTTTCAGACTAGTAGGAACTCATTGACGCAACAAAATTTCTTGAACTTTTATTGGTTCAAAATTTTCAGGAGGTATTGAAAATGTACCTGAAATTTTAGCAAAACAATCAAATACCTGAGGGGAGGGGTGAGTGTTCCGTGACCCTGTTAACGTTCAAAACCTAGCTTGTTCAGTAGATAGCAGCTTTAAGGGTCTTGTAGCTAACTGGAAAACTGTTAAACCAACTGGGAGCATCGCCAGATCTTCGACGTGTAACTCACAAATGGCACCCGACCAAACCCAATTTCGTCACCACGGGGTCCAACCAACAACTTCAGTTTTATCATCGCTGAAGTTCTGAAACCATCTTGAGGTTTGACCTCAACGAGGTAGCCGAACAGTGACGAAGATGGATCAGAGCATCATCAGCATAGAAATTAAATATAAAATGGATTTTGAGAAACATGTAGAAGCTAAAATTTGTCCAAGACCAGAGCCTTGTGGGACCCCAGTAAGGAGGACATTTTGTGTTTCCTGTATCCAGGCAGCTGAATCTGCTCAGCACCGCCACACCTGCAATCGGAGCCTGGCTGGTTCCCATCGACCAGCTCAAGTCTTCTCTACGCAAGCTGGACATGGAGGGCACGCTGAGGGTGTGTGCAGTGATGGGCTGCATCATGACCGAAGCTCTGGAGGTGAGCAACTCCAGAGGGCCGTGCAAAAATTAGGAACGGTATCTGAGTTTCTTAGTTGTTTGTTTCTTTGTTTGTTTATGTAAACAGAAAAAGAGCATCCACATCCCGATCCGCAGCAAGTACAACCGTGTGACCAAGCGAGCGCGCTACTTGCACGAGAACCCCTCCTGTATGCTTTGCAACATCCTGCACCGCTACCTGCAGCAGGCAGACTACTCCATCATAGAGGAGGCCACCATGGTGAGTCCCGCACACCAAAACCAGAGAAGCGCCAAACCCATCCTCTTCTTTAGTGGACTCTCGATCTCTCAACAGCAACAGAAATAAACAACTGTTTCATTTTAACAACAGATCTTCTGTGTGGAAGTTTCTTCTTCCAGAATCAGAGGTTTACTATGGTTCTCTTAGATAAGTCTGTGTCTGAGCTCTTGTTCATGTTCAGAAATCACCCGTTTCTTCTGCCTCCATACCAGAATGACGGCGTCCCCGCTCTGGTGACCCTGAAGAAGGGTCTAGTGGCTTTGGCCCGACAGTGGATGAAGTTCATCGTGGTGACCCAGGGCTTCAAGGCGATCGGTCTGATTGGACCCAACCAGCTCACCAAAGCCAAGGAGGCTCCGCCAAGCCTGGGAGGCCCAATGGGACTGGACAACGGAGCGGCGCTGCAGAGCGACACCAGCGCCGATGGTGCTGAGTTTGAATATGACGCAGGTGGGAACGTCGCATAGTGACTCCAACATGATCCATTAAAGTTCAGGGTAGATGTTTTCACTCGTATCAGATTTTCAGGAGAGGTTTATTTAATGTTGTAATTGTGAAGCTGCAGTGAGTGAACACACCATGCTGCTGGAGGGGGTGTGCAGTCGTCCTCCACCCAAAGAGACCACCTCTGGTCCCGTCAGCGGGGTGGAGATCATGAGGAAGCTCTCCAAGTCCCACACACACAACGAGTCTGCTCTCAGGATAAAGGTATGACTTGTTCTGCTTCGCTAAGCAGCGTTTTTATCCTGCAGATGTAAATCTCTCCAGTTTCAGTAACGTTTTAGTTACACATCAGAACGTCCTGCAAAGGTTCAGTTGAAAATTTGAATGCTGACTCAGCAGATCGTCGTGTTCTTCTTGATTCTCTTTTTCAGTTTGTTTTTTCTCCCACAGTTTTTCAGCTATCTGAACACAGTCCAGCTGTAATTTGTTTTTTTTAGTATCGATGTATAAATATATGTTTCAGATGTTCAGATTTTTTATTAAGTTGTAACAGCTTCAGTTTGTTTCTACCCAGACACTCGAGTCACGAGACTTGTGAGCTTTCCCTGCAGGATTCAGGCTTTACAGTTGTTAACTCATTCACTGCCAGCCGTTTCCTGATCACTAACGGCCTTCGCTGCCAGCGTTTCTCACCGTTTTTACTGTTTTTTAAGAGTCACAGAACGTTGCGCGCTAGCATGATGTCGACGCCAAAACAACCAAAACAAAGAGGAGACTCACCTCTTACATCAGGAAGAAGCCGCGTGTTTCGAGCGTTATTCAATTCAAGTTTTTTCAATTCAAGTTTATTTATATAGCGCCAAATCACGACAAAAGTCGTCTCAAGGCACTTCACATAATAAACATTCCAATTCACAGTTCATTAAGCCAATCAGAAATAATGTTTCCTATATAAGGAACCCAGCAAATTGCATCAAGTCACTGACTAGTGTCAGTGACTATACAGCAATCCTCATACTAAGCAAGCATGCAGCGACAGTGGAGAGGAAAACTCCCTTTTAACAGGAAGAAACCTCCAGAGAATCCTGGCTCAGTATAAGCAGCCATCCACCACGACTCACTGGGGATCGAGAAGACAGAGCAGACACACACACACACACACACACACACACACACACACGTTATTTCATAATCCGTTGTCGAATTGTGATCTGCAGACGCTTTTCCAGTTCGCGCCTCACTTTTTTTTTACAGGAACGGCCCAAAACGATCTCCTAACACATGGATGTGTTGCTTCCTGATAACGTGATCTGTGATGTATGCGGATGAAGATCGGCTTCAGGGCTGAGATGTTTGTTCTCTCAGCGCGGGGGCTCGTTCCGATGCTCAAACAGTAAAAAAATGCAAATGACTTCTTTAGTCGTCATTGGCAGTGAATGAGTTAACGTTAAGACTTTAGACCTGATGTTCTTTTAGGAGGCTCACGTCTTCAGATCCTATTTATGACTTATTCTGCTTAAACTTCAAATTGTTGAAAGATTTCAGCAGTTTTCAGCATTCAAACAGTGTTTCTGCTACAAAATAAAGTTTACCAAGCTGATATTTGAAAGAAGAGATAAACAAACTAAATTAACAGAATCTATTGCAGAAGGTTTAGCTTCAGACTGATGTTTTATTCTTGTTACTAATTGATCTGAATCCACCTAATAGGAGCTTCAGCAGCTAAAGTAAACCCACTCACATTCATAAAGTACCAGGACTCTTTGAATAAGTATTTCATTTCTTTATTGAGGCTAATTAACTGTAAAAAAGTCATGCAAAGCTTCAAAACTGGTGAAATGATCCGAGTTTAGTTCTCGGTGATCCCAGAGTTTATTAATATAATAAGTGATGGTTGGAGTGGAGCTCTAACAGCTGACTGACGGTGCTGCTGGATGAATGTGACGCCATCTTGGATCAGAGTTTAGAAGGTTTCTCTGACAAAGTAAAGTCTGACGTTGTTTCATCTCTGCTTACATAGAGCCAGCTCAGCGCTTTCAGCCCAAAAAAAGTTTAGCCGCAGCTTTAAACTCGGCCCTTTCCGTTATTTTACCAGACACAATTTATCTCCTCTGTCACATCAACAAAAAGCCAAAGGCAGCCGGTGATAAATGAGACGACGCGGGCAGAACCTCCTCTTAGCACTCTGCTCATTTGTCATACCCAGGGCTCACATCCCTACCAGTCGCTGAGCTACACCAGCGGTGACACGGCCGCTGACTCACCTGCCCATGTGAGCCGGGTCGGACCGACAGCCAAGGACAGCCCGAGGAAGGAGAGCCTCCTGAGCAACCTGACGGGCAGCTTTCGCAGCCTGCACAACCTGCTGGAGGGCACGCCTCAGAGGAACGAGCCGTCTGCAGCCACTGCGGCCAAGAGCGGCTCGCTGACCCGCACAGGTGCACACACACACACACAATTATACACACACACACACACACACACACACACACAATTATACACACACACACACACACACACACACACACACACACACACGCACACACACACACACACACAATTATACACACACGCACACACACACACAATTATACACACACGCACACACACACAGAATTATACACACACACACACACACAATTATACACACACACACACACACACACACACACAATTATACACACACACACACACACACACACACACACACACACACACACACACACACACACACACACACAATTTTACACACACAAACACACACACACACAATTTTACACACACACACACACACACACACACACACACAATTATACACACACACACACACACACACACACATAATTATACACACACACACACACACACAATTATACACACACTCACACACACACACACACACACACACACAATTTTACACACACAAACACACACACACACACAATTTTACACACACACACACACACACACACACACACACAATTTTACACACACACACACACACACACACACAATTATACACACACACACACACACACACACACACACACACACACACGCACACACACACACACACACAATTATACACACACACACACACGCACACACACACAATTATACACACACACACACACACACACACACACACACACACACACACACACACAATTTTACACACACACACACACACACACAAAATTATACACACACACACACACACACACACACACACACACACACAATTTTACACACACAAACACACACACACACAATTTTACACACACACACACACACACACACAATTATACACACACACACACACACACACACACATAATTATACACACACACACACACACACACACACACACACACAATTTTACACACACAAACACACACACACACAATTTTACACACACACACACACACACACACACACACACACACACACAATTTTACACACACACACACACACACACACACAATTATACACACACACACACACACACACACACACACACACACACACACACACACACACACACACACACGCACACACACACACACACACAATTATACACACACACACACACGCACACACACACAATTATACACACACACACACACACACACACACACACACACAATTTTACACACACACACACACACACACACAAAATTATACACACACACACATACACACAATTATACACACACACATACACACACACACACACACAATTATACACACACACAATTATACACGCACACAATTATACACGCACACACACACACACACACACACACACACACACACACACACACACACACACACACACACACACACAATTATACTCTCTCTCTCTCTCTCTCTCTCTCTCTCTCTCTCTCTCTCTCTCTCATATATCAGCAGCTCCATTTTTAACCAGTCCATCTGCTCGCTGCACCAGCGCCCTCTGCTGGGCTCTGAACAGTTCTGGATGTTTGTTCCTGCTTTCCTAACATCAGGACTAATTTCCCCACATAAACATTTATTCAGAACTCCATTAACATGAGAACGGTGCCACTCACTTGTTTTCCTATGATGCTTCGTGTTGCTTTCAGGGACCGACATGCTAACGGAGCACCCTCTGCTGTCCGAACCGTCCTCTGTCAGTTTCTACAACTGGATGTCCAACGCTGTTGGGAACCGGACCGGCGCTGCAGCTCAGGAGTCTCCGCTCAGCCGCTCTCAACACAACAGCCTGCAGACAGGTGAGCTCCTTCGGATGTCTGCTGGTGGTTTCCAGCTCTCCCAGTACAGGTTTGAGTCACTCCTGTCTCCATGTGTGAAGCCGCAGCTTCCACCACCATCTACCTCTTGGTAACAGCTCTGATGGAGGTCAGGGAGCGTTGCCTCTGACTGTTTTGATGGAGAAAAACCTGCTAACACAATAACATAATGTATTTATTTTATTTTAATAATTCAAAAGAGATTAAATTAGATTTTTATGTTTAAAAAGCTGTAAACAGTCTTTTTCTAAAGGATCTTGTAACAGATGAACTTCTAAACAAGTCTTGTTTTGTTGAGCTGAAGGTTGCTTACTCCTGTCATTAACCCTTGAAGCTTTCAGATGGAGCATCAGGATTAGTATCTTCGTCAGAAACCTGCCATTTCCAGTCCAGTACATGTCTGCTGCCCCCTGGTGGAGGATCCACACGTGGCAGATTCTTTAATAACCAGTAGTTTGTTTTTTAGACTCTAATCCTGACGAATGGTAAATGGCCTGTAATCGTATAGCTTAGGGTTCTACAACCCCCCAAGGCTCTTCACAACACAATCAGTCATTCACCCATTCACACGCTGGTGGTGATGAGCTACGATGTAGCCACAGCTGCCCTGGGGCGCACTGACAGAGGCAAGGCTGCCGAGCACAGGCGCCACCGGTCTCTCCGACCACCACCAGCAGGCAAGGAGGGTTAGGTGTCTTGCCCAAGGACACTACAGCAGAATTCTCTGGTAGGAGCCGGGATCGAACCTGCAACCTTCTGATTACTGGACAACCTGCTCTACCTCCTGAGCTGCTGCTATTCGATGAGGTGAAGCTTCAAACCTGCAGCGTTGGCACTTCAGAAGATAAAACCGTTTTTCATTCATTTCAAACTCAGAATCAAACCTTCGGTTTGCCTCTCCTTCCCCTCTAGGCAGTGCTGCTTCCTTTCCTCCGCGTCTGCAAAGGTTTAATTTTTCTGTAACAACAGAAGAAGTATTTGAAAGTGCAGCTGTGGTCAACCCTCTTGGACCAAATGAAACCTGTAACGAGTGAATTTGCTCGTGATTAGATGAACTTTATTTTGATTTAACTCCGGTGCGAGCCAGAGCTGCTGCCGTGTTGATATGTCCACATTCTTGGTCCTGTAGGGGGCATGTGCAACCTGCCCACCATCCCCTCAGCGTCGGACTTCAACACGGTTCTGTCCAGTGACCAGAACACCCTGGACGGGACCCACTCCCAACACAGCACCAGTCAGGAAGACATTGTGGACATCGAGGAGGGGAACCAGTGTCCAGCAGCCGTCCAGCTGGCCGACGCCCAGGTGTCTCCGAGTTTCATCCTTCACACACGAAGTCCGGTCTTTAAGCGGCTCGGGGCAGCCTCGGTTCTGTCTTCTGACCCGGAAATCTCTCTTTTCTTCTCTCCAGGTGGTTTTCAAGCCTTTGCTGAGCTACACGGGCATCCAGGCCCAAGATGCCACTCCACTCAGCTACAAGATGTACTTCGGAGAGCATTTATCCTTCTCTGGGAACCTGGAGTGTCTCCGAGCAGACATCGTTGATTCCGACACAACCAAAGAGCGCAAAAACAAGCGTTCCCGGAGGTAGTTTTCCTAAAACGGCTTCTGTTTCATGTTTGTGGTTCCTGATTTACGTTTAGCTGTAATTCTCAGACAAGGCACGGTGAACCTACCTCCGCTGGAGTTCAAGCCAGCTCTGCTGATCGAGACCTTCAGCGTGAACGCCGTGGTGATGGAGAAGTCTACCAGCGCTCCCCAGGGTCCCACCGCCGCTCCGCTCTCCTTCCATGACCTCAACCGGCGCCACTACAACACCTTCCACTGTGACTTCACCACTGCCTGCCAGGCCATCAGCCAGCGCGTGGACATGGCGCTGGTGCGCCTCATCCACCAATTCAGCACCATGATCGACGACATCAAGGCCACACAGACTGACATCAAGCTGAGCCGCTACACCGCCGGCTCCGCCTCGCCAACGCCCACCTTCAAGGCCCGGCCCTACCACCACTTCAGGTCCTCGGACTTCAGCCGCAGCTCCAGGGGGAGCCTGAACGGGGCGGGTCGCAGTGGGACCCAGACCCTGAAGAGCAAGAGAGGGGTTGTTGGAGGCGGGGGGGCTGGGGGAGGAGCAGGCGGTCCTCCTTCTGGACCTCCATCAGCCATGGACACTTTAGGAAGACGGGAGCCGAGAGGACGGACCTCCATCGGACGTTCAGAGCGACGCACCTCTAAGGTAGGAAGACAGATTTTCGGAGTTTGGTCCACCTTAAATGGCCGGATGGGTCAGTCGGCCATGTTTGGGTTTGAAAATGTGTTCATGGTTTTCAGTCGACCAGCTGGATTTCAGAAACACGGCTGCCTTCGTGCTACTCGGGCCTGAAGGTTCAAAATGGAAAATAAAGGAGTTAAAAGAAATAAAAGATTTGAGTCTTAAAAACTAATAATTGAATCTGATGATGGATGCAAAACTGAAAAAAAAGTTTTAGCGTCACCTTTTTTCATTTGAGTATAATTTTTTACAACATTCAAGATGAAACCTTCAGTTTCAGCACAACGGCTCAGATGGAGCTCCGCACTGAGTCGGCATTCCCGGTGAATCTGAACAGACTCCCGACGATCCTGGCGTGGTTCTCCTTCTGAAACCACGTCGGGTTTAAAACGTTATTTCTAAGTGCGTCTTTGTTTCTAGAGATGTTTCATTCACATGAAAACAGAAACCAGGTGTGAAGGAGGCTCAGTTGCAGAACAAACTTTAAACACCTGGGGTCATAGGTCAACATTCTGGTTGGCTCTCCGGAACCTGAAAGTATCATCCTGGTCTCCTGAGACACGAGGATGCTCCTCAACCCACTGGTGGGTCTCTATGGGTTTGTTGGCGACCGAGTCATCATCTCTAATGAACCTAATAAAACATTCTGAGCTGTAAGTGCTTTCATCCTCCAGACCAGCTCCTCCTCTCTGAACCTAGAGGGAGCCAGCAGCTCAAGCAGCTGGATCTGACTCATCACCTCTCTTTAGGGTTTGAGGGTTAAGTTCACCCATCATCCTGCTGCGTTTTTTTATTTCTGTCCCTTTCCTGACGTGGAATAATCCTGCATCACGCCTCCAGGTGTCGAGGAAGGGCTCGCGTGACGTGGCAGACCACATGGCGATCCAGATGGACGACTCGGACTCCATCACGGTGTCGGAGCAGAGTGAGCCGTCAGCAGAGTGTTGGCAGAACATGTACAAGCTGCTCAACTTCTACTCCCTCATCTCCGACCCCACCGGCATCCTGGAGAAGAGCTCCCCGGAAAACTGCCTCTCAGGTGGACGTCAGTTCTCAGCCAAATAAACGGCAGAACCAAAATAATAACTACAAGAATTAGGTCAGGATCTCAGCAGCCTCTTCCCTTTCCTCCATCTTTCCCACAGAAAGTGGGCGTCGCCCCTCGGAGCCGTTCTGTAAGGTGACCTTTGAGAACGAGCAGCAGGAACCGGCCACGCCCAACAAGCCATTGGGGGCGGGCGGGCGGCGCCGCAGCCTGGTGAGCTCCGAGCCCCAGCACGTCACGCTCATCGTGTTCGGCATCGGCATGGTGAACCGCACTCACCTGGAGGCGGACATCGGCGGGCTGACCATGGAGGCGGAGCTAAAGAAGATCCATGGGAGCTTCACCCTGAAAGAGAAGATGAAGGGTGAGATCAGCCTATAGTTTGATGCATCGCTGCAATAAAGCGCCATTCATGGAGGGGAGGAGTTTGTTTTGTTGATGTGTGTTTTTATGTGATTTGTAGATATTCTTCACCAGAAAATGACAGAGACGTGTGCGTCTTCTCATATCGGAGGAATAAACATCGTCCTGCTGGAGGGGATAACACCAGACATCCAGTATGCACTCGAGCTCCCGCAATCCCCTCAGACGGGTTTGGATTTCAGGGTTTAGATCTGCTCACCGGCCTTAATTATATAATTATTATAATAAAAAGAACAAAATTCCTGCTGTTTCCTTAAGATAGATGGATATAAACTGGAGACGGTTTCAGGAATGGCTGAAATGGACTTGATGGTGAAATTAGTGGAAACTAACTTGTATAAATGTCAAGTCTAGAGTGTTAAAAGTAAAATATGCTAATTGTTGCATAGGTTACATCAATACAATGACTTACCTTTATGCAGTAAAACGCTGTTTTAAACCGTAAAATCAGATTTAGCATTTATTTATGTGCTGATGGCTCCGAAAGCTCCAACGACGCCTTCAGATTTCAGGATTTTTGACCTCAAAATGAAAATGCTGTCACCGCGTGACGTTATAAGAAACATAGCAAATAAAAATTCACGTTTTCTGTGAAACACAAAATACTAAATAAATCTTAATGCTGGTCTGGAAGTAAGTTAAAAGTGCCGATGATAAGTTTCTTTTAATGTGCTGAACTTTGTGGTTTCTGCTTTTATTCTAATTAGCTTTTATTTATTTTAAATAGCTTTTATCTATAGAAATGTCTTTATTTTAACGTTTTCCTACCTGGTTTCTTCCTTCCTGATGTCTCAGCGTGTTTTTTCTCTGGTTATCTCAGATCTGCGTTACCTCTCGGCTGTTTCACACGTGTTTCTGCTCTTCTTTCTCCTCCCTTACGCTGCTCGCTTTAACTGCACAGACTGGAGGATTTCCCCACGTCTCCCACCAGCACCGCTAAACAAGAGTTTCTGTATGTTAGCCTCATTTAGGTCCATCACCAAACCGAAACCACATTCTTCATTTGTCCCGGTCTCTTGTTCCTCACCTGCATTTCCAACATTACAGAGCTGTTTTTTTTTTTATTGTTTGTTATTTTTTAGCTCAGTACATAAAATTAATCAGAATAATTTTAGGTAACTCAGTATTTAATACATTGGTGTGTTTATTCTCATAAATATTTTTCATTCTGTTTGACTTTTTACTCGTAGCTGTGTCATATTTACTCGTTTTACTAATTTATCCTGAAAAACGGGAAACTGTCCAAACGCTGCATGGCGTCAGTAATTTCATCCTCATCCACATTTGCTCGATCTCAGAGACCTGATTGATTTGAGTGGCTCATTCTGGTTTGTTCTGTTTCAGAACGGTGGTCAAGTGTAACATCGCCAAGTCCCAGGCTCTGTACAGCGCCCAGCGCGGCCTGAAGACCAACAACGCCGCTGTCTTCAAAGTGGGGGCCATCATGATCAACATCCCCCAGCATCCGGCGACGCTGCACAGCATGATGGTCCGGAGCTCCCATCAACTCTCCAAGCAGATCGCCGACCTCATCCGGCAGCCGTCAAACGTGTACGTCTTTAATTGGGTTTGGTGGTGTTGGCTTTGTTGCGTAGGGCGGCGTCTCCTCCAGGAGTAATTCAGCTCACGGATCTCTCATCCTTACCCCGGAGAAGACTAAAAGTACGGTCTCAGAACCACAAACCTGAACATTTGGCTGCTTTTACCAAGTCCTTTATTCCTGTTAACGCAGGGATTTGTAGCCTGGATTTAACCGGTTACCATGGTAACAGTCAGATCCATGTCAGTATGTTTGTACAGCTGTGAGTGTGCTTCAGATATTAAACGCCATATCTGTAGGTTGATATTTACCCGACTCAGTTCTGGTAATCCTTCGTTTCATTTCAGTCAACCTCCTAACAGAGAGGACACGCCCACCCCCCAACCTTCCGACAAAGCGTCCAGCATCAATCAGACCCCCGTGGAGGCCAACGAGTTCCCCCAGCTCCCAGAAGGTCTGGAGAAGAAGCCCATCGTTCTGAAGTTCAGCGCCACGATGGACGGCATCACTATCGGCGCCGCACTGCTGCCCTCGCTGAAGGCGGAGTACAAGATGGGCGCCATGAAGAGCCATGGCATGACAGGTGCTAACAGCTGTTAGCCTCCACTGATGTCCTCTCGCCCCAATAAAAGAACAAAAGGTCACGATTCTTCTTCTTGTGTTCAGGAGCTCAGACCAGTTTCACCTTTGAGTTGCCACACCACAAACTGTGCTTTCAGTCCAAAGTGTCCCCAGTGGACTTGTCCACCATGTCCCCATCAGCCAGCCTGACTCTTCCTCAGGTCACCATGTCAGGGGAGTACATCATGGAGGATCACGAGAGCCACTCGGATCAGGGCTGGGCACCAGATGACTTCCCAGCAAAGCAGGGGAACTACCTGCAAGGAAACTACCTGCGATGTGTCGCCGAGGTAAAACACACCTTTCATCTGAACGTCTTCACCGTGGGCAACACACGTTGTAAAATAAGGACTAATAATGGGATGATGTTTAGTTTCCTGGTTTAATTTTGTTGTTTTTTTCTAACAGGAGCTTAAATGTGGGAGGTCTGAATTAGCCTCGCCGGTTTATTTTGTTTCGATTTGTTTTTTAAAAGCCTGATGGTTGATGCCCGTGTGATGCGTGTGGGCGCGGCGCTGCTGCTAACACACTGACTTTGTTCTGGACAACCTTTGCTGGTTTGGAGTTGAATCTCACCTCCATCGTTGTGAACTCATCGTTGCTAATGCTTATGCTAATGCTGGGGTTGGGGTTAGGTCTTCTGGAGATTAGAGCTCCTCCAGACTAATCGGAATCGGTGCATTCCTGTAAAATCCTTCGTCGATGTTTGGCTTTTGAACACCGGCGCTTGTTTGTGTCTCCCTGAACAGATCGGATCATTCGAACACAACCTGACCACAGATCTGCTCAACCACCTGGTTTTCCTGCAGAAGGTTTTCATGAAAGAAGTCAACGAAGTCATTCAGAAGGTTTCAGGTGCAGAAGCTTTTGCTGTGATGCTTTCATGTTTAGTTTAAATAAACTCACCAAACCTTCTATTCAGAAGCCCTCGCTCTGCTGCTGCTGTGACCCAGTTTCTCCTCACGGATCGATAATCTCATCTGCAACGTGTTCCCTACAGAACTCCTCACCCAGCAGCGTAAATCCGAGTCCGATCGCTTTTATTTTCTCCACACTGAACGAAGCCCCAAGCGCCGACGCAAATCCAGTCCTGTTAGTTTCCACCGCAGCATCGATGCTAATTTGTTTAACTGGCTAAACCTGATGGATGTAATTGCCCAGCAGAGGGAGGACGGTGAGGGATGATGATGCTGCCCTCAGCGGAGTGTTCCTCTTGGCTCTGGGGCCTAAAACGAAGCTCTGGTGGGAAACATCAGCCAGCTGAGGGGCTGACGGTTTTTTCTGTTGTTTCAGGAGGCGAACAACCGATTCCTCTGTGGAACGAACACGACACCTCGACAGATGCAGACAAGCCCAAAATTCTGCTTTACTCCCTCAGTCTGATGTTTAAGGTATGCCCAGGGTGGAGAGAGGATGGCCTGTCGCCCGACCAAACTCATCTCCTGACACTGAAATGAATCCTGATCCAGGGCACTTTCTGTCAATTCCACTTTTGTTTTTGTTTGAAAATGCCTGAACATCTAAACGTAAATGTCTAACCTCGCAGACCGCGGGTCACTTAAACGTCTGAGGTCATCAAATAAATTTAAATATGAGTCAAAGACTGTACGGCCACTACTCCACACACAAAACACTCGATATCTGAATATTAACACGCGTGCGCTTACGTGTTCACAAAGATGTCTCACTTGGTCAGTAAAAAGTGGAACAGCTGATACTTTTCTAACCCCCTCTCCATAATGCTTCCTGTGTATGTGTCTACACAGGAACTACTGCTGCTTATAGCGTCTTGATGTCTGGTCGATCGTTTACTGAAAAGTTGTTTTCTAGATTCGTGAAAGTCTCGGGGTTGATGTTCTACCCTAAACAAGGAAGACGTACTCCTCACACGGCAGACAGGAAGTTGGTTTTTTGCGGTTCTGATCAGTCATTTGCTGACAACACTTCCTGAAGGGCTTTTCTCCCAAATCCCAGAAGTTGTTCTGCTCTGATTGTGTGTTTAAGGGTTAGGGTTGGATGCTGGAAGCCTGCAGCAGACCTCTTCTCCTCAACTCAAAGCGACCCCCCACCCCTTTGTGCTTCACAGGGGATCCAGATGACCGCCACCACTCCCTCCATGCGGGCCGTGCGCTTCGAGACGGGCCTGATTGAGCTGGAGCTGTCTAATCGGATCCAGTGCAAGGCTCAGCCGGGAGGCAGCAGCAGCTACCTCAAACTCTTCGGAAAATGCCAGGTGGACCTGAACCTGGCGCTCGGACAGATCGTTAAGCACCAGGTACGGATTCATCTCCTGCTGTCTCACGTCCAGACCCTCTGTCCCTATTCGCCTTCTTTCTTCTCCTCCCTTCAGGTGTACGAGGAAGCCGGCTCTGACTTCCACCAGGTGGCATACTTCCGTACTCGGATCGGCCTGCGGAACGCGCTGCAGGAGGAAATCAGCGGCTCGTCCGATAAGGAAGCTGTCCTCATCACGCTGAACCGGCCCATCGTTTTTGCACAGCCAGTGGCGTTTGACCGAGGTTCGTTTTCCTTTTGCTCCTCCCAAATATCCGTGGAACGATTAAAGTCGGATTTTATTTGTGTTCCATGAAACTCCGCTTTAAAAACTAACAGCTGAACAACTGGAAGTGAGTTTATTAACTCAGCAGGGGGTGAATCTGTTGTTTCAAGACCCTTCGTGACTTATTTGGGGTTTTTGGTCCGAATCGATCTTTTCTCCTCACCACTGATCCTGCAGCCGTGCTCTTCTGGCTGAACTACAAGGCGGCGTACGACAACTGGAATGAGCAGCGCCTGGCCCTGAACAAGGACATCCACATGGCCACTAAGGAGGTGGTGGACAAGCTGCCGGGCATTCAGCAAACCTCCGCCCAGGCCTTTAGCACCCTCTTCCTGCAGCTGACGGTCAACGACCTCGGCATCTGCCTCCCGATCACCAGCTCCTCACAGGTGAGATGGAAAAAAACACATTAGCTCACTGATTAGATTGTTATGATTAATACAGGGGGGCAACACATCCTAGTACTCGGTTGCTAGGCAACGCTTCGCTTGCTTTGAAGATTTAATGGCTCGTCAGACAAACCGTCGTAGAACGTCTCTTCTGATCGACGTCCGCAAAACAACTTTTATTCTCATGTTTAACAAAGTTTATAACAAACACATTTTGTTTGCTCAAACATGTTTGTAAAAAAAAACTCAGAAGAATTCAGACTCAAACATCAGAAAATCTGAGCTTGTTGCTTCTAAAGTTCAGATTAATCTAATCTGATTCCCTCGTTTGTGTCGATAATCTGGTGGAGTCACCCGTTTCATCAAACTTCCTCACGGAGCTGGAGGGGAAAGTTCATGTGTGTAACCGCATCCTGTTCTTCACCATAAAGGGACAGATTAGGATTACTAATCTAATAACAGATGATCCTACAGGTTATTTGGTTGATTTATTTCTGTAGAAAGGACAAGCTGCCCAGGAGGGCGGTTCTGAAGCCAAGGTCTCCGACCCAACCGGCCAGCGGAAAAAAACACTCAAAGTAACGTCTGCTTGTGTTTACGGCTCATGTGATGCTTGTTGTGGGTGAAAATGATTCTTCTGCTCTATAATCTGGGTAATCCGCTGCACCTAAAGTGCTCTTTGTTTCCTGATGGTAACATTTTCCTCCTGGAAGCCAGAGTAAATCCCGGGAAGTGCCTGCCGTGTGTTCTCCCTTAGAAAGAAGGCTCTGCCACTTTCTCTCACATCTGTTTGTGTGTCTTTGTTTGCTTCGGGAAAACGTTTTGGCATTCGGGAATGACTCTGATTGCTGCAATAGTTGCTCCTAAAATGTGATCTGATTCCTCATCCAGACGAGAAAACTCTAATTAGAACGAGTGGAGGTGGAAATCTGTCCGAGTGCTGAGTCGGATGATAATCAGATTGTTGTTTTGGGATCTGGAATCTGTGTGGATATTGGTGTTTTCCTGATTACTGGACCTAACAAGCTGACGGAAACTGGGAACATTTCACTCTAAAGTTTCTTTATTCCTCAAATGCAAAAACGGAATCATCCTAGTTTGGGGGAATCCGCTTTAACCACTTTCCTCATGGTTTACTTATTTACTGATGGATCGTTGGTGAAATGTTTTCAGCTCTCTGGGCCTCTTAGACACATGGAAGTGGGTTATTTTCCTTATCCCCTCAAAGCCTTTGTAACTCTGTAACTCCGCCTCCCTCCAGACCAATCACAGCATAGACTTCGACACCGGGTCGGCTCTGGTTCTGACCATCGAGAGCACCCTGATCACTGCCTGCTCCTCAGAGTCCCTGGTGAGCAAAGGACACTTCAAGAACTTCTGCATCCGCTTCGCTGAGGGCTTCGAGACCACCTGGGATGACTGGAAACCGGATATCCGAGGAGACCTCGTCATGAATGCCTGTGAGTCACGTCGTCTTCCAAGATGGCTGTTTTTAACCTGACCTGATGGAGCTGCCGGTGGTTACCGTGGCGAGTGTGTTGAACCACTGGCAGCAGCATTAACATTTCTGATTTATACACCAAAATGCAGACAATTTCTGTTCGATATGAACATTATTTAGCAGATATTAAGACTCACTTTTCTGGGAATTTCCAGTCCAGGTTACCGTCTAGTTGGACGTTTATGATGCTGCTGTCATGTGATGGTTGACCTGGTTTGGCGAACGTTTAAGCAGATTGTTACTCTGAAATATTAAGGAAGTGTTGCGTGTTGTTTCCAGGCGTGGTTCCTGATGGAACGTACGAAGTGTGTTCCAGGACCACGGGCCAACCCTCAGCAGGCGAGTTCTTGCTCCTTGCATTATTGATTAAACATCATCCGTGAGACAATTATAAGAGAAATTCAAGTTATTGAATCGGTTGTTTACTGTTTTTCTCCCTCTTGGCTTCCTGGGAACAGAGAGCAGCAGTGCCGGGACCTGGACTCTCAATGTGCTCTGGAAGATGTGTGGGATTGACGTTCACATGGACCCAAACATTGGGAAGCGCCTCAACGCCCTGGGGAACACGCTGACATCACTCACAGGCGAGGAGGATGTAGACGACATCGCCGACCTGAACTCCGTCAACATCGCTGACCTGTCGGACGAAGACGAAAACGACACAATGTCACCAGCCATCCACATGGTCAGAGCTGCTCCATTAATCGGCCTAATCCCGCCAGATTAGAGCTGCTGTAAAGTAATCAGCATTTTCTTCCAGATTACGTGTTAGAGAAGGGAACAACTTAAAGGAATAGTTCAACATTTTGTCTGATTGTTTTTCATCTGGAATTTAAAACACATTTTTTAGTTAAATATGAAGCTGCAGTTGCTTCTCATCAGTAAAGATGGATGACGTCCAAGTCCAGCTGTGATATCAGGAGCTCCAGAAGCCCCGCCCACTCACCTGTACACAAACACAGTGTCTGTTCAGCATGAAATAACTAATGACATCACTTTAACATTCAGAGACACAAAAACAACTCAAGTCGGGATCGCTCTGACTTTTTATGTAAAATGTTTTTACCCACTTTTATCGTCTTGTCTGTTTTTCTGTCACAATATAGAAAATGTGTTTTGTTTGTAATTTCCACCAATTTCTGTTTTTCCAGGTTTAGAATATCAGATTCTCCTATTTTCTCCAGCCAGTCCCAAAGTCTTGTCGCGTTTCTCTGCCTTCTGACTCACAGAAACTAACTGGAGACTGAATCCAGACCCAGTGGGGTTAGCTAGTGCTAACAACGCGCTAACGCTAACACGAGCCAACTGATACTAAATATAAGCCACGAAGAAAAAAGATCCAGACTGCTGGGCAAAAATAATTCTTACTTAGTCCAGTAGCAACGAAGCCACCATCCGTCCCCATCGCTCTGACGAGTTTAGGCCGCGCTTCTCTCTGGTTTTAGCTCCTATGTTTACTTCCAGGCTCCGCCATGATGCCAACAAAAAAAAAAAGCTAAATTCTTCTTTTTGTTGGTGGTAGGTGAACTGAAAAAGCTAACCGCTAACCTCAATATTAGCTGCCGTAAACAGGTGGAGACCTCCCACTAGTGCTTCTACCTGAGCCACAAAACTATCAAGTTCTGGTTCTGGTCAGCAGAGGCTAAACAACCACTGAAACCAGATTGAAAGCAACAGCTTAGTGTTAAAAACTCTTTCGTGCTGCTTTTAGAGAGAAATAAAGTAGAGCTGATTTTCCGTGTTGAACCTCTGGCGACACAAGCCTGATGAGGCCCTCTTGGAAACGGTTTCAGCCCGATGAGGGGCTGCGTTTCTGTATCTTGTTCCTGACGCCGCCGAAATAAAAGCCCATGCACCATTTAAACGTTTGATTTAAATGTATTAAAGCTGGTTAGTGAAGTTTCTCTGCAGGCTCTCTGTTAGACGTTTATTCTCCCGTTTCTGTTCAGATTAAAAGCGATTTATGAGTTTAGATCTCCGGGATGTGGTGGAGAAGCCGCTATTTGTTCGCCTGAAACCGGAAAAGCCATCAGGAAATAAAATGTGTTGAACTATTCCTGTCATGTTTAAGTCCAGCTGGTTTACCCTAGACGACCTCTGAAGGTAAATTCTGACCCGGGTCGGTCTGATCTTCCATCCGTCTGTTCCAGGTGAGTCCAGAGAGCCCGTTCAGCCCTCGGCTCACCTTAAGGAAGCGTCTGGTAAACCACATCCTGGGCCTCAGCCCCAGGCCTCTGAGTGTGTCCGACCCACCGGATCACTTAATCCAAACGGGCAGTACCAAGACCCAAAGACCCCTCTCCTGGGCCTGTGTATGTAGCCTCACACCTGAACCTGGACCCAGAATGCTGAGTGGTTCTGTTGGTACTGTGATTAAAGAGCCTGATGATGGCGGAGGTTTCAGTGTTGGGTGAATAGAGGCGACTTCCTGGGGCAGTAGAGCTTTGTCTCCCTCGTCTGTCTGTGTGTGGGCTGGTGGCGGTGCTGGTTCTGTTTCCTGTCCTCCCTGGTGTGATCAACGCTCAATCGATATCATCTGGATTTAATTGGGCCGATTCACAGAGGGCTGGATACTTGACTGGGGATCTGTGGTCTAATCAGAAGCTCTTGTTGTCGTTTCGATTCACCAGGAGACCATCGACCCCCGCAGGCTGACGGTGACGGGGAACCAGATGGTGGACGCTCGGGGCAGGAAGTTCACCAAGAGGGTGGTGGACATCCGGGAGCTGAACGAGCAGGCCAAAGTCATCGATGACCTCAAGTATGACTCCTTGATCTGATGAGCTCACTTTAAAAACTGCGCCACTGACCCGATCCGTCCTCCTGATTGTAGGAAACTAGGAGCCAGCGAGGGCACCATCAACCAGGAGATCCAGCGCTACCAGCAGCTGGAGTCGGTGGCCGTCAACGACATCAGGAGGGACGTCCGGAAGAAGCTGCGGCGCTCCAGCATGAGGGTAATCCCAGTCGGCCGCAGCAGTTTGAATGCTTCAGACAGGAGGATATTCTGGAATAGTGACTGTTTGTTGTAGTTTATTATTTTGTTGACTTGTTTGTTTCCATCAGGCGGCTTCTCTGAAGGATAAATGGGGTCTTGGCTACAAGCCGAGCTACAACCGCTCCAAAAGCATCTCTGCTGCTGCTGGCCGGCCTCCTCCGAAGAGGATGGACCGGCAAAGGTGAGCATCGTTTTATATTGCGTCTTTCTTTCTCTAACCCCAACCCAACTGAAAATGGACCGCTCGTATCTGCTAACACACAGATGAGCTGACTTAGCGCTAAAGTTGGTGAGCTGGTAATTAGCTGTCGACGTTTATCTGATAAGGTCATTCCCAGATTTCTGTTGAGTGGTTCGGGAGACGTTTAGCTAGCAAAAGATTAGCTCTCAGCGTTGGTCTCAGACAGAAACCTGCATGTTTGTCTCCAGTTCCAGGATGGGAGACGTGGACGATTTTCCAGATATCCGTGTGGACGCGTCGTCTCCGGGACCTCGGGTCACCTTCAACATCCAGGACACGGTAAAGCCCTTCATGTCACATGATCAGCGACAACTTAAACTTGCTAACATGGAAGGTTTTTATATCCCGTCTTGCATACGTCAGAAACTCATGTTCATGTGTTTAGGGTTTTATTTTTTCCCTTTCCATTAATATTTTGTTTAATTGAACACTAATTATCAGGAGTCGGCCCAGGCGCCCGTCAGTCCAGAAGGAGTGTTCCAGGTATCCGGTCCAGATCCCAAAGCTCCTTCAGCTCTGCTCTTCATCTGGGATTCTTGTTTACCGGATTTGAAAAATGCAAAATCAAAGCAGGATGATGAGATGAATCTGATCCTGTCGTTTATAAAGCAGCTGCTTTATTAATGATTCATTTCTAACTCTCATCCTGTCATGAGTCTGCATGTAAATCCATCTGTCACCTGAACAGGCGACCTGATCTCTGCATGCGTGAAATCTGATATTCAGAATGGAAGTTTTTTTTTCTCCTTTTTGTTCCGCTGCATCAAACCTGAACATTTAATGGAATCCGTTATTTAATGAAGGAATTCTGGTCCACTTCCTGACAGGTCAGTCGGAATTGACCCTCGTGAGTTTTCCTGAAGCATCCGGTCGGTTCTAGTTCTGCTAAACGTCTGGAATCCAAGCGAAGCCAGCTCTGTTCCCGGCAAACGGAGCCTCGCCCTGGAGCCTCTAATCTGACGTGGTTTGGTTTGTTTTAAACGATAGAAGCGTGAACACAACAGCTCGTGACCTCGGGAGAGTTTTTGTGTCCTGCTGTGTCACAAGCCACTTGTCCTTTTAGATGTTGTTGCTAAGCAACCAGCAAGAACCCCCACGCAGCTTTTGGGTGAAATTCAGATTCATTTATTGTTGTTCAGCAGTGCGGTTAATCAGGTGGTAGTGAAGGTCAGAGGTCAGGGGTGAAGCGGATGTTTCTGCTCAGCCTTTGGCCTGAAGGACGGAGGGTGAAGAGACGTTCAGCGGCATCTCCAACTCTCTGGGTGATTGGTGTTAATCCGTAACCTGAGAAGAAGCTAAAGGAACCATCAGAACCAGGCTGTGAAACCCGGATATTCCTCCGCTTCCTCTGACAGCAGTCAGAAACCAGCATCGTCGACCCGGGCTGAGCAGAACTTTAGTTCAGAGGTTCTGAATCGTAACGAGCGTATCCATCAGACCAGCTCCCGCCTGTTGGAGACCAGTTGGTTTTACACGTATCTCACAATTAGTTTTTATTTTCACAACTCGTCGTCAGTCGCAGCTCGGTGAGGTTTTAGCTGTAGATCTTTTCTGGGATGTTTTATCAGTTATTTCCTGTTTCTCTCTGTTTTTCTCCACCAGCCCGAATCTGGGTCTCTCTTGGGTGTTTCTCGTGATCTTTGACAACGATTGTTGGGATATTTGTGTCCTTTTCCTCCTTTGGGGGGCGTCTGCTCTTCCTCTTCTTCTCTGGTGGTCGTTCCTCCACAGGCAGACTCTGATTGGTTTCAGGTTTTGGTTCTGCGCTAAACATCTAAACTCGCTTTTCCATGACCGCCTCCAAAGCTCTGATTCTCTGGGTTTCCCACCTCGTCTCCGTCTTAGAGAGGATTTTACGTTTCAGAGCGTCCAGATTGTCCTTTCTGTGTGAGTTTGACTTTCTGTGTCGTCTGAAGTTTCCTGAGGAGCCAGAGATGGACCTGTTGTCAGTCACCATTGATGATCCATCCCATCATCACCTTCACCTCCATTCTCCATCCGCTGTCGAGGGTCTGCAGTCAGTTTTCAGTGCCCCCACCACCCCCGTTGTCTTCTCACCCGCAATGTCCTTCCAGCACGATGACATTAGACGAGACGACCTGTCCTCTTCGTCCTCGGACGACTCGGAGAAGGAAGACGAGTTTGAGAGGCCATCCAGCTACCGCAGACCTCTGTGAGTTCAGCTTCATTAAGATAAACGGACGTAAATGTTCTCCACCCCCCCCCCCCCCCCAAAAAAAAACAATTTGTAAATTGGAAGAAACAGTTTGGCCTTGAATGGACTCTGACTAGCCGTTAGCTTATCAGTCCCGAAGTTTGGAAAGGGAGGCTGTTTCAGGAAGTGGTCTCCAGCGGCTCAGAGAGGAGCCACCTTTAACTTCTCCTCCATTTGCTCCTCAGTCAAACATCTCACAAGAGGTCCTCGGGCTTTTCTGCGGTCAGTCAGCTGTTCAGCGAGCGCTGGCCGACCACGCCGGCCAACCGCAGCTTCGGTGGCCCGACGTCGGAGAAGAACATCGACTTTGAGCTGGACGTTCGGGTGGAGATCGATAGCGGGAAGTGCGTCCTTCACCCGACCACCCAGCAGGCTGAGCAGGAGGACGTGTCCCTCAGGAGGTGCCCTGAAGGCCGCTGCTTTACCTCCAACTCATGTTCCGGGAGTAACGTTTCGTTTTCTCCTGCAGGAGCTACGATCGCAGCCTGAGGAGTCTGGATCAGGATTCTCCTCCCAAGAAGAAGAAGCTCCAGCCCACTTACATCTCCACCTCGCACCTCCTCGCTGGGAAGAAATGCCCCTCCTCCCTGCAGACCAAACCCAACGACCTGGAGACCACCGTCTTCTACATTCCAGGGGTGGACGTGAAGGTCAGCCCTGACCCGAACGTCTCTCACGTCTTTCTTTCTTCTCTAATCATAAGTTCTCTCTTCTGATCCTGAAGCTGCACTACAACTCCAAGACCCTGAAGACGGAGTCACCCAACGCCTCGCGGGGATCCTCCCTCCCCCGCACGCTCTCCAAAGAGTCCAAGCTGTTTGGTATGAAAGATAGTGGCCCTCCAACCCCCCCCAATGCTGCCCAGAGCAAGACTAACTCGCTCCTACCTCCCCCGCCCCCACCCATCCCGTCAGGTACTGAGCATCTCCTCATTACTGAATGCATGCCTTACCGCCGGCCGCCTGCTGGACCCGATGGTCCACACGGACCTCTGCATGCTCCTGTTTCTGTAACCGTTGAGTCCAGGAACACAGATCCGAGCCCGGATCAGAACCAGACCTTTAGACGGGACTAAAAGACTTTTACTGAACCTGACTTGTTTTTGCAGCCAAAGGAAAAAGCATCGGAGGAGTGAAGACTGCTAAGCTGTATGCCTGGGTGGCTCTGCAGACCCTCCCAGAGGAGATGGTCATCAGCCCCTGTCTGCTGGACTTCCTGGAGAAAGCCCTGGAGACCATCCCCATCACACCTGTGGAGAGGAACTACACAGGTGAGCCTTTGCTCAGGTTCTGCAGGCTGCCCTGTGCCTCACCTGATGGTCTGGTGTGTTGTTCCTCAGCTGTGGCCCAGCAGGAGGAGGACATGGGTCAGTTTGATACGGTGGAGCCGCTGGAGGAGTCCGGCACCTCCCTGGTTTCCTCCTCTACGTCTGCCTACTCGTCGTTCCCAGTAGACGTGGTCGTTTACGTCCGTGTTCAGGTATTTTTCTGTTTTCCAATCATTTCCAGCAGTTTGTCCTTGATAAGATTCATCACAGAACAAATGATGAACCAAATTATTTAAATCATTTAAATTTGCTTCTTGTTCCAGCATAAAATCCAGGATTTTTTAAACTTCCTGTTATGTTGTTCATTCTTTCTCATCCTAATGGAGGTTATGTTTATGAATTTATCTCTGCAGCTTTAAAGATTTATATTTAGACCTAATCTAGAGTCTCGCTGGGCCTTCCTAATCCTCAGAGTCGTTTTAGACGTCTTTAAAACCGTTTCTCCAGCAGATCCAGGAACCAGCAAAATCTGTCTTTTCATGTGTGAAATAAAAACATCTGCACAACATTTTCCTACCAGAATTGTTTTATTCAACTGAAATTCCTCACACTGGAATTCCTCACGGTCTCATGTCTCCAACAAGCCCGCTTCAAAACAAGCGTCCCCTAGTGGCAGGCTGCAGAATAGGCTTAAAGCCCCACCCCCTTCCATGACGAACAAGCAGAAGATGAAATGAAAACAAATGGAGAAATAATGTCATCATCGGTTGATCTCATGACCCGGTCAGAGTTGAAACGGCTAAAACGGTTTCTGTCCCGGTCAGATTCCGGCTCTCTGAACTTTCCTGTTTGGTTCCAGCCTTCCCAGATCCGGTTCAGCTGCCTGCCCATGTCCAGGGTGGAGTGTATGCTCAAGCTGCCCTCCTTAGACCTGGTCTTCTCCTCGAACCGGGGAGAACTGGAGATCCCGACTGGACCCGCCCCTTCAGAAGGATCTCAACCGCCCTCCTCCACTCCACCAGGCCAGCACGTCCCCAAACTACCTCCCAGTAAAGGTCCGTGGCGCTCTGAAGACCGTGTGTGTGTGTGTGTGTGTGTGTGTGTGTGCGTGCATGCGTGTGTGTGTGCGTGCGTGCGTGCGTGTGTGATGGGATTCGTTTAAATTCTGGGAGCGTTTCTGGGAGCCACCGCTTCCTGACTTCTGTGCGCCGGGATGATTTAATGTTCCTCACAGTTTGCTGCTGGAATTAATTATTTTCCTCTCCGGTCTGTCTCCTCTCCACATGACGGCAGCTCCGCGGAGCCTTTCCTTCCCGCCTGAGTTTAAGTCATTTGTTTTTATTTAGTCCGACCTCGTTTGGAGACCTGATTGTCTCCAAAGATGTTTATTTAATTATCTTCCTGTTGTTGACTCGTCTCCTTCTCCTCCCCCCAGCGTCTCCATTGTTGGGGAGCCCTTTGGGTCGGAGCCGCCACAGCAGCAGCCAGTCGGACCTAACCGGACCTCCTAGTACCTCCTCAGGCCTGAGCTTCACCGCCTGCATGTCCGACTTCTCTCTCTACGTCTTCCATCCCTACGGAGCCGGGAAGCAGAAATCAGCAGTGACCGGCTTGCCTCCGGGCCCTGGACCGCTAGGTACCACAAACTTTCTCCACTTACTTTCTCGGTATTCCTAAAGATCCCCCAGCTCCTAAACAAGCTGTTAGCTCCTTAGCTTCTGACTCACAAAACAATACAGACCCCTAAACCTGGTTCAGGTAAACAAAAAACTCATTTATTTAGTCAGATGTTCAATTCAAGTTTATTTATATAGCGCCAAATCACGACAAGAGTCGTCTCAAGGCACTTCACATAATAAACATTCCAATTCAGGTCAGTTCATTAAGCCAATCAGAAATAATGTTTCCTATATAAGGAACCCAGCAAATTGCATCAAGTCACTGACTAGTGTCAGTGACTTGACAGCAATCCTCATACTAAGCAAGCATAAAGCGACAGTGGAGAGGAAAACTCCCTCTTAACAGGAAGAAACCTCCAGAGAATCCTGGCTCAGTATAAGCAGCCATCCTCCACGACTCACTGGAGATCGAGAAGACAGAGCAGACACACACACACACGCACACGCACACACACACCAAGTAATGTGTCTATGGTTACATTGTGATTTCTTAGTAAATATTCTATTTGGTGAGAGATAAACTTTATTGTATTTATCCTAGTGGATCTATAATTAAACGGATAAACTAGCAGTAGCACATCCAACGTCAAGGAAAGCAAAAAGTTATTATCAGGAGAGGGAGAATGTATTAGTGGTTAGCAGCAGTGTGCTAGACGATGGTGTAAAGAAATTTGGCTGGCTCAGTTATATTGTAAGGAGAAACTGTCTTTACTCAGTTATATTGTTAAGAAGACTCAAAGGTTGTTTTCATCGATAAACTGACGATAATATCTGAGTGTCTGTGTTTCAGTTCAATGAGGAAACCAGTTTGACAATTAAAAGTTTTAATTCTTCAAATTAAACTAATGATTTTGAAATTGACAAACAGGAAATAACAATCAACATTGGCAACTTGTGGGACAATCTTTAACAGTTGATATGCTCTTCTTGCTCAAATAGACCTTCTGTCGGTGAATGAAGATTGAGAGTGATATGAGGTGATTATGGATGCGTGTGTGTGCAAAGTGTCGTGAGAACTGAACCTGAGGTGAGATGGATGCGTGTGTGCATCTGATTTTGCTTCAGGAAGAAACAGGTGAAAAGTGATGGTTTGAATAAACTTAGGTTTAGTTGGAAAAGATGCATCAAAACACTATCTGTCGTGTTTTTCCTCACCGAAAATCGGACCCTCTGTTGGACCCGGGACGTCACCTTAGGATGATGTTTCATCCACCTTGGCTGGCAAAGAATACAAAGATGCGCCGCGAACTGGTCCAGAGTTGCCCTCGGTACACGTGGATGGTAGAGCGTTTTGTCGATGCGCTTTCTTAAGTTAATTCACTCAGAAATCAAAAGACTCGGTAATGAGTCTGCGTTAGAAGTCGCGATTCAGCTATTCTGTCTGGCTTGGCAGGGACAGCGTGAGAAAAGGGGGGGGAGAAACGAGCCAACCGGCTCCCCCCTTTCAGCGGTTGTTCACACGTCCTCTCTCTTTCGTTGTCAAGCACGAACTGAAATCATAAGACTGAAACTTACCAAAAACCTTTCTCTTCTCAAAGCAAAACATGTGCGTCAGCAAATGTGTTTTGGAGTTTACTGTGAGCAGATGTGTGTGGGTGTGTGTGAGTGTTTGTGTGCTTGAGTGTGTGTGAAGGTCAGTAACAAACACTCTCAACATTATCTAATTATGGATTCATTAAATCTCTTATAATTACCCCAAAGCATAATAGTCATTCATTTGATTAAAACACATTTATAATGAGCAAATTGATGATTACAATTTTAACATTCAAAACAAGAAAAGGAAGTTTAAACTTTATGTTTTGACTTGTTATGACTACTTGTCCATGAGAACTCCTTCTTCTGGTACCGCAGGTGGCAGATGTTATGGTTTCCTCCCAGACTCGCTGGCGTTCAGGTCTTAATCTGTGGGTGAAAGTTCTCAATGACCCAGCTTTGACCCAGCTGAGTCCAACACCACCTTTGTGACAGAAAACCCATATTTCCTCACGTTACAATGGCCCCCTCCATGAGGCCACCACAGCTCAGCAGAACGTCATTGTAGCTTCTTCTGGGGAGAAAAACACTTAGAGAGAAAATAAAGTTAACAGCTGAAATAGCAGGAAATAATACAGTTAAAGAGCAGATTGTAGAAGAAAGCAGTTGAGTGTGGAAAGTGGTCAGTGTGTCCTCCAGCAGTCTAAGCCTATAGCAGCATAACTACAGAGATAACTCTGAATAACCTAGCCTTTTAGATGGAGGCATGTTGGAGGCAGGGCAAGGGAGAGCCGTCTTTACCGACTGTACACTCCACCTCCCTCTACTCCCCCACTTGTCCAGATCTAGGCTAACATCAGATTTTAACCATAGGCCCTATCAAATAAAAATGTTTTAAGCCTATTCTTAAAAGTAGACAAAGTGTCTGCCTCATGGACTAAAGCTGTGAAGGTGTCTTTCCATTCTGAGTTATTTTTCTATCACTTTCAATCATATGAAGCTCGAGACTTGGTGTTCCGGCACCCGGAGCAGGACCACAACCTCAGCCTTCGGGAACTAGAATCTGGAACTTCTAGATTATGGAAAACTAACCGTCAACATTTTTGTCAGAAATTAAAATCCTAATGGATTCACAGGTACGGTCGACGAGGAGCCGTCCTCCGTGACGGGGAGGAAAGACTCTCTGAGCATCAACCTGGAGTTTGTTAAAGTCAGTTTATCCAGGATGAGGCGTACCGGAGGTCCGACCTTCATCGAGAGCTTCGCCAAAGGAGGGAAAATGGACACGACCCTCATCAACATCTCAGGTACGCCGTCCCATCATCACCAAAATCCACATTCATAAGTCTTAATAAACAAAAATATTTCCTCCTCAGCCGTGTGCGACATCGGCTCGGCTTCCTTCAAGTACGACATGAGACGACTGAGTGAGATCCTGGCATTCCCGAGAGCCTGGTACCGCCGGAGCATCGCCAGACGCCTCTTCCTGGGAGACCAGACCATCAACCTTCCAGGTGAGAGCTCAGCAAATGTAAATGAGATGTTAGCATAAATGCTACATCACCTGTAGAGTCAGACTGATTCAAGATGGCTGCCGCAGCTAGCAACCGCAGCATCGATTACGGCTCAGTCAGTTGACGAAAATGACTTAACTTCAGTCGCCGTTCAGCATTCGAGGCTGCTGGCTTAACAGCTGATGTCTGTAACCTCATGAGGCCCCACCCTAATGTGATGACATCATAATAATCAGCCACAATAACCATAAAAACCAAAATCAGGAAAAGTCTGAAACGCTCCAAAAGGAAAATCCAACAGGACTTCTCATTCATTCACTCACGTTGTTCCTAACTGTTCCCTCACAGCGGCCTCTGGCCCCGCCACGCCTGACTCAGCTGAAAACATCACCCAGCATCTTTCCCCCGAGTCTAGCCGGAAAGCCTACTGGCGGACCTGGGATGGCAGCACCGGGACTCACATCCCTCAGTCCCCCAACGTGTTTTCAGAGCATTCCACTGGGAGCCTGGGTCACCTCAAGTCCCCCGCTCCGGGTCGCACTCGGAGCGTGTCCGATTCCTCCGCTCCCAGACGAGGTCGCTGCTCGCTTCAGTAGACGTATTCAGATTCAGAAGCGTGATTCCCGCTCATCTTTCACTGTTTTTCCTCCAGACTCGGTGAGTAAAACGTCCACGCCATCCTTCGGGAAGAACGGGAAGTCGGCCGGTCAGCAGGGCTCTCCCTGGGAGACGCTGGTGGTTTTCGCCATCAACCTGAAACAGCTCACAGTCCAGATGAACATGAGCAACGTGATGGGAAACAACACGTGAGTTAATCCCAGGGTTAGGGTTAGCTGTTCCGGATGCAGATTTAAATAAAAAGATGAATAAAAAAAACGATCCTGCGTGACTTTGAAGTCGTCTCTGCTGATGAGGTTCAGCCTTTCTGCTCATGTTTGTGTAAATCCTCACCAGCGCTGGAAAAGCTCCACAGCGCTTGAATCCGACAGAAGCCCAAAGGTTTTTCCTATTTATTTTTAGATGTTTTGTTCCGTTTATTTATTGATTTAAAATTTCCTGAAGGTTTTGGACCTTTTCTCTGTTCGTTCCCGTCTGTATTGTGTTGGTTCTGCAGCGCTCCAACGTTCTAACGCCTCCTAGAAGATCCCCGTCTCCTCCGATCCTCCTCAGAGCCGGAGCGAAGGAGACCTTCTGAGCTCCTCCTGAATGTTTCATGTCTTCATGAAGACTTTGAACAAACACAAGGAGCTTCTGGTCCTCTTTAGGTTTAGACGAGTTCTTCTGAGCTCCGGTTCTCCGGGTCTGGAGCCGCATTCCTTAATGCTTTCATGCCTTTATTCCCGGGCCGACTCATCCATGTTTTATCATCCGTTTCATTATTCATCAGCGCTTCAGAACGTTTCACCTTCTTTTTGTCCCCCTCAGCTGGACGACCAGCGGCCTGAAGAGCCAGGGCCGGCTTTCTGTGGGAAGCAACCGGGACCGTGAGATCAGCATGTCCGTGGGCCTGGGCCGCTCCAAGCTGGACTCCAAGGGCGGAGTGGTGGGCGGGAACATTGACGTGAACACCCTGGAGATGGTCTGTAAGTGAACAACACCTCCTGACTCGGCAGAGACTTGTCTTCAGGACCGCTGGGTTCTGATAAGCCGAGCAGAGAAGCATCTAAAGAGGGGTGGTCATCAAAGACCACGCCCACCAAGCTCCAGCGGTCCCAAGGGAACACCAGGAAGTGTGACGAATCCTCACTAACCAGTTTTTTGTGTTCTGCAGCTCACATCTCTGAGCACCCAAACCAGCAGCCCAGTCACAAGATCCAGATCACCATGGGTTCTACGGAGGCCCGGGTGGACTACATGGGCTCCAGTATCCTGATGGGAGTCTTCAGCAACGCCGACCTGCAGCTGCAGGATGAGTGGAAGGTCAACCTGTGCTCCGTGGACAACAGCCTGTCGGAAAAAAGGTGAGTTTACATTTAAATCAGAACTGAAGAGTCCAGATCCACAGGTTAACGAAGAACCTCCTGTCCCCGTCCTACAGTGAGATCTTTGTCCACGGCGACCTCCAGTGGGACATTTTCCAGGTGATCATTTCCCGCTCCACCACACCAGACCTCATTAAGATCGGCATGAAGCTGCAGGAGTTCTTCACCCAGCAGTTCGACACCAGCAAGCGGGCCCTGTCCACATGGGGCCCCGGCCCCTACGTGCCTCCCAAGACCCCCGTCATCAGCACTGAGAAGGGATCCGCTGAGCTGTGTGAGCAGATTCCTTCCTTCTGGAGACATGTTTAGCTCCGAGCTCGGCTGTAACGAGCGGCGGCGTTGCTACAGGAAGTGAATGATTCATGAGTCTACTCTGCTCCGTTTGTGGACCAGAACCCAGACGAGCTCTCTGGGTCATTAAAGGTCACAACACAGATCGGATCTAGTACCTGTCTGAATCTGTCCTGTGGTCTTCTCCCTGCAGACATGGATGCGGCCCATCACCGGCACTGGCCCGGTGTTCTGAAGGTGGTGGCGGGCTGCCACATCTCCCTGTTCCAGATGCCTCTCCCCGAGGACGCCGTTCAGCTGGGCGGTTCCATGAGCCTCCACGGGAATCACATGACTCTGGCCTGCTTCCACGGACCCAACTTCCGCTCCAAGTCCTGGGCTTTGTTCCACCTGGAAGAGCCCAACATCGCCTTCTGGACCGAGGCCCAGAAGATCTGGGAGGACGGTGAGTTGGACAGAACCCGGGTTCTTCACACTTCAGAGGTTCTGTAATCAGGTTCTTGTGTTCTGCTAGGCTCTAAGGACGACTCCACCTACATAGTCCAGACTCTGGACTTCCATCTGGGTCACAACACCATGGTGACCAAACCCTGTGGAGCCCTGGAGAGTCCGATGGCCATCATCACCAAGATCACCCGCCGACGACACGAAAACCCCCCGCATGGAGTCGCTACGGTGAAGGAGTGGTTCAACTACGTCACCGCCATGAGACACGAAGGTAGCACGAGTCATTCAGGGGTCAGACGCCCGAGTCATTCAGGGGTCAGAACCCCGAGTCGTTCAGGGGTCAGAACCCCGAGTCAGACCTGGGTCAGACCCAGTGGTCGGTCTTGTTTGGTTTATTTTTTTATCTTTTGTGACATTTTATTCTATCCCTTACATGTTTAAGTCTCATGTGTTTTGTCCATGTTTGCATGTTTTTAACGTGTTTTTCTCCATGTTTACGTGATTTTTTAACGTGTTTTATTTCCCGTTTGCAGAACTGAACCTGCTCAGGAACGTCGAAGCCAACAACCCGGAAAGCGGCGCGACGGCTAAAAGCTCTAGCCTGCTGAGCAGCTTCCGAAGTTCGCACAGCTACAACCATGAGAATGAGACCATCTTTGCCCTTCCCAGAATGCAGCTGGACTTCAAGTCCATTCACGTCCAAGATCCAGACGAGCCGGTTCTGACCGGTAGGATCCAATTCTGTTTTTTTTTTTTGTTTTTGTTTGTGTTCTAGTTCTGTTTGAAGCATCTTCTGGTTCTGGTTCCAGACTCCAGCAGCAAACCCAAAGTGGAGTGCAGCATGGTGACGGAGTTCACCGACCACATCTGCGTTACTATGGACGCCGAGCTGATCATGTTCCTCCATGATCTGGTGTCGGCCTACCTGAAGGAGAAGGAGAAAGGTATGTTTCATTCATTCATCGTCTGTGTTTATCTACAGGTCCGTGAGTCATCAGTTCTGCAGAATCGAACTCCAGGCCCGAGCAGGAACGACATCCTCCAGCGCATCTGTCTGCCTCTGCACCTGCGAGGCCGGCTTTAATAGCCCACGCAGCAGGGGGTCGGGGAGCTCGCCGCAGCTTTTTAATGTCCCTCACGTCGTCGCGCATCAACAGAGCTCACATTTAAATCAGAGCCCAGTCCTGGTTCTGTTTGTTCTGCTTCTGAAGAGAAAGAAAGTCAGGCTGAAGCTTTTCATGGTGTTTGATTAATCCAGATTAATTGAGGCGGTTGTGAATGAGACTCCCCGGTAGCGGCGATGCCTTTTGTTGTCCTAATGAAGGACGTGGACGCTGGAGCGCTAACACCTGATGGCTTTGCTCCTTTCCTCTCAGCTCTTTTTGCCCCACGCATGTTTGTGACTCGGCCCGGTCAGAAGAGTCCCACGGCCCTGCAGGACGACGACTCCACCAACAAGGACAAGGACGACGGCATCAACTGCACCACGGTGGACTGGAGGGAGTTCATGTGCAACACCTGGCACCTGGAGCCCACGCTCAGGTGAGCAGCGCTCCGATTCGGCCGGGTTCAGCTTAAACCTGGATCCAGATGTTTTCCTTTTTCACAGCATCAGTGAAATATTTGATCAAAGCGTTTAAATTTTTTTATAGCAGACAGGTCGTTCCCCTGGAAAGTTGTGCAGACGACACAGTTTAGTCCCAAAGTATCCTAATTTGTTTGTAATGAAATCTCATTTTATTCTTTTTCAATGTTTTCAAGTCACAAAACCTGAAAGATGAAGATTTGACAATTTTTACTTTTAGGAATTTTATCTCACATTTTTTTTTAACTTCATTAATAAAAAATAAAAAATAATTGGGGGCTTGTCCAGGATAAACCCCCGATTTTGCACTGTAAGCAGGAATCTTGACTCCTAAACCAATCAAACTCCAGTGACATCACAGCGAGGTTCTGGGAACTTCCTGAGCCATCGTTGATGTTTAGACACATTTAAGAAAATTCTTGGGGAATTTGGTTTTAGTCTAACGGTCAGAGCTCAGCGAGAAACAGACTGGAGGTTCATCTGCTCAGAAGGAAACTGAGAAGAGATAAAGTCTGGATCAGGACTTTATTTTATAAAGAGCATACATGTTTGTTGTGTCTGAGGAGAACCAAACACCTAGTTAACATCATCTTCGTTCAGGCTCATCTCCTGGACGGGCCGGAAGATCGATCCCGTGGGAGTGGACTACATCCTGCAGAAACTGGGCTTCCACCACGCCAGGACAACGATTCCCAAGTGGCTGCAGCGCGGCGTGATGGACCCGCTGGACAAAGTGTTGTCGGTTCTGATCAAGAAGCTCGGCACGGCCCTGCAGGACGAGAAGGAGAAGAAAGGCCGGGACAAGGAGGAGCACTGAGGAGAAACACTGGACTCGTGCATCACTGCTGCGTTTTTAATCGTTTCCACACTAAACCCTGTGATCGTCTGCAAGCTCGTTTGCCACTTTCAGCTCCGACTGAAGCGTTTTGCACCAATTATTTTTTAATCTCACTGTACGTTTGGAACCAAGTAGTTTTATTACTCTGCTTTAACTCCCAGCCTGTGAAACCTGGTTTACCCGCTTATATAAAGATGACCACTAGCTCAAGAGGATCGACTTGTTGAATCATTGCCTTTTTGTTTCCCATGGAACACAATGCTTTATGTACTTTAAATATTTTAGACCAGTTCAGCGATCTTGTTTTTGACATGAGGTGCTCCGCTCAGCCACCAGGATGATTGTAACTATTAATTCAACAGCGATCACCGTCGGTATTATTTATTGGTATGTGGGAATGTAATTTTATGTGATGTTTTTGTCTTTTTTTAATCCACTCTGTAGAACATGTGTACATAGATCAATTTCGTAAATGTGATGATTTCCTAACTTAATAAAACTGCTGCCATTCGTTTGAAATTAAATCATTTTCTGTTATTTTTCTACTTGAAATTAAAATGTGCATTTGCAAAGCTGCAGGAGAGAAGAAGAAAATGAGCCCCAAACTTGAGAAAATGTGCCCAGCGCCCCCTAGGGATGAGCCACCACTGGTTTGTGTTGTTGCACCAATTTCTCACGCTAAAAAACAATTTATCTGAGCGACACCGAGTCACGCTACTGTACACACTCCCCTAGCTACAGCGCTTCAAGTTCAGCATTAAGCTGACCTCATGGTGTTTCTAATTTGCATATCTCTGCAGCACATTTCTTTTATTCCTCTTTCTTCCTGGAGCTGCTTTAACAGTCTGTAAACATGAGAGATGAATGGACGACCAGCAGATGGAGACAGGCATCCTGCTCGATGGACTTCTCCCTAAAGACACCTTCCTGTGGTGAGCCTGTGAATTATGAAACAGAAACAGGGTAGAAAACATAAAAAAGTCATGAAAAGATGTTGAACTGCTCAGATTGCCGCTCTCTGTTCTTGGCTCTTAGGATCAAACTGAGCTCCACGGAGGGGAGGTCCGACCAGAACACAGAACCAGTAGCTGGTCTGGTTTGTGAAACACGTGATTTCACCACTTTAAAGTCGCATAAAAGCGTCTCGTCCTAAAATCAGAATCCAAACTAGTTTAACATCCGCTACAATTATTTTGGTTAATTAACAAACTAATCATGAATATTTGTAAAGCTCAGAGTTTAGAAATACTTGGTTGATGGTTTAGGGTAACTGTGACCAACCATCGGTTCCATCAAGTCTGGTTGGAAGACGATCATCAGTCTGATGAGTTCTCCGACCCCCGTCGTCGTTTCAGCAGCAGAACAAAAACAGGCGGTAAAACGATCGAGTCGAGAAAAGACTTCTATGTCACAGGGAAAATTAGTATTCATGGCCCCGCCCACGAGAAGGAGAGGGCAGAGCACACCTTGGCTAGTAGAAGCTAACCACTAACATTAGCAACTTCACAACATCAATGTTACAATTTTTTTTACCCAAGAATGAACGGAGGCAGCAGAAGAGTCTTGTTGCTGTTAGCCAATCAGAGACGAGACGTTTAAATATCATGAATATTAATGAGCTCCTGCTCCTGAAACAGGAGCACCGTGACCTTTTTTCCATGGGAAAAGACTCGCAAGGTATTTTTTCATCCATCCATACAGACCACAGCGACGGATGAATGAGTTCTCCTTGGAACCATCGGCCAGGCTCCGAACGTTTCCTCCTTCAGCTGCTCAGAACTTGGGAATTACCTGCTGGGAGGAGAACTATTCACATTCTTTATGAAATCAAGTGATCCTCATTAGTCTGACGATGGAAACAAGATGCCTTCAGAGCCTTTTTAATGAACCTCCTACAGAAGCGCCGAGCTCGTTTGAGCCAATAAAGACCAAATGGATGTTCTGCACCTGAACCGTCTGTTCACAAACGAGCAGCGTGAGATTCGAGCTGCACTGTGATTGAGTTTCTAATTGCTCGTTCCACTTCATCAGCCTGGCTTCAAATTAACAATTCACCGGAACAATCCGGCTTACGGCTGGAGCAGGAAGCTGCTGGTTTCTCAGAGCAGAGATCCAGCGGTGGTGACCTCCCCGACCTCCTCCCCATTTTTGTGTGACAACGAATCCCACAGCATCTCGTTTGGTGGAGTTCTGTGCTGTGGAATTTTCTGGAAGCCATGGAGGAGACCTGAAGAATCCCGTTAGGGTTTTGTTTAGTTAGGATTGTTCAACCTTCTGTGGGTTTTCTCACAAAACCAGTTTTCCATTTTTTAGGTGAAATTTTAATTGTCTGTTTTGTGACGTTTGTGTTTGCTGGCTCTACGGGTTTTAGGTCTTTGTGACGTGTTTTTGTGTTTTCTTTCACGCTTCAGCAGGTAAAAGTCTGATTCTCATGTCGGAGCTGAGAGCAGACTTCCTGCTTTCCACCTGACAGAACACATTACCTGCATACGGAATCACATTTATGAGGCGACACTGAACTCTGTCTGACAAACCCGTGGCGGCGTTCCTGATCCTCCGCTTTGGTGGAACCAGTTTCAGGTAATTCCGCTCCTTCGGGACCGTCACGCTGATGACTGCTTCCTCCTGTGGCTCCTGTCAGACGTTTTGCTGCCTCTGAGAGATAAAACTCATGCAGGAAACACAAACTTGGTCTCAGGCTGCAGGAAATGTGCTGCTTGGGTCTGGTGAAATGTTCCTCAGAGCAACGTGTGAACTTTGGATTGGTTGTTGAGGCCCGCAGCTCCATCAGTGACCCACGATTATTTAGATTTATGTTAACAAGGACAGGAAGTGGTCCATCCCCAGCGGCTTTGCCCCGACAACCCGAGCACAGAAACAAGATGGCTGCGGCCTGGGTCCTTTGTGAGATTTGGACATGAACTTCACCGGCCTCCCTGAAGCTCTGAGGCGTTAAAGAGGAACGAAGCTTCTGAAGCGTCCTGCTAAGATCAGATCAGACACACATCTGAAACATCTCCGTGACTCTGGGTTTGCCTCCTCTTCTGTGATCATCATCACACAGTTTTCCTAAATCATTTAACACCTGAGGAATGCTCCACTTCCTCCACCTTCACCGGATCCTTTGGAGTCTTCCTCCTAAAACCTCAAAGGTCTTTTCCCTGACAGTTACCGGTAAACATTCCAGGTGCTTCCGTTGAGAACAGGGGTGGTCTGGGACCAAAATTCGGCCCTGGCATTTTTACAAATCGTCGGCCCTCTCCATTGGGAGAGCGGTGGGGTTGGGGGGTGTTGCCGCCCGCGGACTCATCTCTAGGCCGAATGTGAGATCTAGTATGGACTGGGACTGTTGAATTACAAGCAGGGCCAGACCGCTGCGACCGGGAGGCATGGCCTTCCAGATTAGCTCATTCTCCACGGACGGAGATCAGCGGTACATTAGCTTCATGCTAACGCGGTAAAACAACTTCTACGTCATCACTCTGCCATGTTTTTCTTGCTATAAACGCCTGGAAAAACTCTGTTAGCTTCGGGTTACCATGTAGCTAATGTCCTGCAGATCACCAACTGTGGAGTAGTGTCGGCCCAAGCTGGGCAAGCAGCCCACTTGGCTAAGCTGCCCACCGGGACACTGCCAGAATGCCAGATAGGCCAGTCCACCCCTGGTTGGGAACATCACGATTCCTGCTGCAGAGACATTTGGGCTGATTGGAAATATTGAATAATAACTAACTAAACGGATGATTTATCTCATTTGGCTCGTTAATCACCTGGTTTCAGTGGTGAAACTCTAACTGCTGCAGCAGGTTGCCACCTTCATTTTGATGGAAAAACCAGATCTCACTTTCTTGGAAGGTCCAATTTTTCCAATTAAATTCGGTCTAAAGGTACGTGAAGTGAGAATGACATCCTGTGGTAAAAGTTGGGTACTGCAGTCTGTGTTTCAAACGCTGACCCTCCCTCGAGTTCATGAGTTTCATGGCTGTTGCCAGTTACGCTGGAACGTTTAACAGTTTAGCTCCAGCAGACTCGGAGGCTACACTGATCTTACAGATTTTTTGGTTTCACCAAAGGAAACAGCTGCAGAGACACGCTGGAGCTATCTCCAGGCTCTTAGAGTCTTTAGAAAGTCAGTTTGTTCAGAAAAATGAGTCAGAAAACTTCTCTTTCAGTCGTCTGTAGGTCAGTCAAATGAATTAATGCAGTTATCATGTTTAGTTTGTCACTAAAGAGATGAACGTGGATCCAGCTTCCAGAAGAACATGAAGGAAACGATTAGAACAGGTGAGAATTTCTACTAAACAATAAGAGTCTGAAGCCGGGGCCCGAGGCTGAACTCTGCTCCAGTTATTTTCTGCAGAGGATTAATGTCGGAGTTTCCTTTATGAAGAGAAAAGGTTGTGCGGAATAAAAAGACTGATGCTGAACCAGTTTAAAGAAAACTCACTTCATTTATGAAAGGATTAAAATGACAGAAATCTCAGGTTTGGTTCAGAAACTGGGGAACGTCAGCATTCCAATCAAAGCGCTGGTCATCGTTTTCTGCTGGAGACAGAAGGCCTGACGTGCCACAATCTGGAAAAGCGAGAGCATTTTTTACATGAAAGGAAACCAGATTCACTTTGAAGTTTCAAAACTTCACGGATGTCGAGGAAGAAACTCCGGAGAGCTTTAGGAATCGGACCTGATGCTGCACAACAAGCAACAATCCCAAGCTGGAACTCGTAGAGGAAAACGGATCTCAAGTCCAAACTCGGCTGTGAGTGGAAGCGTGTTGCCATCTGAGCAAGTAAACCGATAAAGTTGCAGCATTTTGTATACTGAGTTATGAAAGGTACGTTGGGACGTGCAAATGTAAGGGTGTGTCAGAGGCGGAAAGCTACAACTGAACTAGTGTTGGCTGGTGAAATAGATTTTTGGTGGGGTGCATTTTTGCAAGTCAGTCTTCAGATGCACTAACCACACATCACCACTAGGGGACGCCAAAGTGCAGCTCAAAGAGGACGCACAGCCAGCTAACCAGGCATCTTCTGTCTAGGCAAAATTGGACTGGGGAGAACTTCCGGTTGAATGTCCTGATCTGAGACTTCGGTCTTCTGTGCATGCTTCAGGTGCAAAGTTCTGCTCCCAAAGGCTCTATATGTTTTGTATAGGAGGGGCATCCAGCGCGCATGTGTCAGTCATGGCGTAGGTCTATGGTGAAGGTTTTTGCGCCCCCAAAGGAACAGGAAATACATCACAAGACCTTTTGGTTGTGGTAAAAGAGTAAGAGAACATTTTAAACCACACTTAAATGCAGATTAAACACAGTATTTAAGTTTCAAGGTGTTTTAAAATGTTTTGTGATTGAGGTAATATGACTTGAACCATTTTTGATTTTCTGCAGATCGACTTTAAGAAAAGTTTTCCTGAAGTTTTGTGTTTTATTTGTGTCTGAATCCATAACAGAGCTGTGATTTAGTGGGATGAAGCCCCCCCCCCTTTTTTTTTTAATTTGCTTCTTTTGATCATTTTCACCTTGAAAAAAATCTGTGTGCTTTGCCTCAGATCATAAAAAACACTTGACTCAGAACCAAAATCTCGGTGGCTCCTGGCAGGTTTGGCTGTTTTATCGATGATTTAAGTGGCCGTTAAAGGTCCTCGGAAACCTGCTTCATAGTTAAAAAGGAATTTATGAAACCAAATAGGAAACAAACTTCAGAATGTTTCCCACAGAGCCGATGGTTTTGGTTAAACTGGAACACAGGAGGATTAAAACCAGAAGCAGGTCACAAACCCACAATTTGAGGTTTGTCAAACGTGACAGCAACAAAATCACGAAGCAAACACAATTTTTTTTCTTTATGAAACAAATAAATGACATCATCATCACAAAGAAACACGTTTTCTACCACCGTAAACATTCAGACTCTAGTTAGCACGATAACTTTTACCCATCATTCCCAACCTCTGCGTTTAGACTGACGCTCAGCTACAAGCACAAATTATAACTCGACATCTGTAGAATCCATGAATTTCTGTGGCGGCCATCTTGAATTTGTTTGGCACCAAAGGTTAATTGTCTTCAGACGAACGTTAAAATCCATCCAGACGTTTAGGAGATGTTTAGCTAACAAAGGCAAAACATTATCACCAGTGGATAAAACTACACGAAAGGAAAAAATGGTTTGGAAAAAATATTTACTGAGAAAAAGCAGATTAGTTGTTTTGGTTTTGACCAAAACTCCCAACAAGGAACTATCTATCTAACTGGAGAAAACCGACGATTAACGAGTGCAGATTTTTGATCTTATTTGGTTTTATTAAATCACACATTTAAATACTAGAGCCAGATTTTTTTTATTAACTCTCCCACTGTCTTTATGGGTGACCCCGCGAGGAAAGTTGACCATTGAGCAGGATTGATGGTTTATCCCTTGAGGTCCACGTGGCAGAGATGAGGTGATGCTCACTCCTCACCCCTGCCACGTGGACCTCAAGGGATAAACCATCAACCCTGCCCAATGGTCAACTTTCCTTGCGGGGTCACAGCCATTAGGACTGTGGGAGGGTTAAAAAAGGCAAAAAAGTGAAAGGTTTAAATTTCAAAAGAGGATGTAAAACATCAAACACAAAAACATTTTAATGTTAAAACTTTATATTTTCAAGCATTTTAGTGAGTTTTCTTTCAACAGGTTAAAACAAGCTTCTATATATTATTATTACCCAGAATCCTCTCCCACGAAGGGTCTGCAGTAAACGTGAGAGTTGTGTCTGGTGAGCATCACTCCTCCAGCTCCTCTGCCTTCTCCCATTGTTGCCAGGGTAACCTGGATTTGCCTAAAAATTTATCTAAAAGCCTGAAACTGCGGGAGGAAAAGATGCAGACGGGAAAGGCGACAGAAAAAAGGGCACTGTGGGTAGAAAGTAAATGGAGCCGCTCGGAAACAAGATGAATGGGAGAGATCTGCAGCCAGAACGCCGCCTTCTGCTTTGTTTGTTAATTCAACCCATTTATTAAACTCCCAAACATTTATTTTCTTGACTTGCGGCTGCTGAGTTTTATCAGCTGCTTTATTGATGATATAAACTGGAAATAATCTCTAAAGTGGTTTTTCAATTCAGCCATAATCTCAGAGGTTATAGTAAACTTTACATCAGTGTGGAACACTCAGAAAACCATCCGATAATGCACCGCACCTGCCAGCTACACACCTGTACATTGGGATCAGAACTGAAGCTGTCTAATCTGGGTTCACAGATATTTTCATGACCTTTCTTTTTAACTGAAATTTATAAAATGACAGAATTTCATTTTCTGATTGTTGAATTTCAATCCAAAATGGAGAAAAAAAAAGAATAACTTCAAACTTGATTTAACTGGTATTTGTTGATTTAGTGAAGATTTTCTGAGCTTCGTAGACCCCTGTGGTCCAGGTGTAGCCGACAAACATGTCGCCCATTGTTCGTCCATCAGAAGGCGACTTTAAAAATCCTAATTTTATCTTTATTTCATGCAGGAGAAGCTTATCGAGTTAAATAACTGGACATTTTTATTAAACTTTATTTATTGTAAAAATTATGCAGGAATGAGGTGTAAATATGAGGCACCCCACCCCCACCCCCCGTGTTTATGGACCTATCATCGCCTCTGCTGAACTGATGTGGATATGGTCCAGGACCAGGTGAGAGGGTTAATGCTCTCTGACGCGTGAGGATTCAGGTTGGGTCGCAGCAGCTGCGGACAATCAGCGCTGATTCACCGCCGGTTCGGTCCCGCTGCCGCTCGACCCTCTCCGGTCTCTCCGGGCGCGAGCCGCTCAGAACTCTCACGGAACCGTCAGACATGCCATACCGGACCCGTAACCTGGACACCGGGGATAAACGCTCGCCGGATAAATGACTTGAGAAACTCCCGGTGAAGTGAGCGGCGGCTGGAAATGAATGTGACCGGGAAGCAGCACCAGCCTGAGTCCATTGAGCGACCCGCCAGCCTCCCGGTACCAACCTCGGTGAGTGAACCCGCTCTGCGGGGTTTAATCCTCCGGTAAATTCACAAACTTCAGCCCGGCGGCAACCCTTTGATCTGCGCTGGCACGCGAAGAGCACGCGCGGTACCCTTTGATGTGCATGAGACGTCCAGCTTCTCCTTTAAAAACTCCACCTTTTGGGTGTTTACAGATAAAAACTCACCGGAGCTCAAACTGAGCCTCGGACCCGAACCCGACCCGGAACCAGGGCGAACGTGAGAACACCTCGGCATGAATGCTGCGCTTTAATTTAAACAAAAACACAACTTAACCGAAGGGCCAGAAACACCAGCTTCTTGTTGCTTTTGAAACTAATTCCCTTCATCTTGTTTCTTTCATGGTGACCTGAAGGGTCACAGCTGTGACGTTTAGCCTTATTTTGGGACATATCTCCTAGTTTTTAAGGTTGGTGGTGATCTCGGTGCAGTGTGTTGTTGGAGATTTTCATCATTTATTAGCATCACTGAGCTTCTTATCTTTGTGTTCTGATGAGTTTAAGGAAAACAAACGATCCGACCTTTAGAAATTCCTCCTCGTTCATCATGTTACAGAAAACTCACACGAGCTGTAAAATACCATCAGTTATCTGATCAGAAACGGATCAATCTTCCTTTTTTGTCATACATGAAGTTCACGTTTCCATGGATACGTCTTAGTTTCATTTAGTGTTTTATTCCAAACTAAAGCCTCTGATCCTTCTTGTTACGATCTCCATCTGTGACTTCAACACGGTTTAGTAAAAGGCTGCATCTGCTCAGGTACACCTGACTGGTACCTGGGCGGATCCAACCAGGTGTTGTCACGTTCCTCAGAGGTCCTGGTCCATCCTCACATGACAGCATCGGCTCATGAGAAGCCCCCGTTCCACCACATCCCAAAGCTTCTGGGATATGGCGACTGACCTGACGGCTGAAATCTAGACTCATCAGACCAGAAAAAGCTTTCCAGTCTCTTCTGGTCCCGTTCAGCTGATCCTGTGGGGATTGTAGCCTCGGCCTCCTGTTCTTGGCTGACAAGACAGATGCCTGGTAACTGGTTTGGTCTTCTGCTACTGGAGTTCATCAGGAGCAGCTTGTGCTTCTGCAGACCTTGGTAGGAACCAGTGCTAAGCTGCTGCTCTAGAAGTGTTTGATGGTTCCATTCCCAGGAGATAAGACCTGCCAGTTCAAAGTATCTTAAATCTCAGTTCAGATGAACGTTCTGAGCTTCAGCGAGTCTTCTGGTTGAGTAAATGCAGGCATCTGATTGGCTGATAAGATATTTGCATTCATAAGCTCTCAGATGGACCTAATAGAGTTTTAATGACCAAAGTTTCCGAAGCAGCTGATTTCAGATCAGTTTCTATAACAAACGCTTTGAATCTGATCACCAATCACAGATGAAACGTGATGACAGGACTGAAAAGGCACTCGTCTTCTGTTGTTCTCCCTATGGCCGCCAGTCAGCTGTTATTAGAAGCATCCTAATGATCAAATGTCTGATTAGTCAGATGTGAAGCGGGTCGGCGCAGAAAGGACTTCCAAACGAGCTCAGGGGGTGTTTGAGTAGATGCAGCCGACTGGTTCGTCCTGTCCAAACACTAACGGCTCTGTGTTAGAGTTGTGTGTCGGGTGCTTTAGGTCTGTGATGGACAGCCTGGTTTTCTCCTCACCGCACGCTGGGAGAGTCTCCACGCCTGATTTAGCTCTAGCAGCACGTTTGTCTGGTGAAGGGTCGGAATAATATCCTCTGTAACGCGTGTTAGTCTCACCCCACCATCGTAAACGCAGATTTGTACGTTTAAAATCTGACCGAGTCACCGAGCAAAGGCACAGCTACACTGCATCTGGACCACAAAGTGTCCTCACCACTCTCGTCGGGTATCTCGCTGCTTAAAGTCAGTCTGGTTTTCTTCTTGGACGTTTTCTGTTGTGGTCTCGTGGATTACGTCGTCTTTGAGCGGAGTTTAAGTCAAAACTGACAAATTTTAAGTAAACAAACATGCAGCTCTAATGTCAACGACCAAAGCGTGTTCTTCTTTATGACATTTCTAAGTTCCTGTGGTTTGTGTGTGGCGCCCCCTTCAGGAACCACGTGGTACTGACACTTGGAGCAGAGGGCTTCATGTCTATATTTAACCATTTAATGGCACCAGCTGTGTATTTTGCACATCTTCTGCTTTTAAAGGACTTCATTTATTTCTTTATTCCAGTAAATTATCAGTGAAACAAGATTTACTTTTAACTCATTCACCGCCAGCCGTTTCCTGATCGGTAGAGCCCTTCGCTGCCAGCAATTCTCACAGTTTTTACTGTTTCTTTTAAGAGTCACAGAACGTTGCGCGCTAGGATAATGTCGTTGCCAAAACAACAAAACAAAGAGGAGACTCACCTCTTACATCAGGAAGAATCCGCGCGTTTCGAGCGTTATCCGTTCTTTCATAATCTGTTGTTGAATTGTGATCGGCAGAAGCTTTTCCGGTTCGCGCCTCACTTTCTGTACAGCAGCGGCCCAAACCGATCTCCTAACACATGGATTTTCTGCTTCCTGATCATGCAACGTGTGCAGATGAAGATCAGCTTTAGAGCTGAGATGTTTGTTCTCACGGTGCGGGGGCTCGTCCGACGCCCACACAGTAAAAAAAAAGCTTATGACGATGGTTAATAGTTAAAGAGATCTGGTCTCTCAAACGGCCAAGTGTGCAGCAAACACATAACGACCGTTTCCAGTGACTTCTGAAGACGAAAACCTTTCTCTGTAATTACCACTTTTGTCTGAGGGCAGATTTAAAAGCATCAGCTATTACCCATAATGCATTTGTGACCCGACAGGGGCGTTGATTTTATGAGCTCCTAGTTCACTGAATGCTGATGGTTGCTGATGCTTTACTATGTTAGATCTGTACCAGTTAGAAGTTCATAAGTTTTGTAATTAACGGCGTTATCCTGGAGGTGTTGTTCCTAACCCCCAAATTCCACTACCTCCGCTCCGCTCCGACACGAACGCCGGAGCAAAATCGGTCCCGTTGTAGTCAGTCAGAGCAATTCCACTACTGCGGCCATGCTCTGGCAGTGCGGCGCCGTGCGCCGCCCTCTGTTCCGGCATCCGGCAAAAATAGAATCGATCCTATTTTCGCCGGACGCCGGAACACCTCCACAGTCAATGGACAGAAATCACAACCGCCCAACAGGAAAAGGAGCAAGCACAACTTCCGTTTTTCACAATAAATCGATAAACAAAAGGCGTTTTTTGTTTCATATGCACAGGTTTAACAACTTTTAACAACTATCAATGGCGGCTGAAGTTTAAATGCACAAAAGTAAGCCAAAAATACAGTTTCCACTATCAAAGTAGTCACACTTTGATGATCCAAACACTGCTGATCTCTACACACAAATGATGGGCAGATTAAACAGTTCATGCCGATGCTTCTCCCACACAACGGGTGTTTGGATCTAACTTCCGCGTTTATTGCTCGGACTGTATCGCAAGATCTCGAAAATCCCGCGCATGCCTGTTTGCCCCCCTCAGGTCTCCAGAGCGGAGCGGAGCCGTTGTAGAGCGGGTACCAGTAAAAATTGAGTTCGGAAGTGAGCGGCTGCGGAAGGCGGGGGCGGACCGGAGCGGAGCGGAGGTAGTGGAATTTGGGGGTACACGAGGAGGGAACGAATAACACCAATGAGTGTTTGGACTGAAATAATTGAAGCAGCACAAAAAGCCTGACTACTTTTATAGCAGAAACTGTATTTATGGCTTACTTTTGTGCATTTAAACTTCAGCCGCCATTGATAGTTGTTAAAAGTTGTTAAACCTGTGCATATGAAACAAAAAATGCCTTTTGTTTATCGATTTATTGTGAAAAACGGAAGTTGTGCTTGCTCCTTTTCCTGTTGGGCCGTTGTGATTTCTGTCCATTTACTGTGGAAATGACTATAACGGGACCGATTTTGCTCCGGCGTTCGTGTCGGAGCGGAGGTAGTGGAATTTGGGGGTGAGAGCTTTGCTGCATTATGTTCCATTATTCTTTGAATTGTTCCCGGATTTGTGTTTTCCATTAAATGCATGTCCAACTAAATGGGAGCAGCAAAAAGGAGAGGCTGTAAAAACCAGTCCGATTTCCGGTTGGGGAGGATCTGCAGCTCAGACGCCAAAAGATCCGCTCCTGTGAGCTTCAACACATGGAGCTGACATAACCAACATTCCAGGAGTTTCAGGAATGTTTGCATCAATAAACATGGAAAATCTTTAGCACCACTGATGAGCTCCACCAGGATGTTCAGTCCTGGTTCTGGAGGCCACCGCCTGTTTGTTTGCACCAACACACCTGACTCAAACCAGGTGTGTTGGTGCAGAGAAAGCTAATGACCCTCCAGGACCTGGCCCGCACCTTATGAGACGTTAGCGCCTCATGGATTCCGATGGAACGGACGCAGTCGGGACTCTGAAAAGTTTCCGCATGCAGATTTTTATTACGTTAAATAAATCCCACGAGCCAGACAGGAAATGAGCGAGGCACATCCAGTTTTTCAGAATAAAATCAGTGTTGTATTATTTTACTGACTAGTTTTATTATAAACGACCGTGACATCCGTTCAGCGTATGATGCTTCAGGTGATCTTTACAGGTATACTTTTTATTGTATTATGTTAAATGTGGTTCTGTGGTGTGAATGGCTGTCCGTCAGAAGCCGTGTGGAAGCAGGACCGCGTCTGTTCCATAGTCGGAGTGAACGTGACGTTAGACCTGAAAGCGCGCTGAAGGCCCAGGTTCATTAACGAGCTGCGTTCCACTCGTACAGCTGCGTATGCTAGCAGAACTTCAAAATGGAATGCGGCCCTCCTTCACACATACTCTTATTGGCAAAGGGCGGCCTCAAAACGCATGAACACTTACGAATCCCAGTATGTTGTCTTCTCCTGCAGCGCGTCAGTCCTGAAGACTTGAACTATTTCTCTAAACTCGGGCTGTTCAGCAGCATTTAGATGGAAACTTTATGTTTCCAT